CCAACCACAATCGATTACACAGGTCTACAAGGTTTTGTTGTTGGGCAGCTGGGGGTCGTTTCCCAAGTAATTTTCTGCGTAGAATCCGAATCCAAGGTCAGAATTGGCCCATCACGTCAGGATTTTGAGATATTTGAGGTTATATACTCGAAAAATGGCTTTTTGGGCTACTTTTGAGGTTATGTATAGGACGCACCAAATTTTTTAGCTCTTTTCTTCTAATTGCATCATTTAGTACTACTCTTTCCCTTCAAAATGAGCTGTCGAATGGTCACCTACGATTTTTCCTTGCAAAGTTACGGCCATTTTAAGATAACATGATGAATTCCAAACCCTGCGCCGTTATAGCCCAACAACCTTATGAGCATTCACATTAAACCTGTAAACTTTGAACTATAAACCCGAAAACCTGGACTGAAAACTGTATATATGGGTTTTTGGGGTCGCTGATTACGAATCTGATCTCAGATCGACTTCAAACCTATTAATAGGTTTAGGCACATTTCGGGCGAAATTCAGTAGGTGACGCCTACCGTCCCCCTCGCACCGCTCCGCGCTCCGCGCTCAGCGGCCGGGGTAACGATCGCGGTACACTCAGGCCCGTCGCTATATAAGAAATCAGCTGAGGCGTCATATTATCATTAAAATAGTTTCCTCGTTTAATAATTACTTTAAAATATATATACTTACGTGTTTAATACATATACAGGGTGTTTGAAAGCTTATCATACAGATGAAAGTTGGAGATAGATTGGGTGTGGCCGAGAATAAAAGTCATGTACCATAATGTCAAATTGACAATAGTTATCGAGTTATTAATTGAAACATGTGAGCCAATGAGCGCGTAGAGAGCGCTGGGCGGCCGCCTCTTGTCGCTTGCGCTCGCTCGCTCGTCGCTCGCGCTCGCTCGCTCGCTCCTCGTCGCGCGCGCTCGCTCGCTCGCTTCTCGTCGCGCGCACTCACCTATCGACGCTCGTTGATTCCGCCTATACCAAATGTCTACGTGCTTACCGCGGCCGCGCAGCGCTCTCTACGCGCTCATTGGCTCACATGTTTCAATTAATAACTCGATAACTATTGCCAATTTGACATTATGGTACATGACTTTTCTTCTCGGTTACATCCAATCTATCTCCAACTTTCGTCTGTATGATAAGCTTTCAAACACCCTGTATACAGGGTGTTTGAAAGCCCTGTATATACAGAGTGTTTGATAGCTGATCATGCAGACGAAAGTTGGAGATATATTGGGTGTAGCCGAGAAGAAAAGTCATGTACCATAATGTCAAATTGCCAATAGTTATCAAGTTATTAATTAAAACATGTGAGCCAACGAGCGCGTAGAGAGCGGAGGGCGACCGCAGTAAGCACGTAGACATTTGATACAGGCGGAGTCAGCGAGTGACGGTAGGCGAGCGCACGCGACGAGGGGCAACGTAAACGACAAGAGGCGAGCGCGCGCGACGAGGAGCGAGTGAGCGCGAACGACGAGGAGCGAGCGAGCGCAAACGACAAGAGGCGAGCGAGCGCAAACGACAAGAGGCAAGCGAGCGCGACGAAGAGCAAGCGAGCGCGAACGACGAGGAGCGAGCGAGCTATAAGGAAAAAGCTATAAAGAAAAAGCTCGCTCGCTCCTCGTCGCGCGCGATCGCCTCTTGTCGCTTACATTGTCCCTCGCCGCGCGCGCTTGTCTACCGACACTCACTGACTCCGCCTGTATCAAATGTCTACGTGCTTACTGCGGCCGCCCTCCGCTCTCTACGCGCTCGTAGGCTCACATGTTTTAATTAATAACTCGGTAATTATTGTCAATTTGACATTATGGTATATGACTTTTCTTCTCGGCTATACCCAATCTATCTCCAACTTTCGTCTGCATGATCAGCTATCAAACACCCTGTATATACAGGGTGTCCGGAATGTGATCATTAATATTTTGTGTACTGGCAGAACTCGTTAAAACAATTAAGAAAGTCCTGTGCCATTTTACAATTTTTTCAATATTTATTCCGTAATTAATTAAAATGTATAAACGAATGAGTGCACGAGAAAGCGACAGGACGGGCTCTGTGTATAAAAAGATGGCTTACCTCGCGCGGCGAGAGGCAACCGTAAGCGACAAGAGGCGTGCGCGCGCGGCGAGGAGCGAGCGAGCGAGCGCGAGCGACGAGCGAGCGAGCGCAAGCGACAAGAGGCAGCCGCCCAGCGCTCTCTACGCGCTCATGGGCTCACACGTTTCAATTAATAACTCGATAACTATTGCCAATTTGACATTATGGTACATGACTTTTATTCTCGGCTACACTCAATCTACCAGTACATAAAATATTAATGATCACATTCCGGACACCCTATATATACATACACATATAACGCATAAACATATATATTTTAACGTAATTATTAAACGAGGAAACAATTTTAATGATAATATGATGCCCCAGCTGATTTCTTATACAGCGACGGGCCTGAGTGTACCGCGATTGTCATCTCGGCCGCTGAGCGCGAAGCGGTGCGAGGGGGACGGTAAGCGTCACCTATTGAATTTCGCCCGAAACGTGCAGATTGTGGCCAGCTCTGATGTAGACAATTGGAGTATGTTCAAAGAGATGCTATTACCATTGCCAAAGTAAACTATCAAAATTATTCATAGATTTAATAGCGCGACAGTAACAGCGAACTCCGCGAATAGCAACAGCGTAGCATTAGCATTACTGCGTTATAGCGACATTCCTGCAGTCTAAGTCCTCCTCTTCGGACCTGTTCCTGTCTCTTCGGTTTTAATATTCCGACGGTTTATTTAAATGCAATTGTGTACTACATACGTGAATAATAGCAAACTAATAAATACGATGTGCCGGTACCATTTAACAATTATTTGCAATGATAGATGTACAATTTACAGCGAACAACCTATAGCGCTAAACAACGTTAATACATAGTGTCTCCCTGAACGCATCTCTAGAACTGATTGTGCTCTAAAAGCACTACTTGATGAGAGTTGCAGTTTAAATTCCAATACAAGTGCTACCAAAATTGTTTCGTGGAGCTAACACAATGCGATAATAATAACAAGCTCTGCGAACAGCGATAGCATATCCAATCAGAAACAATTTTTTCGTTTTTAAAAATATTAAAAAAACATTTAAAAAACATTTTTAAAACGTTAAAAATAATTTTAAACGAGTTATTAATGTAAAATATATATTAAACATTAAATAAACGTTAAATAAATATTTTTTATATAATGAATGGAAGAAATGTAAAAGAATGAAAAATAAATATTTGAAAAACGTTAAAATAATATTGCCTGCTGATTGAGTATGATTAACATTACTGCGTTATAACGTCATTCCCGCAGTTTAAACATCTCTTCAGTTTTAACATTCCGAACATTTATTTAAATGCGCGATAGTCCATCATGTACATGAATAAATAAATAAACGATATACTGTACGACTTGATCATGTATAACTATACATGTAAAATTCACAGTGTTTTGAGCATTCACGAAACTTAAAAGTGCTAACGCACTATTTTGAAAGGAATAGCGTTGATAGTGCATAATTATAATTTACACGCATTACCATTACCATTACTGACGTTATGATAACGTTTATAACAGTATTATCTAGTTTCGCAAGCAGCCTATAATAGCTAAATGGCGTTAATAGTATCTCCCTGAGCGCACCCATAGTCATAAAAATGTCTCACAATAGATGACTTTAAAACGTCCTTTAGACATGCGTATTATGAGAAATGCGAGATCATTCGAGAAAACGGCCTCCGTCGTTCATCGATAGTTTAATAATTATCGAACCGGTGATGTTACGTTTGGCGAATGTTTTAACAATTAATAAATTTCAATAACATATATTTTGTGAAGCCTCTTTTTAATTTTCTCTTAAAAATTTATTGTTGAAGAGAAAAGAACGGCGCTTGCGAGGAAAAGGGAGACGAAGTCTCAATTGTTCATCGATATTTTAATAATTATCGAACCGGTGACGTTACATTTGGCGAATAATGTTTTAACGCTTAATAAATTTCATAAATATTTTTGTTTTTTTTTTTTGAATTTATTTTGAATGAATTATCGATATCGAAACCGGTGACGTTACATTTGGCGAATAATGTTTTAACGCTTAATAAATTTCAATAACATATTTTATGTGAAGCTTCTTTTTAATTTCCCCTTGAAAATTTATTGTTGAAAAGGAGGGAACGGCAAGGAAAAAGGACATGGATCGATCGTTCATCGATAGTTTAATAATTATCGAACTGATAGTGGTAGTTACGTTGCAAATGTTTTAACAATTAATCAGTCCCAATAAATACTTTATAAGTGTCATAAATATATGTTGAAGCTTTAATTCCTTCATCAAGATTGTAACAATTACTGCCGTATCATTGTATTGTTATCGTAGAGTAAACACTACGGTTACGATCACGCTAGAGAATCGATAACTTTTCAATCGATAACTTTTCAGTAAAGAATTGCTAAAAATTATTCAGCTTTTTGCATTTTATACACACACACACACGGAGAGATTAGAAATTTCTACATGACGCGAACGTACGATTTCACCGATAGCTTAGTAATAATAACGAGCGTCATCAGTTGATTAGTTATTCTTTACCGAGAAATATATTCTATCAACATATAATACATATATTGCAACCGCTTAATATCTGCTGTTTTTTTCGTTACGGCTTTATATTTAAGAAACTAAGGAAATAAAGAACTGAATGGTGTCTAACGAGACGGGTTTTACATTGGACGACTCGTCCAATCGCGCTCATGTTAATTTATACGCTACTATATTCATGAAAATGCCGTGAGCTATCGGCGGAATGGCGAATAATTATGTGTATCACTGACACGGAAAGGAATAAATCAGTCGGAGGAACGGCCGGTCAGATGGAACCGTTGAGACGTTTATCACCGTGTCGTTGTATCAAAGGAGTTGCACGCAATTTCATAAATAAATTAGTCGCACTGCTGATGTTCGTAATAGTTAATTTATTTTCGAGTAGCGATTGGCTATAATCGATTCCGATGGATATCCAAGCTTTTTCTTTTTTTTTTATCTCTTTTTTCTCTTTTTCTTTTGATAAATGATACGCTAGAGCAAGTGGATTTGCTTGAGTAATTATTAATATATAAAAGAAATCACTTTCATAGAATTCTTCCTATCTCTCTCTCTTTCTCTCTCCTTCTGCCGATGGATTCTTTGTTGCCTTCAATGTAGCCTTCATTCGTCCATTATTGTCTAACGGTTGTCACGTCAAATAATATGTGCTCAGCTGTATTTCGCGAATGTAAAAACCTTCTGGTGCCGGTGCACGTCTACTTCGAACTCAATCGAGATGAATGTAACAAATGGATCTTGAAATGCTCAACGCTGAGAGATCCGTACGATTTAATATCTTTGAAGTCTCGCAATTGTGGGAATGACTGCTCACGTCGTGGAACGTGAGTTCTTCAAACTCAAGACGCACGTTGCAATCACAGTCTTAAGATCTCGTATCCTTCGCGACCTCGAATATCCCCATTGCTCGACGACGACAAGCGTAATAAAACATCGATACATAAATATCTCGCGCGTATCTGCTATGAATGTACTTCGTAAGCGATTTATATCAATCACACAACGCACTATGGCGATATATTTAACCGGACGCGTTTAACATGAAATTCTGCGTGTAGTCGTACTCGATTGTGGGTATGACAGACTGCACGAACTTCAGGAATATTATTAGGTACATGTGCACTCCCAGTTCTCCACCACCCTCCATCACGGTCTCGATGATCTTCTTCATTACTTCCGCATGCCTGTGGGCAAACCAGTAAGATTCATTAAATCAATTCAAACTCGCACGTCAGACGAGTTTAAATCTAATATATTCGCTTTCCCCTTTCCTCTTTTGCTCACCTGCAAGGATGCACAGAAGCCATGGGAGGGCCAGGTATATGTGGGTGAATCTCCATTGTGACCGTTTTTTTGGCATGATCTTGGCTAACATCTTCGTACATCTCCTCTACATTGAGCGGTTTCCGGTTCTGCAACACAGCATATAATCAGTACAATGAATTTGGAAAACAACTGATTGGGAGATTTAAAAACTCAGAGATGAATGAACAGGCGTTTTACTTCATTGTATCCGAACAACCACAGCCTAGGCGTCTGATAATATTTATCATATGTGATGTATAAGTCATAAGTGCGGGTGCGAATAATCTCCCCTTCCGAGAACGAGTCTCGCTTCTCTTGACCAGTCTTCTTTGTGTTCTCCGGTGCTGTATGCTGCAATAAAGCATCATTTTCCATAACTTGCCGATTTATAGCAACTTTATCTTCAGCAATTTACCTTATCCTGCTCATCTAACATTCCGCTAACTTCAAAAGCCTCCATATCAGCAGCATCTTCGTCATCCTCGTCGTCGTCCGCATTGTCCGTCTGAGATGGCTGTGTCTCTTCTAATGTCATTTCTGTTACTCTCTCATCCAGGCCGGCAAGACTAATATCATAATGATGAGTATCTACCCAACCCCCTTCTGTGTCATCTGCTTCTATAATACATTCCTGTTCGTTGCTATACTCTATCTACAAACACAGTAAAACTCATAGTATATGTAAATAGAGGAGGAGAAAGAAACTTTATCGTTTCAGATATGTCTACCTGCTTACACCGACGTGAACAGGGAACGTTACGAGTCAACAAAAACTGTTTATCTTTTGGTAAATAAGATTTTGCCCTATCCTCATCACCAATAGCCCATTGCCATGTAGGACAATGATGTACCAAATGATCTCCAGCTGCTACAAATTCCTCAGGAGTTAAAACACCTGTTTCTCGGAATTTGCTCTCCTGAAAAATCATATGACTTTATATAGATAAGTATATATGCACATAAGTACATAAGTATAAATAAGAGAATATATAGGTGCATATGTGTGTATCTGTGTGTATATATATATATATATAATATATTAAAAAAATACATCTAAACATATGTATACGTGCTATATATATATAATTCAAACAGTGTGATGAAAATACAAGATATTGATTAAAATAATTTCATTTTTTTTTTTCTTTACAGTAAACCTGAAGGTAAACATGTACTCGGGACATTTCTTTGCGCAACTCCCCACTACACTCGACGACGATAATCTCTCGAAACGAAATATCTAATCTACCTTGATAAACTACGGATGTTTAATTTCCGGTGACCAAAATGTTGGCTAAAAAAGTATGTACGATGATTACCTTTAACACCGGCGTCAAGTATTCAGCGACACCCAATGCGGTGCCTTTCACCGAATTTATGACACTTTGCATTATTGAGACTCGTTGTATGCTGCTGCGTCCGCAAAAGAGATAATGTTGCGTGCGACTGCGAGGAGAACGTTGACGGTGTCTAGAAAAGACTGGCGATCATATCGGTGCGTATCAACAACTCCCTCAGCGTGTTGTATCGATACACCTGCTTGCTAACCGTTCTTTCGCCTCGCCGGATCGATTCGTGCAGATTCGTACGAAGCTTCGTCTGACAGGTGATTCCAACAGCAAACCATGAATTACGAAATCGTAGACGGTCGTTCCTAACAAATCGTTGGTGAACTTTGCCTCCGCAACAATGTCGCCAACACAGCGACATATTCCTTTCCCGCGTAAAAATAAATATTTCTAACAGTTAACGAATATCGATATACAGGATAAGAAAAAAAGATAGGATTCCCTGAATAACTTTAAAAATATGTAGGATAGAAAAAAAATGTTTCAGACAAAAATTAAAAGTAATTGGTGGAAAAAGATAATGCAATAAAAATGAAGATTTCCGTTTGAAAAATTCAAGGTGACCTTCCCGTAATCTCGATGACGCTGTTCAAAGTCATAGTACTGATGCACTATGTGATGCATCACTTAAAACCCTACTTCTGTATTTAACATTCTTTTCTTATCTTGCATATTTTTAAAGTCTTTCAGGGGTCCAATCTTTTTCCCCACCTTATATAGCATGTATATGGGCGCTTCGTACATCGCTTATGAATTAGATTATTAAGATATCTACTTTATCGCAAATTAATTACATTATTTCTATATAAAATGTAGCAATTTCCAAGTTTTAAACAAAAGACAATTTCTCATATACACAAAATACTTTATTATCGTAATTTAAAGGTACAGGTTCTGTATTTGTTTTACAAATACAGAACACTTACAAGGGGAGGACGCATCGACCGGGAAACGGTTTGGAACGAAACTTACGGAGTTAATAGTACTTGACTACTAATAACTTATGGTAATAGCATACGACGCAATACCTCTTCGTTTTCGAGAAAAAACGGTCTAAAGAAAAGAGCTAACAAGTGTACGAGTTAGTAAAAGAGGTATTCAACGAAGCGGCGTAGCACAGCAGCGAAGGTAAGGGACTACCGAGCTTGACGGCTGAGGTTTGATCCCTGCTGTATGGCTTTTTTTTTATTCTGTAAGCATAAAAATGAAACAGAAAACATTAATCAGTAATAAAATTGCGTTTCTTAAATATATTAGTGTTTGTTAAATATATTATTAATGATTTTAATTGCAAAAAGACCGTAAATCTTATCTATAAAATATATAGTGTATGAGAAAATTTTTATATAATAATTGCAATGGAAATAGGAATAAAAATATTGTTATGAAATATATAGGAATGCTATTAACCCTTTGCGGTCGATGCTGCCACAGTGGCGGCATTCGCAAGTCGTCGTAGAAGTCGATGCTGCCAGGTTGGCATTCATGATCGCCTGGCGTGCGGCACGGCAAATGAGGCTAGCGATAATGAAAGAAAACTATCCTCCTGATACTAGATTCAAACGTTTAGATCAACTTACAGATATCCATATTTATCGATCTCTTCGAAATCGGCCGATCGCAAAGGGTTAAACTAGTATGAGATAATTTTTCGTAATCTTATATTGTATATATAAAATATTTATTTCTGTTACAACTCTCTATATTGTGTAGAAGTCGTGTTGTGTTGAAGTTGTGTTGTATCTTTATCTCTTCTGGCAATCCCCCTCCAGAAACTTCCTTTGTGTCATTCTAAATGATCGTTAAGAATGACGAAATGATTCGAGCAGCGGAACAGTCGTCAGTAGAGCAAGCAGCAGTGTGCGTTTATTAGTGATACAGAGCAATTCGGTGATCATATTTAAATTACATATATCATAACAATGTCAGAGAATCCTTCAACAAGCAAAATAGTTGATGTAGAATCGCTAGAAGAAAGATCTTTTGAAAATGAAGATTTTAAAAATGAAGATTTTAAAGGTGAATTCACTAATGCTCTCGTATATGCGAATTCTATTTACGAGAATAATGAATTATTATCGAAAAATCCTCCAGCGAAAATATAATATATTTTTACTCCTATTTCCATTGCAATTATTATATAAAAATTTTCTCACACACTATATATTTTATAGATGAGATTTACGGTTTTTTTGCAATTTAAATTATTAATAGTATATTTAACAAACACTAATATATTCAAGAAACGCAGTTTTATTACTGATTAATGTTTTCTGTTTCATTTTTATGCTTACAGAATAAAAAAAACCATACAGCAGGGATCGAACCTCAACCGTCAGCTCGGTAGTTCGTTACCTTCGCTGCTGCGCTACGCCGCTTCGTTGGATACCCTTCTTACTAACTTGTACACTTTGTTTGCTCTTTTCTTTAGACCGTTTTTTCTCGAAAATGAAGATATTGCGTCGTATGCTATTACCATGAGTTATTAGTAGTCAAGTACTATTAACTCCGTAAGTTTCGTTCCAAACCGCTTCCCGGTCGATGCGTCCTCCCCTCGTTAGTTTAATCAGTCTTTATATCTCTCTGAAGTTTGTTCAACAACTTTACTAGAAACATGCTAGTAGAACATCTTAGCAAACTCACAATCATTTTAGTCCATAATAATGAAGCTTAAAAATTAATAATTAAGAAAATTTGTTCTTCCAGATTTGATTGCCTGAGTATCATTCCTTTGGTAAACGACTCTTTTAAGTCATATAACATATATTTATAATTATTTCTGAAACATAAAAAGCTTTTATAAAATATCTATAATTTTGTATGTTAATAATTAAATCTCAAACTAATAATTGGAATTCTATACTTGGAATATTTTATCAAATATTATATCTCTACTTTCTCAAATCTCATATATTTATAAACATATAATGGAACAAATGCAAAAATCCATTATACTTACTCATAAGTCTTTCTTCTCTATTATTTCATAACTACATATTAAGTTGTTATAGACGATAGTATTTTATTGTTGATGAAATCAATCCTAATAAAAAAAAGAGAAAAATTATATTATAAATTGTTTTAAAGTATAATCGAAGATGTATAAACTATTTCTAAAATAATACATACAACACATCAAAATAGGATAAAGTATTATCCACACATTTCACAAGTAAGTCATGTTTAGATTCACAGAATGATGAGTCATTAAACATTTTTAGTTCATCACGCAGCTTAGATATTACACATGTGGTATATCTAAAATAATCCTCATGCATCACCAAAGTCTGAAATCACATGTTCGTTTTAGTTTTAATAATTAAGATTCTTTCAATCATGAGTTAAAAAATGTAATTAAAAATACCAAAGATGTGGAAACGATTGGCAATATGTTATCCAATATAAGATCATCATGTATTTGATAAAGGGCATCCAGAGTTTTATATGACACTCGACACCACGTTTTTGTTCCAAGTTTATCCATGCTGTAGTTTTCATCAACACTAAAATAATCATGTATAAAGTATATATTCATTGAACTTTGATTGTTATCGATATTAACGCTTGATATTTACTTACCACATAATTCGAAGTGCTTCATACAAAACAGTCAAATTTGAAACCGAAATTCTTATTTCTTCGAGATTTTTCTCGAAGGAAAACGGCGTAATAAAATGTTCAGAGACATCCATAACGTCAGATTCAGACATAGTAAAATGCAAATTTTTTTGATTTTATATAATTTATACTAGATTTATATCGTTTATTTTTTATTATCGTTTATTTTACAATTGCATGATCGTGATATTGCAATTTTTATCAAACACGTGTATTGTAATACCTTTCTATGTAATAAAGTATAGTTCTATTTCATGTTACTATAATTTCCTTTGCAACGAATGTACGATGTACTACCGAAGACGGTTCACAGAGAAATGACGCTACAACGCACGTGTGAGTCAAAGCGTATTCACACCTGCGCAGAAAAGTAGAAAACAGGAAAGCAGCAGCTAATCAGAACTCGCGTTGATAGTCTGTCTCTCTCTTACGAAAGTTTTTCTCTCTGTCATTTTATTGGCTGCAGCCTTTCTGCTTTCTGTTTTTTGGCCCAGGTATAAATGCGCTCTAAAGGCCCATCTACAATGGCTGCAAGAATAAGGCCCCTTGCACAATGCCAGGCAACAAGCAATAAGAATAAAAATAGACCAATCACAATCGACTGTTACAAGAATAATCTATTGTGATTGGTCTATTTTTATTCTTATTGTCTGTTGCCTGGCATTGTGCAAGGGGCTTAAGGGCCAGAGCACAGACTTCTACATAACGCATAATACACAACGCATAAGAGAATTAACCAATCAGAATTCTTCATTCCTGTCCTGAGGAGGGAAATGAAAAAAACTAAAGCCAGCAGCATACGGTGCTTGTTTTCGTGCTGGATTGCTTGCTGGATGAAAATACTGCGTTCTGATTGGTGCATTTCCATCCATCTTCGGAAATGGATCAATATTTTCATCCAGCAAGCAATCCAGCACAAAAACAAGCACCGTGTGCCGCTGGCTTTACAGATGCCTCTATGTCGGCTGTACCGCTTTACGCGCAATAAACTCGCATAATATGCAACTTTCTTACGTAACACAGGCGTAACAGAAAACGCAGAACGTCTCTGATTGGTTACGCGATACACATTACGCGGAAAATATCGGTCCATTGGATCGCAGCCTCATTCTTCTCGAGTCGGGATGTATCCCGAAACTTATTAAAAAAAAAGTGACAACCTTTATGTCCACGACCGTACATATTTTTCGGGTTTTTCATGTATTGAGTCGGAGTTAACAGTCTAGTAATACTGTAGAAGTCTGTAGATTCCCCCCAATTTCGTCGTGCATGCGCGTATAGCCTTATCAAATCACGATACTGACGTTATGCTCTGCTATGCCTTTTATTTGCATTGTATGCGTGGAAGCATACGAAAGCAAATAGGAGCGTACAGAACACACACTCAATATATGTGTGTACATGAGGCTGGCTGCATAAAGAGATATCAGAATTTCGTCAGAAATAAGTAATCGTAAATAATTGTTTAAATTATGCAATGGAGTATAAATTAAACAACGCACTTTTGCGCTATTTTAAGTACGTACATACTCTTTATGACGAATGGTTGATAATTAACAGAACAATCGAGACATCACTCAAAATTGTAGATGATCAGAACGAAATACTTCGACTTATCAGGTAAGCAAAATCAAACAATTGTAAAATTAAGAGTTAAAAAATTCCAGACATCATGGCTAGAGGAAAATGTATTTAAAGGACAGTTAGCTCTCCATCCTACAATTAACAAAAGAATTGCTAATTATAATAGATATTTTATTTTTGAGACTTTGAATTTAGATATTATATTAATTTCTTAAGTTTATTTATTTTTTAAATTATATATAATAATCGAGGATTAATACAAGAATATTAAATTATATTTTTATATCAAAATATGCATGTTTTTATTTATTTTTTATATTATATTTAATTTTTATTGTAACAAGATTGGATTTTAGATTAATATTAGTAATGATCAATTTATCTTAAACTCAATGATCAATGCATATTCTGCATAATTATTATTGTATAATTATTCCAGTGATGATGTAACTTACAATGATATTGAGATCGATGAAGAACAACGACAAAGATTGATGTTTAAAATCCTTATAGTTCTTGACAATGAACTTAATAGTCTTTTTAGAATTATGTCGCAATTCAACTATACGATTCAGGTATCTCTCTTTAATTGCATTCTATAATTTATTCTTAATATAGAAACATTATAGGTCAACCTAACACATGATTTTAGGATCTGATGAATCATTATGATAATGTAATACAATACAGAAGTAGGATATATTTAGCAGATAAAGAAATGATACCACTAATCATGGGATCATATTGTCGACCAAGGCTTAGTTTACTCATGGAATGGACCACCAAGTCTCTTGAGTATTTTAGGAAATTGTATGTATCATTTAAAAAATAATGCTTTAATCACTTCAGTGCAATTAATCTTTTTTTTTTTAGGTATTTTTGTATCAATAACGAGATACATAATTATAATAAGGAAAATATTGCAGATAAAGTACGTGCTGCTATTAACCAGATCAACAATAGAACATCTATAAAGAGTAAGTATAATTCTTTCCTTTTATCTTTGTTAAATCAAATATTTAGAAATATATGATATAATTAAGAAACTAAGATATAATACTTGTTATAAGTATAGAAGTTTAATTATCATTCAAAGATTAATTGATAGGATACAGAGTTTATAGATACTATGAAATTTTATATATTTCAGACATACTTGCATATACCCAATATATGATGAAGGAGGAGTTTCTTCAGCCAAAGCATAAAAATACAGGGGTCCAAAAAATTATATCCAACAATATTATAGAATAAAGCACAGAATAAATTGACAAGAGAAAAATCTTTGTATTGCTTTTTCTATATTATATTTTTAAGTTATGATTGTATTGCATTATTGTATTAAGTTACGATTTGTACTGCTTTTTCTATATTATATTTTTAAGTTACGATGATAACTCTCTCGTATATGCGAGAAGTAGAATTATTTCTGCAATAAGTTTTCCTTTTATATATACAGGGTCCTCAAAAAGTCCGGGAACGCTAAAATATTTCGAAAAATATGAAAGATACGAAAAAATGTTTGATACAAAAGTTGTAGGATTTAAAAAGATCTATTTAGTAGTCATATCAGTTTGACTATAGGTGGCGTTGCTAAGGTCATATGAAAGTCAACTTTGTTTTTTTAAATGGAACTTCTTATTTTCTATTAGAAATTCTTGTAGTTTATCATTTAATCAAATGTTAAAAATATTTTCCTCCTACTGTTTGGCAATGAGCTAAACGTTCATAGAAACTATTGATCACATGGTTTATTTGTCCTAAAGTGATCAGAAATGCTTCCTGCATAATTCGATTCGTCAGGTCTTCCAAATTACATAGTTTCGTCACATAAACCTTACTTTTGATGTGTCCTCAAAAGAAGAAATCAAAAGGAGATAGATCAGGTGATCTAGCAGGCCACTCAATGGCACCTCTCCTACCTATCCATCGATTAGGAAAAGAACGGTTTAAAAATTCTCGGACTCGTACCGCAAAATGAGGTCCTGCTCCATCTTGTTGGAATCAAAGCGTCAAATAAATTTTCCATTTCAGGAATGATATGATCTCGCAATAAATTTTCATATTTTTCAGCATTTAAATCACCATTTATGAAAAATGAGCCTATAATACCACGACTACAGATCCCTGTCCAAACATTCAATTTTTGTGAATATTGTGTGCGAAGATCACTCATCCAATGTGGATTTTCGTTACTCCAATATCTACAATTCACCATTTATTTGAAATGTGGCTTCATCAGAAAAAATAACAAAATTCAAAAAGTTAACATTATCATCACACCGATGCGTCAGTTCTTCACACTGAATTCTTCTATCAAAATCATCTTCCATAAGTTCTTGAGCGATAACAATTTTATACGGACAATATTTATGCTTTTTTAAAATGTTAAAAACGTTGTCTTCACTGATATCATGGGCTTGTGCTGTTTTTAATACGGACAAATGAGGATTTTCCTGAAATGATTGGAGAATATCCAAAATCTTATCATCATTAGTTGCGGATTTTGGCCTTCCGCTGCGAGATCGGTCCTTAACTATTCCCGTTTCAAAAAAACGAGTCACTGTTTTGTAAACAGTGAGTGAATTTAGAAATAGAATCGAGATCAGGATGTGTAACATTGAATAGATCAGCTACTTCTTGATATGATCTAATACGGTCACCAAATCCTCGATAAATAAGTAGCAATATTCTCTCTCTTTGGTCAACATTTTTCAGAGAAAAATATGATATTATAATCGGAAAAAGAAACAAAAAAGACAAAGAACGAGATACGAGCGAGCACAACTCGTTTTTAGAATATGTGGACCGAGAAGCATCTTTGATCGCACCTCCGCGCGGTACACTTTGGGTAATGCTAATGCCGGCGGTACTGTAACTTTCAAGCGTCATAACTCGGAAAGGACTTAATAAAAAATTACTTCATTATAGTGTTTTGGAAAGCTCTCGAGATAAGCTACAAGAATTTCCAATAAAAAAATAGGGGATTCCATTTAAAAAAACAAAGTTGACCTTCATATGACCTTAGCAACGCCACCTATGGTCAAACTGATATGACTACTAAATAGATCTTTTTAAGCCCTATAACTTTTGAATCAAACATTTTTTCGTATGTTTCATATTTTTCGAAATATTTTAGCGTTCCCGGACTTTTTGAGGACCCTATATATAAATATATGTATAATTATATATAAAAATAACAGTCAACAATAAAATATTACATAGAAAGTATTCGGTCATCTGAATTTCTCTAATTTCTGTTAAATATGAGACATTTACGATCGCCTATAGATTGACCTTTTCTTTTTGTACATTATATAGTTTTATGATTCTATATATATTGAGTAGGACGCGACAAGTAATATCCCGCGCTCTAAATATCCCCCTGTTACACCCTCTCTCGAGGGCCTTTTTCTCAACGGAAAGAACTCCCTCGCGCGCGTTTTCCTTCGGTCGACAGTTGCGGGAGAAAGCTCGTCGGAGCGCCGGCGCTGGCTATTGATTCTCTTTGGGTACCGTGATTTCAAAAGTTACTATCACCAACGCACAAGGTGCCAGCAGTGGCGAATTGCTCCTCGACCGCGGACGCAGTCCTCCCACATTTCGTCCTTTGGTCCCGGCAGGTCGGTAAGGATTCCGCTTCCCTCTCGGCACGTCCGACAAGTGTGAACAACGGCGGGGTCTTCGGACGTTCTCCTCTTCGTACGAGCGATGCTGTGTCGCGTGTATACGAGGGAATCCGGGAAGTTTCCGTGTCAATCGCGCGGATATGCACGTCTGAATGAAGTGAAGAACACTCGTGCGCGAGGGCGTATATATTTGTCTGTGAACTGAGCGAAGATCTCATACATGCACCGAAGACACGTACATCTCAATTCGAACGAAGTGCGAATATCCTCCTTGTGGATATATGTAAAATTACTTAGTGAAATTGCCATTCATGCAAACGAATTGTTGCACCGAACGCTTACGCGCTCCATGCAAAAATTGCCTCCTAGTGAACTTTTCAATCGATTTTTTCGCATATATGTGCGAAAAGTATGTGCGTGAGTTTTGCGTAAGAAGGACACGTGTGTAGGATGTATGTACGCTTCTCTCTCTCTCTCTCTCTCTCTCTCTCTCTTTCTCATCCGCCGACAGCTGCGAGAGGAACGTGCATATGCATCGATTTGCAAATTATGTCTACAAGGAGAATCGTCGCATCAAGCATCTTTTTTCAAAGTTTACGATATTAAAATTTCACTGACTCCGTAAGCACGCTGGATTCGCGCGAACACGTGTTGCGAGGACCGATTATGTTACATTAATATGCTCAATTAAACGCTTCAATATGAGGCTTTGAATCGTCTGGAAGTATTCACCTCTTATTCCCGGATTCATCTTTAAATAATCTGCCGGTTGCCGCCGAAGCCGGCGGCTTTTTCACCTTCGTATTGATCACCCCCAATTGATCCCAACCCTTCTCTCAACAGGATGGAGCGTCTAGGCCTTTTCGCTTGATCAAAAGAGTCATCGGATCTGAGAGGGATTAAAGAAAAAAGGGAGAAGATATGGCGAACACGGCTCATCTCGTCCGTCGGCAAAGTTCCCGCGACCTCAAGCCCCAGAAGAGCATCGATAAGCTCGAGATGAAAGAAATGCGTGGTAGATTAGTGGTGGATAGTCGAAAGAACATCACCACTGCCAATTACGGGGCCACCAACGCGGCCTTCGAGGACAATAGTCCTAACAAAGTACTTCTTCCTTTTTTCCACTGTTCTCTTCCACTTCCGCAATATCTCTCTCCCTTTTGAATTCACATTCACATTCACCTCTTGCCATCGGTAGAGCAAATTGGGAAACAACGGCGGCACCGGCAACAACGACGGCAAGGCGACTTTCCGGCCGGAAGCGGGCGAGGATGAGCGCGAAAATTGGGACAGTAAGCTCACTTTCCTCCTGGCGACCGTAGGATACGCAGTAGGTCTTGGAAATGTCTGGCGGTTCCCGTATTTGGCTCAGAAGAATGGCGGAGGTGCGTTCGCTTCATCCGGATTCACGCTGATAGCGTTATCGCGCCGCTTTCAACGCGACTTTCATGTCCGCAGGCGCTTTTCTAATCCCTTACTTTGTGATGCTGGCTATCGAGGGTATTCCTATATTTTACCTGGAATTAGCGATCGGTCAGAGACTGAGAAAAGGCGCCATTGGTGTGTGGAACCAGGTGAGTACGAGAAAAAAGTAACGTACGATTAATGACCAACTGTTGCCGAATATGCTCCTTCCCGAAAGGTATCTCCGTACATGGGCGGTATCGGACTCAGCAGCGCCGTAGTCTCCTTCAACGTGGCCCTCTACTACAACACTATTATCGCCTGGTGCCTATTCTACTTTGTTCAGGTAAGAGACCCAGCTCGTTTTCTCGTCTTGGTCTGTTCGTATCGTTTGCTGTTGGAAAGAGAATAGCCGAAGAATCTGCTTTGCAGAGTTTCCAGTCGCAGCTACCTTGGGCGGAGTGTCCCAATAGGTACTTTCAAAATGGATCTTACGCGCCTGAACCCGAGTGTTTGGTAACTTACATTTACATCAACGTATCACAAATTAATTTTCGCACGTTACGGGCGCGCATGTCGACGTCGTGCATAATGTGCGAATCGATTTACAGGTTAGTAGCCCGACGCAATATTTCTGGTATCGAACCACCCTGATGATATCCAAGGACATCAACACCCCGGAACTGTTCAACTGGAAGATAGGCTTGGCACTGATCATCGCTTGGATTCTCGTTTACATGTGCATGATCAAAGGAATCGCCTCTTCGGGAAAGGTACGACATCGTCGGGAAACATCAGAATCACCAACATTCTGCGCCCAACTTCTTTTCTTCGTCTTCTTCAGGTCGTATATGTAACTGCTACGTTTCCGTACATCGTCCTGATTATCTTCTTCTTCCGGGGCGTCACCTTGCCGGGCATGTCGGACGGCCTGCGGCATCTCTTCACGCCGAAGGTGCGACGTTGCAATTTACTTTCTTTCACCTCATCGTTATCAACGGACTAACGAACAATCAGTAGGTCGCAAGTGACCATTGATTTCTTCTTTTAGTGGTGGACGTTGACCGACCCGGTAGTCTGGCTAGAGGCTGGCACGCAGATCTTCTTTTCCTTGGGTTTAGCTTTCGGAGGTCTGATAGCGTTCTCCTCGTACAATCCGGTAAACAATAACTGTTACCGCGACGCCATTATGGTCAGCTTGACCAACTGCTTCACGTCCATGTTTGCCGGCATCGTCGTCTTCTCGATCATAGGTGCGTGTGATAGTAACCTCGTTGAAGATTTATATTCTTAAGTCCTCTATTCCAATTTGGACAGGATTCAAGGCCACCATGGTTTACGAGCAATGCCTATTGGAAAGGAATAGCACGTTGACGGATATCTTCGGCCAACCCGACAAGATACCCAATGATATTCCAATTGCCGGCGTTTTGTTGAACATCACGAACACTAACGGATCATTGGATAACTTGATAATGCCGGAACTGCCCGAATGCGACCTGCAGAAAGAACTGGATAACGTGAGTGCTTCTCTCTGAATACTATTCTGAACATCTCTTCTCCCATGTCACTTATTTCGATTGTAGTCGGCGTCGGGCACCGGTTTGGCCTTTATCATCTTCACCGAGGCGATCAATCAATTTCCCGGCGCACAGTTCTGGTCGGTGCTGTTCTTCCTAATGTTGTTCACGCTGGGGATCGATTCTCAGTTCGGTACTCTGGAAGGTGTCGTCACCAGCATCGTCGATATGAAGCTCTTCCCAAATCTGAGAAAGGAAATTCTCACAGGTTATTTGCAATGATAAAAAAAAATATTCTTCAAGCGAATTGCGAATAAAAATGAATCCGATCTTGCGGCAGGTGCAATTTGTCTGGTGTGTTGCATGATCTCTATGGCCTTCGCTCACGGAGCTGGTAGTTACGTCTTCGTTCTCTTCGACAGCTTCAGCGGCAACTTCCCGTTGCTTATAATCGCATTCTTCGAGTGTATAGGTGTGTCTTATGTCTACGGTCTAAAGAGGTAAGCCTGAAGGACGCGTGGTTCCATGGGATCTTGAAGTGGAAGATACATTTCTTCGTAATACTTGGGTTGCGATGCTTTTAGATTCGCCGACGACATTGAACTGATGACCGGCAACCGGCCTGGCCTCTATTGGCTCATATGTTGGAAGTACCTGAGTCCATTGGCAATGTTGAGTATCTTGATCGCGTCCTTCGTGGAGATATTTTTTGAAGGTAGCGGATATCCGGCCTGGGTAGCGAGCAAAGGCATCACCGAAAGGCACGAGTGGCCTGTCTGGGCGCTATTTCTCATCGCAATCCTCATTCTCACCTCCGTTCTATGGATACCCGTAGTCGCTATTTGCAGGTTTGCATCAATATCAACCATACGAATGGCTGTCCCATCGTATCGTTTCACATCAACACTCCATGATGGTCATGTGTAGATATTTCGGAATCCTCATCATCGACGACAACGAAAAGGCCTGGTTCCCCGCGGCGGACCTGAAGGAATTCCACGGAATTGTGCCGCACGAGGTGACGGCGGCCGAGACGCTGTTGTTCTGCATCAGGAGCGACGGTTCCGAAGGCCTGTGTTGCCCTACGGGCGGTCCCAGTGACGACGAGGACGAGGAACTCACCTAGGATCGATCTCTGTCGCGACGCGCGTTCCGATGGATCTCGTCGGCTCGGGATACGCTCCACTTCATTCTGTGACGTGTCCATCTTCGGCTGCCGCTTGGTCGAGAGCGGCTGCCGCACATCTCGACGAACCTGTTCGTTCGAATCGTAGTCAGCGCATCCGCGTGGTAGGATCTTGTCTATTGTGTCAATTAAAAGCTTCGGCGGTAGGAATCTACTATCGTTTCTTCATAGTTCTTCAAGGTCGCAGATGCACTCGTATATTAGGAGACTCATTTCGCTCGTTTCAGTCGGCTCCAATAGCTAAAAGGTAGCCGTCGAAGATCCTAGATTTCTTCTCGGGGTTTCACAGTTCTCCAATTAAAGGAGCGAAGTACCCAGTGAGACGATACACCGGCAAGAATGCACGTGCCGATCACGAACTCGAGTGTATCTCCGCCTGAAAGATTTGAAGATCCCCTGTTTGAGTTTCCCAAGTCACATTAACTATACGCGAAATGGCATCTGAAGTTTCGGATAATGAGAAGTTTTAGGCAACCATCCGTGCACACACATGTACGCACACACGTATACACACGCACGCACACACGTATACAAATACATACATGATTTCGAACGAACGTCACAATCGCGCGTCGCGTGGCAGGATAAGTGGGAGGTGATCTTTCACGGGATGATCGCCGGCTATAACGAGTTAACGATGAAACATTTACCCTTTAGCGATTGCGATTAACGTCAGATTTAACGTAAGATTAGCGGTAGGAGCCGTCCAGTGGACTTGGGTGGGTGTACCCGTTGTTTTAGATAGGTAGCCTTGGATCAGCAGAGCGGTTGGCTCCTTAGATCTATGGATATATTTGTAAGGTTGAGCTTCGGGTGATTCTCTATCGATATCTCTCTACAGATCCAATGAATGTAACTAACTTAAGGGTTCAGGAACTAGTGTGGGAGCACACGAGTTCCTAGTGAGCTAAGACGCATTCAAGCATTTTCGGATGTCAGGATGTAAATGTCGGAGAACCCAAAGGTCTAAGGATCCGGGGGGGAACTCTACGAATCCACCGATTAATTACATCGATTAATTACATACCGATCGATAACGTGACAATAATGAATTTAGCATAAAAAAGGTAAAATTGATGACAATAATAATTGGACTATAAAATTATGCTTGACAATAAATACTAATTAAAAGATCCGCGCAGCATATGATGCGCATTTGGGCGAGCCCAGGGAGAACCGGGAAAGAAACTCCTTCGATTGATTCATCCTGCAAAGAAAAGAAAAACCGGTCTCTCAGGGCGAAGTGGAATTATCATCATCCGGTCCTCGTAGGTTAATTCATTGATTAGCGGGTCAATTGTTATCTTGATTTCTATGCTGTTGCGCGTGTTCAAATTCGACCTGACACGACAGAGACATTTTCTTTTTCAATAGTTGGACGGTAGGTCCAACTATTGAACAATAGAGATGAACATACGTAATCGCGCTTGTGATGGCGGGGAGAAGTCCAGGTCGAAGTTGAACACAGACTGTTCCCAGACAGCACATATGTCCAAAACTGGGACATAAGACGTCTTTAAGACATCTTTAAGTCATCTTTAAGATGTCTGAAAATAAGACATCTTTAAGTCGTCTTAAAGACGTCTTATGTCCCAGTTTTGGACATTGTGCTGTCTGGGTTGTTTCTGAAAGTTTCATGAGATCTTCCTGTTCGTACTTCCCCGCGACGATACTCGCGGCAGCCTGATATCTTCCGCGGTGATACTTTGAAACGTAACTCTTTGCACTCTGAATAATTATATCCATGTTGAAAGAATAATGATACATATATATGTGCGTTACATTATTTTATATAGGGAAACGTTACCTCTATAGTTAACACTGTACTTCCTATGCAAATATAGCAAATATAAATACGGGCCTCTCATTCTAATTGACGCGCAGGTGAGACTAACGAGAGTTTTATAGCTTCACGTTGAAACGAAAAAGTGCAGAGAGTTAACGGATTTTCATGACTAATTGGTTGTGGAGTATTCGCCTAAAACGTACAAATGTCAATACGGACAATAAGTAGGCTTTCGTTCTCTCTTTCGGGTTATCTATTAGTAAAAGTAAGCAGAAACATAACTGCATTAGCGATCGTTAAGTGACTAATTATTAAATAATGACAATAGGAATCATCAATTAAAGTGATGGGCATCGTCATCGATTAATCAATGACGAGAAACAAGCCATATCTTGATATCATATCATTTGTTACACTATAATAGTTTTTTATCTCGTATACTCATTCGATCTCCCTTCGCAAAAAAAAGAGAAAAATTTTTTGGATATCAAAGAATTTTTTCAGATTTTAAGCTTAATTGTGATGATTACTGTCTCTTTGCCGTTTGATTTGGTGAATATATGTCGCGTATTTTTATAACTAAAAAGAAACTAATTTTTGTGACCAAGAAAACTAATCTTCCATCTGGTATCTCCAAATTTTCACAGTATTCTGTGATACGACAAATTCGAAATTTAATTCGATTCAGGGGACACGAACGCAAAAGAATAAAACTAGAAGGGGGACGTTACAGCTGTTCATTATCACGACGACTGCTGCAGTTATCATTGGGGCTACAAAAAGTGATCTACCTGTCAGACTTTTGTTAATCGTATATTGTCAGTGTAGCTTGCGCAATAATTCAGGAGATACACCGGCGACGGACAGTAATAACAAATAATTATTATGTACGATTGCGACAATTGCGATATATATATATACAATGATATTGCGTATACGTAAAACTGTACATATATATATATACATATATGAATATATTGTTGTCAGTTGAATGTTGAAATAAATACCTTGAGTGGATTTAGCCTTTTCATTTTGATATTTTGACATTGGTACGCTAAAATGAGACAGAAATGTCCTCTCTTAGCATATGATAATAACACAAGCAGTTTCAGCTAGAAAATAAATAATTTATTGTTAATAGTAAAACGGGAGTTACATACTACATATATATGAGCACTTCATAACTATTATATTATCCTATATTTCTCTTTTATCCATTGAACTAGAGCGTTGCATTAACTCTAGAGTTTTCGAAAGTTTTCATTCAAATCTTTGAACATATCAATTTTATATTTTTATCGAATGCAACTACTGCGTTACGGAATCAATCGAATTTTTACGAACCTGAGGTTACTGGCAGAGAGAAACTAAATAGAAATACATACGATATTAATTGCAAATATTAAACGTAGCAGACAGAGAATTGGTACGTCCTCTATAAGTTTACACAATTCTTACATTAATTATCCGTTATCGCACGTACTTAGTCCAAGAATAAGTGCTTCAGCTTCTTATATAGCGTCCTTCGGAAAAGTATTTAACGGTAACAAAATATCGAATCCTTTACATATATATCCTACTATTATACATCCTTGAGATCTCTCTCTCTCTCTCTCTCTCTCTCTCTCTCTCTCTCTCTCTCTCTCTCTCTCTCTCTCTCTCTCTCTCTCTCTCTCTCTCTCTCTCTCTCTCTCTCTTCTCTTCTCTCTCTCTCTGTATATATATACTATGCCCTTATCAAAAAATCTTTATTCAAAGCCAAATTATCCTTCCATCGTCTATCATGAAAAATCACCATCTTTAGTTGAATTTAAATCATACGGCAGTAAACTACATATCGACATCAATAATGCAAGGCCCATTCGTTCTCCTGCAAAAAAGTATCGACTACTTCCTTCATCGCCAAGTTCGGAATCAACTGGTCCTGTGTCAGACGTACACGAGTAACTGGATCGAAATGACCAACCCGTTGAAGATGTTCCTCGATATCTTTCCGCTCATATGTAATCCCACTGGGCGTGATCACAGGCTCCTGAAGAATCTCGAAGCTGATTTTGCCGCATAAGTAGTCGGGCACTTCTCTTTTCTGCACACATATACATATATGTATACAATATTTTATTTGGAGATGTTTAATAAAACAAGCAGAATGCAAAATTCGTTTTGAAAGCTAAAGATGGGGAAGATGAAAAGAAACAAACCCTCCTCCTTTCATCGACCTTGGCGAAGAGATCGTTCAGCCGCGATATGCAAGTATCTCTCTTCTCCTCGATTTCCTCCTTTCTCCTGGCAAATTCGGCTGAGCTTGCCTCCGCATCAGAATCCTTTGCTGGCTCTTGCTCTTGCAAAGTAGTTAAACTGCGCTTTGCATCGTCTATAATTAGTTGATTTAGGTAGGTTTGCAGCTCAATGTCTTGGGCGATCCTTTGTTCCTCCCTCATCTGAAAGCGACGTTTACGGGCTTGTCGTAATACGCTGGTGACGTCATCACCATAGTTCAACTTTTGTTCCTTTGCCAAATCCACAGCTGCGTTGCGTTGAATATTTAATATTTATAATCAAATTTATATCAATTGTGTCATCTACACTCAGGAGAACAGCAAGATTATATAAAAGCATGTTTTGATACCTCTTTGTAAATGCTTCACAGCCTCGTCATAAAGCTCCAATTCTAGCAGAGCAAGTCCCAAGAAAAAGTGACCTTTCATCAAACAAGGGTCTATATCTAAGGCTCGTCTGCAGTCTTGACACACGGATTCCCATCGTTTGAGCTTCAAGTGACAAAGTGCCCGATTTGTGAAGTATAATGCTTGATCTGGATTTTTGATCTGCAATATATGTATAAAGAATTGAAAGAAATGAGAAATCGTTTATGCAATACATAGTACGCAACTATCTGCGTCCCTACATATTCAATTAAGATACAAAGTATTATCCCCACAGCAATTCAACTTAAATTTCCCCCTCGTTTTCGTCGTTATCTTTTAGTTCAAACTTTCGGCGCCAGGGGCACCATCAAATTATGGTCTTCGGCACACCGCGTGATTTATGACTCAAAACAAAAAATATCTTGCTGCGTAACGAGCAAGTGGGCGCACGGACGAGCCCCAAATTGGGCTCTCGATTCGAATGCGTGATCGCATGTATGCATCGATGTCACTCACGATCGCCTTTGTGTAGCAATTAGCCGCGTCTTCGTACTTGTGGAGGCTGAAAAGACGGTTTCCTTGTTCCTTCAGCTCCTTGTCGGACAGGTTCGCCGTCGAATACATCTTACTCATGATGGCGATCGGTATCACGTCGCACTACATGCACGATGAATTATTCGCAACAGAAGCCGTACGAATGCGTGAAACAATAATCAGGATATTATTTCTCTAACCTCAAACCCAGGACGCCTGATGTTTCATCTTGCATCCGTTAAGTCATCGACTTTGATCAAGCCGACGTGCACGTAGACTGGCTAACGAAGAAAATCGCAGTACGACGCTACAGACATCTCGAGGGAAAATTGAACATTATCTTTATAAGCATTTCTCGTTTTTATTTCTTTTTCCAGATCATTGATTTCGCAGGAACTTACATACGTTTGACAAATTCTATAGATTTTGATAGGCGTATAAAACATCGATCGCGAAATGACTCTTATTACCTTTGACAAGTAAAGATAAAAATCATATATGTTTCCGATTGGGTATCAATTCGACACGGCACGATTGGACACAAAGTAAATGATTGTGACTGGATTTAATAATTCACTAGATGAAACTTTGTGCCGGTTGTCCAATCGTGCTGTGCCGAATTGAAGCTCTCCCGTTTTTTCGCATTTAAAGTAAACGCTCTAAATGCAAACATCATAATCGGTTTCACGTATGACATTCTCTCCCAAGATCTTTCTCAAAAAATTGGTCACAGCTGATTAATATAGAAGCCGAGAGATTCCAGAGAGTTTTCTCTTTACTGACTCATCACTGATTATTAGGTAGTGATGACTACTGGCTGTTATACAGAGTGTCTCAGAGCTTTGGGACACGGGCTCCATAGGGACTAAGACCATAGAGCTAAGTGAGAGGAACAAAAAGTCCTCTACCATAATGTGAAAATCGTAATAGTTTTTTAGTAATAACCGCGTAAAGTTTGGTGTTTTCCACGCCCATCGCGGCCTATAGACGCTCCGCGGCAAGCTGTGTGTAGAGGCTGAGCGATAACGCGTCTCGCGCTGACTGTCACGTTGGCGTCTTGGCGCTTTGACGCCGCGCGATGGTCAGCGCGAGCCGCGTTATCGCTCAGCCCCTACGCACACAACTTGCAGCGAAGCGGCTATAGGCCGCGCTGGGCGTGGAAAACACCTAACTTTGCGCTGTTATAATTAAAAAAACTATTACGATTTTCACATTATGGCCTCTTTTGGTTCTCTTTTGGTCTGGAGGACTCTTTTGTTCCTCTCACTTAGCTCTATGTCCTTACGAAGCCCGTGTGCCAAAGTTCTGAGACACCCTGTATATGAACAAGGATAGGGATAACTACTGGCTGTTTGCTTCCAAGTCCATATCCGACCAAATGGCTTCAGTCTCGCTTTCTTCGGGCGCCTCGTCGTTGTCCGTGTCCGGCAAACCGTCGCCGACGTCGTAACTCGTATCAGCTTGCTCTTCACCGACAGACATATAGTAAGCAGAGTCGAGTTTACTGGAGGAATTGTCAAGTCTATGCATTCCTTCCAAAGCTTTTCTGTTGCTCGGATCTAAGCTGGAAGCGGAAACGAAAAGTATAAAAGTTGCATCTAGATTCACAGTACAGATAAATGAAATTGTAGAAGCAGATGGTATACTTCAAAGCTATGGCATAATGATCCAAAGCTTTCTCCTCATTGTGCACTCTGGCCCACAAGTCTCCCAAGGTTTGATGAAGCCTACAGGTGGACTGGATCTCCACTTGTCTCTCGAGTAATTTGATGGCTGCTTCGAAATTCATCTCTTGCTCGTATATCTCCGCGAGATAAAACACCGCGGTTAGGTAAACTTCATCTTGAGTTAACGCCTTCTGAAGAAGATTCTTGGCCTTACCCACAGACACAGGGTCCTTCATTAGCACGGACGCGTACAACTGTAAGAAGAAAGCGATATTTAACATTTTCAGAACGACGTTCCGAAATTTGAAACTTACTGTCAGGACTCTGGCAGTATGTCCTAGCTGTTTGCAAGAGCTGCTGGCGATATTCAATGCTTCCCTCAACCGATGCATCCCAACTAGACAGTCCACCAGGCCCTTATGTGGCTCGAATCTGTAAGGTTTCAGCTGCACCGCGTGCCTGAAGAAGAACAACGCGTCCTGGTACTTTTTCTGCTCGATGAGGATGTTGCCACGTAATATGGTGGCTTCTATGTCGTTGGAATTCAGATTGAATGCCTGAGCGGTGAGAGTATGAGCTCTACTGAATTTCCTTGCTGCATACAGAGAGTACGCCATAGCCACATAAATCTCACTGGTGCATTCGTTGTTGGCAGTAATTTGTGGTATTAACCGTTCTAAATCCTTGTAATGCTGCATATTGTATAGCACAGCAGCATATACATCCACCCTGCGGAGAGATATGAACATACTATTCTTTGATATATTCTTAAATTCTTAATGCTTACCCTTTTGTTATATCTGGCTCAAAACCCCGGGCGCGTCTCAAGCATAATAGAGCATTTTTATCATCGCCAGCATAATAATAACATTCTCCCATGATTGTCAATAGGTTGAAATTATCTCTGAGTAAAACATTGTCCAATGATCTCAACGTTGATACAGCATGTGCATATTCTCTATTATGAATATGAGCATGTGCCTTAATCCATGAGTTTAACCATTCCAAGTTCATTGAACCAGAGCTGACAATCAGAGAGTTAACTTCTGTACCCTTTACACCTAAGGAGAGAAGTCCTTCAGCTGCCTCCAAAGCCAATGGACACTCCTTTAGAACTTCTTTATACGTAGTGATAGCAGACCGTTCCATTCCTTGCTCGTGGAACATTTTGGCCAAAGCCATGTTTACCTTGGCAGTACGTTGTTTGCCAGGTATACTTTGTAACACTTGTAGTGCTTCCTGTGGGTTCTTAGACTTCACTAAGCACAAATGAATCTGATATTTGACATTGACATCTGATGGCAGATCTTTCTGTCTATCCAACAGGGGCTTTCCTGTGCCCTTTGACTTGAGTAAACATTTACGGAACTGTAGAGCTTTCTTATAAAGGGTCTCTGCCCTGCGATATTTGCCCAAGTGAAAATGAGCATCTGCATAATAGACATACACATGGAACTTGTTGTAGCCGGGAAATAGCTCGGCATTGTGCTCGCTAAGGGAAAGCACTAGGTTTGTTAGGGAGATCACATTGGAGTACAATGATTGATCGTACAGCAATTTGATCTGTTCAAATAACCCTGACATGGTTGGTCTTCCTTTGATAGATTTTACTGAGAGTCGCTAATGAACTGTAATAATAACCAGAAGAAAAGTATGAGAAACTTGAAATTTCTAAAATCTTAAGATATGACAAAGAAGCATGAGTTTGACGAGTTTTCTAAAATTTATAGTTCCTCTAGATTTGTTCACATAGTTCCTCCTGCTTGCATTATATTCGAAATTCATATAGATCGGTTAAAGATATAGAGCTACATTAACGAGCAGGTTCTATGAAAACTACTCACCTCGGTTTTAATAAAACACCAGCTGATATAACCTAAAAGATTATTATGCTGCTTGAAGTTATTGACGTAAAATGTTTGAATGATAATTCGATAGAGGGCATTACAATATGTTACATACGCGCCAAATATAAAATGTTGCTATTTTTATCTTTTTGTAATATAACATATTTTATATTATTTTATATGTACAATATTGTATTGATATAACTGCAAATATTTTGCGTCATTTCTGCGAATGTGATGTTCTAATTTGTGAGTTATTTGTTGATTGTGAATTAATTTTTGTAGATAGGCAAGTGCCCGCGACAATCGAATTGACTTGAAATTGTCTGTCAATTGATATCCCCATTTTTACAATAATACGTCCCATCTTTAAACAGAATGGAATAGAATCCTCGTCGACGAACGAACGGCAATAATCCGTACCTCGAAAGAACGTTAAAAAATGCAAGAGAGTAAGTCCTATCTGTTTTTGTGACATAGCATCGTGCTATTATAATCTTCGCGGGAAATTCGCAGATACTGAAAAAACCCATCCAAGCACATCAAGTGGCGGACAATTTATCGACACGTTGATCGGACAATGGATGAAGAGGACAGGAACAAACATCGTATTGCACCAAACGGAAAATGTACCTGCAGAAAGTCAGACGGTGAGTACGATGTAAGTTTCCGCGAAATGTCTCCTTCAACGTCTGCTTCGCTCACACAAATTGTGATCTGTAAAAATAGCGAGTGGCTGAAAACTCAAACTCACAAGAGAGCAAGCAGGTTTTGCAAAACCAGGAACGCAGCATCCAAGTCTTACAACGGAAACTAAAGCAGAGCCAGAAGGCGGAAATCTCTCTGTCTTCGGCCTTGGAAATGGAGATGCGTAATAAGGAAGAGATTCAAATAAAGTAATCCTTTTTATTTCCTACCTCAACGTAACCCCATGACTTGCCGTACGACCTAATTTACCCTTTGACACCATTGATAGGCTGAACGCCACTTGGGAATCCATCGACACTATCGCAGATTACTTCAATTACATCAGCGAAAGCCTCGCGAGCTTCCAACAGCACCGTGCTAATTTATCCAACCTTTACGACAATGTGATCCTGAAGCAACAGGAAAACATTCAGAAGCTGCAGTCGAGCAATACAATGTTGAAAGGCATGACTTTTGAACTTCCGAATTGTTTCAAAACTTTCTAATTCGAAATTCCTTCTCGTGATAATCATTCCTATAATCGTAGATCTGCAGAAAGATATCGCGCAATTCGAAAACGAATCCCAGCTGCAAGAAAAAAGGTAATAACACGCACGACAATAATTCGATATTTATACAGACACGTAACGATACTCTCAAAGTCGTTTCGGGAATCAGATTTCAGGAAGCGACGATAGAACAGAATAAGTTGCGGAAACAATTGGAGGACTCCGTTTGCGAACTGCAATCGCAGAAGAATAAATTGGCGAATGTGCACGCCGAGGAGAAGTTGAAGCTCGTCAAAGTTCGTTAGATCAGCCATTTTATTCGAAGCAGCCTTGTGTTTTTTTTTTCTGTATGCTATATATATTTTTTTTCTCATATTTTGACTCGCTGCTCTCCCTCTTTTCTAATTTAGGAGCAGCAGCGGTTGCTACTCGAATATGAAAATTTGCAGTCGCGGCTGCAAATTATCGAGAATGAAAAATGCGACATCACGAAGTCCGCAACACAACTGCAGAATAAATTACTGCTACAAGAAGAGAAGTGAGTCTTCGCGCCAAATGCAATAAATCGCACGAGCTATGCTACGTAATATCTGAATATTTCTTCTTTTTTCTTTCAGGACTCAAGCAGCGTTAACGGAACAGAGTAAACTGCGGAAACAATTAGAAAATGCTAATAATGAATTTTACATGCAGAAGAATACTTTAATCAGCGCATATGCCGAAGAGAAGAAAAAATTGATTGAAGTAATACATTGGGAGAGGGGAACTCCAGAATGTTTTAATCTCACAGTTTAACTGTAATGTTTCATTTTTTTTCATAGGAGCAACAACAATTTCTATCTGATTGTGAGAGTTTGCAATCGCAGTTAAGCATACTGAAGCAAGATAACAGCAACGCTGCGGAGGCAGTCGTGCAAAAGGATACGCTTATTTCGAAGCTCCAGAAAGAAAATTCCACGTATAAGTGAGTATTCGAATCGATGAGATATTTATGAAAGCGAGTTTTAATTTTTATCGTGTAGGAATCAAATCGAGACGCTAATGACGAGTAACAAGGAGGCGAGTGACAAGTATAAAGCTTTGGAGGAAAAGCAAAACATGTGGGAGAAGGAATCGCATACAAAGACGGAAAGAGTGAGTTTGATGCAAGCATTTTTTTTCTTTCATCAAAATTTTGAGCTTTTGTTTACTTGTCTAACATGGGTTATCTTTTAGATTCAAAGCTTGGAAGGGGTATTAAACGCGATGAAACAAAGGGAGACCAGCTTTGTCAATGACATAAACAGAATAGAGAAAAATTTAACCAACGAGAGGGATTACTCCAAAAATCTCGAGAGCAAGCTGTCGGGTGTGAAGAAAGACTTACACGCCGCAGAAATGCAAAATTCCGAGATGCAAGAAGCTCTGAAAAGCGCCAAGTCTGCCAATGAGCTTATTAACATTGAACTTCAACACAAATTGAAGGTTCTTCAGAAGAAGAAGGAGGAAGTTGCTGAGCGTGAGGACATGTGGACTAAGGTAACGAATGCGAATCGTATATTAACATAAAATTCACACGACTGATGTTCCAACTTTCCAGAACGCAGAGATTTTGCACGAGAACACTCGAGCCAAGCACGCAGAAGAAGTGTCGGCCTTGACGAACAGCTACGAAGCACGTTTGCTGGAATTAAGGAAGACTATAGAGCGTCTGAACGAAACAAGTAATAATATCACGCAGGAGAATAGCGCATTAAAAACGTCGTTAACAGAAATGAGAGAGGAGAACATCAGCCTAAAGAGTAACTATCAATTTACTATGGAACGTAACGAGAATCTTCAGAACAAGCTGAAAGAAGCCACAGATGCGATGCAGATGAATATTCAGGAATCCAAAAAGAACTTCCTAAAGGATAAGAAGCAGACAGAGGCCAAGAGCGAATTTGCGTTGCGTTCCGAGCCAGAGATTATGGAAATGCTCGAAGCCGATCAAAGCAACGTAAGTGAACGGCGAAGATGATAGCAATCGTCGATTATCGAATGTTTCGCGGAATACGAAATGAACGATGCAGGATCTCTCTGGACGCACTTATGAATTATCTCTGTGAATCCCTCCACTTTTAGGTTTCTACATCTATGAATCTCGGATCACAGATCTCGGATCTCGGCGATAACGAGTACGGCAGGTCATTATCGCAGCGCCGGAATCGGACGTACTCGATAGAGAGGGAAAGTCCAAAGGAGGTACGTAAGTACGTTCACATGCCATTAGCGAGAGAATAACATAACTCGTAAATTAAGTGAACTTAAAGAGAGCACGGCAAAAGTGAAATATGAATAAAAGAGGATAATAGCGTAATGAAGTCTCTCGCGAGAGTTGGCGGGGTATTGAAGTAGTGAAAGTGAGAGCAAATACACGAGTTTTTAATGCATAATCTTATTCGTCCTCTCATTCTCCGCTAATAGATATCGCGCTGAAACAGTTATAACAGATGGAAGCGTTTTGTTGACTTATTTTTGTTTTCTGTTTCAGCAAGAGAAGGAAGTTACGTCAGCGGGAAAGAAGTTCTTCAAATCGCGTCAGCTGCGTACTTATTTGAAACGACGATAGATTTCATGAGGAAGCGAAGAATATGTTCATGAATGAACATCGACGTCGTTATCGTTTAATGTTTCATATCTTTTCTCGCTTTTTTTCTCTTCGTTCCAAGTATCTGTTAGAAACTTATCAGTTTAGAAAACGATAGCAACGAGGCAAGATAATTTGCAGTCGCGAGTAGAAGAAAACAAAAGAGTCAAAGGTTCCGGCATATCCAGCGTAAACACAAGATCGATATCGGGAGGAGTGGGTAGCTGCATTTAAAATGCGCCGTGAACACGGAGCGTAGTCAGCGTCAGCGCTCTCGAAAAAACACCCACGCACCTTCGACACGATGAAGACAAGATTGTATATAGCTGGTGGAAGAGAGCGCGCAGAACGCTTAAATTTAAACGTGATTCACCGGTCCGCCATCCAGCCAATAAATGATCCCCTTTGAATCGACACGAAACTCAAATTACGCAACGCGGTAATGGAATCGCGGATTTCGTCATCCTCGCGGCTGGAACGTTTCGTACGCGTTACTTGTTTCTTCCTTTTTGTAAACCTTACGAGAACCAGTCTCTCGCCCGTGTAAAAATACATCTCTCTTATACGTTGCATATGTCGCGACTCTTTCCTCCAGTTGCTCGCTCCGCGAGAGAAGATTCATTTGGCACGGACCTCTGTTCTCTTTAAAACCATAAATCCTCGCGTCTCATAAATCAGCGACGGTATCTTCAGTTATTATATCTACGGACTTTTGTCTGCAAGGATGTCTGAAAAATTGTCTCCTCCGCTAGACTTTCAGTCTATCTCGCGTTCGTGCGAGGTGGTATCAGCCGCGAAATCTGGATCGCGCAATAATAACCCGAGCCGTATGACAGAGAACTATTTAAAAGTAGCACGCCCCACTTTCCACGAGGGCGGCCGTTTTTTTTTTCCATTTTTTTCTTTCTGACTCAGGACCTCGACACGTTGCCTATGCCCTACACCGATACGGCCTCGTGTGTTCGCATCTCAGCCTCTAATCAGACTAGGTCAGCGCGAATTGTCCCATTTGAGCGGATCAGATGATCCTTAATCTGACATTTCCGTCTTTGAGAGCGAGCGTACAATTCAGGTAATTCAGCATCAGCTTTGCGTATCCGTGAGAGCATAAATAATCAAAGGAACGATGTTTGTCCTTTTCGCACTGGTCAATGTCCAGGCAATCAGCTTTTCGTTGCGTAAACCGAGGGAATTGGAAATACCTCAAAGCGGTGTGTCGTTCGTGTTAATTGCGTCGACTGATTACATCTTACTGATTGAAGAGCAAGATTTTTGCTCGACGGAGAGGAGTCGCGGGTTTTCTCAAATTTTCGAATACTTGGAGGTTACAAAATAAACGGACATTCCATAAGTATAAATCGGATGACGAATTGACCTTCCGTCGCGTGAAACTTCACGACCGCTGCATCTTGCGTGAGATCAAGGCTGCGAGGAAGTGAAAAGTTCCGGACGATTAACCACTATTAATCGCTACGCACGAGACGAACGGCTCGATTGAAGCTTAGCGAGAAGACGGGTGGATTCATCGCGATACTCAAGAAGTGTCAGGATTAAAACCGCGCGCGGCCCACACTCATGCGAATCTTGTTGCGGCTTATTTACCAGACGCTGCGATCATTATTAAACTGTCCAATTTTCACAGCAGCTGCGTCTTGCCGCGAATTTCGGAAAACCTATTTCTCGTTTAACTGAATAAGCCGCTAATATTAGAATCCCGAAACGCGTGAAATCACGTACGCTTACGTCGCTTCATACTGGGTGTCCCATAGCCGCGCAGCGTGGAGGAAAAATAAGTCGGACGTTGCGCAAGTGAACATGCGGGAAAGAGTACGGGATGAATGGTCGATGAAGTTTTCAGGACCCATCAGACAGGACACGTGGCGGACAAAACGATGAGGAATCGTCAAGTACCTCTTCGCCTGGGCGAGATTCTCCTCCTGCCGTCTCTTGGGACACCCTATACTCTCTTACGTTGTTGGACAGACTTCTCCCCCGACTTGGTCGCGGTGGGTGCGCGGTCCACGCGAGCATATAAAAAGCTGCGACTAGGAGCCGCGGCACTTCAGTCTTTTCCAAAATATCACAAGGATGGCTCTAGAACGTCAAGTGCGCGCTAAGGTATATATATATTTCGGCAGTGTAACCGCGCTTCGTCGTCCCGGTGCAAGCGTTCCGAGCCGTTTACGGTCACGCGCGTCGCACAGTGATTTTCCGAGTTATCTCCCTGGACTCCCCAGCGGCGAGAAAAGAAATCTCACCGTTTTTAATGTAGAAACGCACGCTTGAAAGGGCAAAAAGAAAAGAGAGAAAAACGTGTCGTTAGAAACATCTCCTCCGGACGATCCAGGCTACTCCGAGTCGCGCCAGGCCGTTGATTTTTCCCCGAGATTCACCAAGTACACCCCGCGGACCTCCAGTTTTCATGCTGGCGCACGAGATTAGATCGAACCTCGCGACCTTAGAGTCTAAATTTTAAGCCGGCGTTTCTCTTCGCAGATCGCGGCGAAGCGCAACCCCGAGCAGGAGAAGGAGGCGCAGGAATGGATCGAGTCGATCCTTGGTAAGAAATTCCCTCCCGGCGAGACCTTCGAAGATGTGCTTAAGGACGGCCAGGTCCTGTGCCACCTCATGAACAAGATCTTGCCCGGGTCGGTGCCGAAAATCAACTCCAGCGGCGGACAGTTCAAGATGATGGAGAATATCAACTTGTGAGTAATGGTTCGCGGCAAAGATCATATCGAGGTACTCACTCACTGCACAGCAGCTACATCGAGCACGTTGCAGGTTCCAAAAAGCCCTCAAGGACTACGGGGTGGACGACGTTGATGTTTTCCAGACGGTCGACTTGTGGGAGAAGAAAGACATCGCGCAAGTAGTGACGACGCTGTTCGCCCTCGGCAGAACGGTACGTGTTCTCATAGTATCATAGCTTGCAATTATTAGATAAGAGATAAGAAAAAACTCGCGGCCGGGAGTAAGAAAGGACCAACGAAAGCTCGAGACGGGATATTCAGTCACGTCTGTGAAATCGTTGGATCTTGTTGCTGATACACGCGTGCTGACACCTACGACCCTCGCTCTCATTGACCCTTTTCGTCCCAGTCAGAACCGCAACGTTGATTCGACTCTGATTGATGTCGTAGTGGTCGACGAAACGTTGAATCAACCTTAATTCAACTCTCATCGACGTCGAATCAACATTGTGGTTCTGACTAGGGTGTCGTTATCGTCGACCTCTCTGTGGTAATTTCGCATATTTGTTGTCTCTACGAAGCGCGCGATGATGATGATATCCGAACCGATACAATAATATCAGTGGAGTTAATCATCGCCATTAATCTCTGTTCGCTTAGACCTACAAGCATCCCGAATGGAAAGGACCCTACCTGGGACCTAAGCCGTCGGAGGAGTGCAAACGTGAATTCACTGAGGAACAATTGCGCGCTGGCGAGTCGGTGATCGGTTTGCAGGCGGGTTCTAACAAGGGTGCGACCCAGGCCGGTCAAAGTCTTGGCGCGACTCGTAAAATCCTGCTTGGAAAGTAAATCAAAGTTCAGTGTAACGGCAGACTCTCTCTCTCTCCCTCTCCCCCCCTCTCTCTCTCTCTCTCTTCTCTTCCTCTCCCTCTTTCCCCACTCGCTCGCTCTCTCCACCTTCCCACTCCTTAGAGCTAAAGTCGCGTACTTTTTTATGTACACAAACGCATATGTATACTTTACTTTTTGTAATTAAACGATAAATAGTTGGTCACTTATTGATCCACCCCGTCGCATTCGACATCTCGACGGATATCTACCGTAATGATAAATTACTGTCCCTTTGTAAAAATCGCCTAAGATACATCTGTCGCTAGTTCAACGTACCCGGCGACATTGGTCGTCGCTGATTGAGCGATAAATTAATTTTTGTAATTGAGCGTTATCGTTATTTGTTTCACCTATCTTCGCACAATCACGCCAAGCTGTTGCAGCGGTAGATACGTGCTTCGAAAAATAAACTGTTGCTCGGAGAATTTTCAATAAAGTTCTATCCATCCGAAATGAGTGCTGTTGAGCTTTCTTTTCCTTCATCAACGCTTACGTTTCCGTCCAGCCGCGGCCGACCCATCGGTCACTCGCCATTCTTCAGCAATCGCCATTTATGGTTGCGAAAGTGATCTCGCTTCGGCTTCACGCTGGAGACGTCGAAAATAAAACGCGGCGCGCACGATGCAAAATTGCGTGCAATTGGAATCGTGCCAAGTTAAGTCGTGCCGGTACGCAGGAGAGTACGCCGCGAGAGTTCTATTGATACCCGAAACGATGCTTCATATCGCCCATCCAAAATCCGCGAGATGCTGCCGCTCGCAGCATTCTCATCGACGTACATAATTTTAGATCTCGCACAGCGAGCGGCTCATTAAAATTCGCTACGCCTCGCTCCGTTTCGCAGCGGAGTCACCTTTGCCGGTATAACATGCACTCTTTTTACGCGCTATTAGAAAAAAAAAAATATATATATACATATGTATGTATGTCAGCACTTGAAGACATAAACATTATCGGTGAAGATACGGACTATTATCTGATAACGCCGCGTCTGAAGTTACCAGAATACGCAAACAAAACCGCGGTGTAATCCAAAGTCAAGTACAAACATGCGGACATATTTATTTTAATCGAGCACACCTTGTAAGTTGTATATAAGACGTTGTGATACGCACAGGGTGGAAGAATACATTCGCACGCGGGCCTCATCGGACGGAAAAACAGGTACGTTGTTATTATTTCTCTCGGCGTTCGACACCACGTGCGGGGATTGATCGCAGAGCGCACAATTTTTCGCACGACGAATAATTGTTCAGCAACGCGTGAGATCTATTATACGCACGCTTGCGCCCGCCATTTAACCCACAAGCTACAGTTTCCATTGTCCACGATGAAAGAAGATGGAAAAGCGCGCGCGCTTTCCGAGAGCGATCTCTGCTCTGTGTTCTCTCGAATTCTCCTCGCTCTCGACTTTGCGAAGGACCCGGAAACGTCTGGTGGATTAGAAACCACATGGCCCAGACGAAACTCGAACGGGGAATGTTTTCCTCGCTGGCCGAGCCAATCGGTATCGTTCTCTCCACCTTGCCGATGTCGATTTCTCCCGCGGAAACGCGCGTATAAACGATACATCGGATGCAAATCGCGCGAGCGTGCGACGTTATCGTGCCGGGACTAGTCGGCAATTCCGCGAGACGAATAGAGCGTGGATGTGGATCATGCCAGGGTTACGATAGTTTAGAACGCAAACCGATGGAATTATTTCATATCGACCTCGACCCGCCGACTCCGCGACCGCGCTCTTTCTAATGCGGCTCTAACGCGGGAGCTCTCTCGCGATTAGGACACGGCTAATTTCGGTGTCATTACAGCTGCGATCGTGTCCCGTTTCCCTATTTTTCTTTCTTCTCGTGTTTGTCTGTTTTTTTTTTCTCTTCTTTTTCCTCTCGGAGTAGAGAGCAGAAGTGCGAGCGGGTTGGGAGGGAGAGACGCGAGCGTGTAAGAAATCAAACTCTCCATTCTAAGCGGGCGAAGCGGGAGGGGGAAATTAGAAGGCGAGAAGCTACGCTCCTGCTTATCTCCCTCGGCGAAGAAATGCGAGGGAGACAGGTGCAGCGTGTATTTCTTTTTTTTTTCACAACTAATTTTTCAGCGGAGATTATTGATCGCTGATACAAGCTTAATCGATGCGATTTTAATCGATGCAAGTTGAATCGATTTAGCGCGCTTGATAAGATACGCGTAGCTTGTGTGCAATATCGTATTTTATGTGTGAAGTAACGAATGAGCCTTTTGTTTATGATTACGACTGTCACAAGATACGGGACATAAACAGTTCTACATATTATTGCATCGATGCGCGATATCGGTATCGGTGCTACAAATTATCAGAAATGAGTGAGTAGTATGAATAGATATCACCAAAATTGATACTCTCCTCTCGGCCGGTACGCAACTTCAAGATTTACAGATACAAAGATTTAGAAACTTGAACGGAATCATTGTCAAGACTTTGGGACTTGGTACATTTGCGTAATTACCGCGATAAGATATTACGCTAAACAGGCACCTGCGGTGCCTGAGAAAATCAAGCCACGAGAATACAATGAATTGCGCGCCTTAATTATCTCCGACAACGCCGTCCTTTCGCCGGCTACATTGTATCCAAATGCGTCAACAGTATCCGATACGGTACTCGAATACCAGTTCATCTCTGATAATGCGCGATTCACTTTACAAGACGGTCGGTAATTAAATCTTTAATCGTAACTCATGACTCCCGACTCATTCGTGCAACCCTACGTATTCGTGCGAATGTAAGCATCGTTCAACGATCAAGTGTATGCAGATATGATCGATCGATCTTCTGCCGCTCTTCTCTGCCGGTGAGATCTCTCGCGTGATAGGGAGACGCTTACGTAAATAAAAGAATGCCACAGCGGTTGTTTTTTTCATGTCAGTGTGAAAAACGCCGTCGACGACGGATGCGTTGAGGGAGACACTATTAGCGCCGCCAACACAAATGCGGCCAAAACTGTTCGCGGAGCGCGATAGCGATAACAAATTCCATGAAAAGTAATGAAATAGCGTAAAATTAGCATCATGCGTCACCGCCGTTGTACTCACTCAACGGCCTTTTAACTTATCGGTTTGTGCTTTAAAAGCACTAGTTGATGAGAGTTGCAGTTTAAAATCCTCTCTCAGCATCTCGAAGCTTTGCTCCCACGGGACTGTTAATTACGCACGTAAATAGTAAGATAATAAATACGACGTAGGTACCATTCAAATGCAGTCGCATACAGTGTGTATGTGTGTGTGTGCGTGCGCGCGCGCGTGTGTGTGTGTGTGTGTGCGTGTGTGTGACGTGCAATTCAGGTGTTAGTATTTTAGGCACTCACAAAGCTTACAGACGCTAATGCTATTAATGCACCGAAAGGGACAAAGAATTGATAGCGATTAAACGATATGACACACAATGCTATCATTAATGGTGTCATGATAACGTTCGTTAGCGCTATCACCCGGCTCCGTGAACAATTTGCAATGCTAAGCAGAGCTGTAGTGACTCCTCGAACGCACTCGACGTATCGCAATGACCATAGCAGTTGGCTCACTTTTTCAGCAAAGATACATCGACACATTCTGTCTGTTGTTTCTCTTTGCTTTTCTTTATTCTCTCTTACTTCCTGCTTCTGTTTCTCCTTTTTTCTTTCATACAGCACTACAGCGTGTAGAGAAGAAGCATGCGCACCAGTCCGTATCTATTTGGCTACTTTCTCGAGTCGCGCGACATGACGTGCCGCCCGCGCTATGCGGAAATAATTTGTGTCGTATATAGTAACGGTCTTAGTGACGGAGATGATAATGATAATAATTTAGCAACATTGCACTCGCGATTAAACGTAATAACACGGTAGCGTTAAAAATAACAACGATATAGAGCTACCGCGACTCGAGTCCTCCTGACGATGGGTGATTTAAATGCACGCTTTCGGAGAAGAGAAATTGGTGGCTTTTGAAGCATCCTGTATCACTGGTCGCTTGCGATTCACGACGTTCGTGTGTCTCCCACCCACGATCTTCCAGCTGTCTCCTTTCTTCTCTTCCGAATCACTCGCGTCTGATCTCGTCGTCTCGCTCGTCTCCTCTCGCTCTCTTAACGCACACCACGTCTCCGCCCTTCCACCACTATTCTTCTTCTAGGATGCTTTCGTTTTTATTAGTAACAACCCGAGAGTCGGCGTCGGTACAGATTGAAACGGTAACAAGCTTGACGCATGGACGAAGAAGAAAAGGTTAATTCTGTATCTTCGCGCGACATAGACATTTGTTTTTACGATAGATCTTAAATCTCGTCTTCAGGCTGAATATTTATACTTGCCTGTTTGTCTGCGTTTGAACGACGAACCTTGAAGCATCATTTTAAAATGCGAAGGTCGGGCAATAATCCTTGTTTGATGTCTTCCAGCAACCTTCGGAAAAATGTAATTTGCATTCTGTACGTTAGCACGGTATATACGATAGGATAATTCTGTCGATTGGCTGTTTGAAGCGAAGTCTGCACGATATGGTGAAGTTCATCATATAGTACACCAACGCCCTCTGGTACTATCTCTTACTTTCTTTTTCTCTTTCTCTTTTTCATATATTAACCGAAAATACTATTTTTCTTTAATACTCGATACTTAGCTTTATACTTGAAAACGTTATTGATACTCAAAATTGGTGACGATATTATTAAATAACAAAGTTATGTAATATTTTTATAACATTTGGTTTAAAAAAATTTTCTACAGCGTCGTAAGAAATTTAATTTATAAAAAAAGCAAGAAGCAATAATCTTATTCAGAGACAGCTCTTTTCAATTCTTTCACAGGTACTTTTGGACTTGCCTTTGTTACAGATATTTGAATAAATATTTATGTTAACTCACCATCTCAGTAAGCAACTTATCTGTTAGCAGTTTGTCGGCAGGTTAACGACAGATTCGATTACGAAGTGTCAACACTGTCAACAGATCTATAGACATTCGTGTCCGCGTTCGGTTCACGTTTTGTCGAGAGTCTGTTGAATCTGACAGCAAATTGGCAGCAGAAAGCAAACAGGATCTGCAGTATGTTTAAATACATTTAAACACACTGGAACGGCAGAGATCCTGCTCGGTTTTTGTTGTCTGCTCTGTCTTTCAGATTCTGTATTTCTTGCATTTCTGCTAGCAAGCTACTGATGGAATTGTTTCTCATTATTTGTTAAAAAATTATTGATTTCATAAATAGGAAAAAAAATTTCATAAATTGCACATATATCTTTGACAGCATATAAGTTCCTCGAAAATGACGCTACAAACAGTATACATATGTGCGATATAAAAAAGAAAAATAACTGATTCTAGCTAAATCTACATTACAATTTTAAGTAACTTATTAATGCTAAAGAATGATCTGCAGCGTATGCAAAAATAGTACATAAAAAATAATAGACAAAGTGTGTTGACACGAAATGTAAATATATATGTTGACAGTATAAAAGAATTTATATAGCGTGAAACTGACAGGTATTAACCTCCAGATATAAATTAACAATTAATTTACAATTTTCAAAGACTATATTATAAAAAACGATTTGTAGCTTTGAAGTTGCAATGGGAATATACAATATCTATATATGAATACATAATTGAAGTTAAGAATATCGATGCATCAGTATGTGACGTCAGAGTCAATATGGCGTTATAGAGGGTTAAGCTATGTAGGATTAGCTCTTTTGGGGTGAGAGTGCAGGCAGAGGGGTAGGAACCCTTTCCCTGTGCGTATAGCTGTGTGAAGCAAGTACGCGCGCGTGCGATGGTATTTTTACTAAGCAATATAAAGAGCAATCTATTTATTCACTTTTATTAACTTTATACATATCTCAGTTCTTTTATTAATAACTTTCTAACAAACAATAAACGACAATGAGTTACTGTTAATAGCTTTCTGATAAACAATTAACAATGACTAAAATAATATGCTTTTTGTATATTATTTAGGAACTTTGACAATTTAGGAACTGTGCCAAGATGAAACCATCGGAAGTCGGTCAGTTTAATTTAAATATTTACCATGAGATTATGAATAGAAAAGATTCTATTGTTCGAAAAGCTATAAATATTGCTACATGCATATTTTGCTTAATGTATACATTACATTAAAAACACACACACCGACAACGCATATTTTGTGATAAATTTGATCTTTATTCACGATCGAAATCTCGCAATACTTTTGGAAAAAGAAAGAGAAAGAGGAAATGAGAAAGAAGATCAGATGGCGCTGGCTAGTGCGCGCTTCTCTATTTCGCGCTTGCGCGCTCCATTTGGCTGACACCGAGTATGTTGACATGCAGTCTAATGGTCTGTTCTTTGTAGCTGCACCGTTGAACTGGTGCAATAAGTTAAAGCGAGACAAATATAGGTTCTCTCACTCTAGCTTATTGCACCAGTTCAGCAGTGCAGCTACAAAGAACAGACCATAAAACCGCACTTTGGCATCACCTTTAGTGCAGATATCCTAGTCCACGTTTACACGATCAACGTAAAGCCGACTTGATAATTCCGAAGGTTGTAACGATTGTTGTCGCACATCCTGTGAACGGTTATGTTACAAGCGTCGAGCATCGTCAAGTCGGTTTCACGCTACTCATGTGGACGTGGTATCTGTCGAGGTGTGTTGTCAAGTAGACCCTCAGCCGCTATGTAAACGAAGCCGCCGACCATGTCAAACTCGAGTTCCGACGAGGAGTCGCACACCTGTGCTGTGCACCGCTCCGCGACGTGTCGTCCGGCGCGCCGTGACGCGCGCGCGGAGGCAGGCGCGGGCCGCGGCGTGGAGCGCTACGCTGCGAGTCAGCGACGGTGATCGCGCGTAAAAATGAAATGGGGCATTGAGTGAAAGTACTCGCACGGCGGCGAGCGGGCGAGCGAAGGCGCCTGCCTCTTATATCAGATCAGTACGTTAGGCGCGCCTCGTCATTACGCGTCCGCGTTCGCATCACTCCTCCTGATATCGCTCTCCTGATGACCTCCTCCTCCTCCTCCTCGTCGGCTGTCCTGTCACGGGAATATCTCGCTCCACTCCTCACGCTCCGGACTATGCTGCCGGCCTGGTAGCCTCGTCGTGTCCGACTCACTGAGCAGAGATAGTCTTGTTCCCTTCCTGCAGAATGCCGCGCAACCTGTGGACCTTTTGTGCCCTCTTGTCCCTGGCCAGCCTGGTCTCGACGTTGGAGAATGGCTTGGCCAGAACACCCCCTATGGGCTGGTTGGCGTGGGAACGATTCAGATGTAATACCGACTGCAAAAACGATCCGGACAATTGCATAAGGTGAGCAGCCAGCAGTCTGGATGCTGTAGATAGTTGATGTCAAGTGTGAGTGCACAAAGAGTTACAGTGCTTGGTTCCCTGTGCTTTTACAGTGATCGGCTCTTCAAGACCATGGCGGATATAGTAGTAGCTGAAGGATATGCCGCAGTAGGATATAATTATATTAATGTGGATGACTGTTGGTTGGAGAAGGATAGAGACTTTAATGGACAGCTTGTGCCAGACAGACAGCGATTCCCATATGGCATGAGAAATCTGGCAGATTATGTAATTCACTATTATTTGCCCCTAAAATACTCGATTTCACCAGTCTTTTCTTTTGGAAAGTGTTGGGTGCACAAGTTCATTGTGTTCTGTACTTAATTTGTTTCTCAGTTTTTTATATTATTATCTGTTTTTTTTTTTCTACATTTGTACAATACTCCATTAAAAATGCTGTTTTATCCAGGTGCATTCAAAAGGACTCAAATTTGGTATCTATGAAGATTATGGTAATTACACCTGTGCTGGATATCCAGGTGTACTGGGTTATCTAGAAACTGATGCTGCCACATTTGCATCTTGGGATGTGGATTATGTGAAATTAGATGGATGCTATTCACATCCTTCTGATATGGACAGAGGTATGATTATGTTTTCGTGAATAATCAATCCAGTTTTCTTTTCTTCTTTTTGACCAAATGATCTAGCGGTATCTAAAAGTATGATACTCTCATTCAAAGGATATCCCGAGTTTGGATTTCACCTGAATCAAACTGGAAAGTCTATGGTGTATTCCTGTAGTTGGCCAGTTTATCAAATTTATGCTGGTATGCAGGTGAGTGTAATTTGTTGTAATTTTTTCTGATAATAATGGTTCTAGTAGTTCTAGTACTAAATGTAATTTGTTCGATTTATGTCTCTTTGATGCCACTTTTCACCTTCGTTATACTTTCAGCCAAATTACACTGCTATAATAGAGCATTGCAATCTTTGGCGCAACTTTGACGACATCCAGGATTCCTGGGCCAGTGTGGAGAGCATCATCGATTATTATGGTAACAATCAGGACGCGATCGTGCCTAATGCCGGTCCTGGCCACTGGAATGATCCAGACATGTTGATTATCGGCAACTTCGGACTGAGTTACGAACAAAGTAAAACGCAAATGGCACTCTGGGCCATACTGGCAGCGCCGTTGCTGATGTCCGTCGATCTCAGAACAATCAGACCAGAATACAAAGCCATTCTGCAGAACAAGAAGATCATTGCCGTGGACCAAGATCCGCTGGGTATTCAAGGTCGACGGATATACAAAGTGAGTGATGCTAATCATGATTATATCGGTTTCCCGCGAGTATGATACTGACGATGTATGATACGTTCTCATTTGGAATCGATTGAAGCGCGATATTAACGGGTACGATTCTGACACGTCGTTATAGTAATTGTTCGCTTGAGGTCATCGCGATGCATCTCGCGCGGTGTGTAACCCATCGATGATTCACAATTGTAGCACAAGGGCATTGAGATCTGGGCGAGGCCCATCACTCCCGTTTACCAAAACTACTACTCGTACGCGATCGCGTTCGTCAACAGGCGAACGGACGGCACACCGTCCGACGTGTCTGTCACGCTGAAAGAGTTGGGTCTTCAATATCCCGGCGGTTACCGCGTGGAGGTTCGTACCAGCGAGAAGTGAACAGGCAGTCTGCGACAAGAATGTCACGGTCTATCGCAATCGTTATGCTTTGCAGGATCTGTACGAAGACGTGGATTACGGCATACTGACGCCGCAGACCAAGATCAAGGTCAAGGTGAACCCGTCGGGTGTGGTAATACTGCGATGCAACCTGACTGTAGATGATGTCTTTCGCTACTCGTCGTACGCGCCCTTAAATCAGGTGTTCAAAGTTAGACAAAACTCGTTCAAATGACCTTACGTCTAAGTATTACCGATTTTCTATCGGCACCCTCCAATTGTGTCGCGCCTTACATTAACGTATTATTATAAGGAAGGAAATAGGAAATAAAGAATTTTTTAAACTTTACTCTCTCAGCCGTCCATTCCCGCGACTCTCTAGCGCCGTCGCCGGAGTTATTAAAATGCCATGACAGACGTCAGAGTCGACGTTTCACAAGCACTCTGTATTTGCACATCATATGTATACACGTGTACTTGACATCCACACTCTCGGGTATCTTTGCGCTTTACAACGCGTCATGACGACGCGTGAGAATACCGCAAGCACATTGTGAACATAAACGTATCAACCCACGTCCTCCTGCCTATGCCTTTCTCGTACATACAAGGTGTCCGATAACGAGTTGCCTTGATGAACAATGGAAACAATGCTTCCCGCCGAGCTAGCGATTTGATTCGTCTGCTTGATCGAATTATAACGTGCCAATTACGAGTGTTCCCGGTCAGTCGTTTAAAGGAAATCTTTTGTGTGCTCTTTTCCGCTAAGGAATATCGTCGGATGCCTCCACACAGCTCTGTATACACACACGCACGTGTCAACGCGGGACACACACTCCTCCACATTGGCTCCTTCCAACCCCTCCTGACGTTTGTAACACGTCACGAGGACGCGCAAGGATACTACAGACGTGTGTGCTCGCGGAGAGACGCCGCGAAGCTATTATAAATTCACTATAGATGTCAAACCACACACGTTTTCTCAGCACACCCACATCCGCAGCGAGCGCATGAGAAACATACCTCTCGACACCCACACACACTCTCTCGCTCTCTCTTCATCTCTCTATCTGTCTCTGCCGCCCTTTCCTCCCTCTTACGTTCGTAATGCGTCACGGCGACGCCCGCGTCGCGTCGCGTCGCGTCGCGTCGCGTCGCGTCGCGTCGCCTCGCCTCGCCTCGCCCCGCTGCGCCTCGCCTCGCCTCGCCTCGCCTCGCCTCGCGCGTGCTCCTTTCAACCCCGGCGGAGTCGCAGCCATTGTTGGAGGGTCGGTCGGCTCGATTCCTTCGGAACGCACGTCCATTGCGCGCGTAACACACCCTTTCGTCGCGGGGATACCGAGCGAAGAGGAACGCGAGCGAAGGGGAGAGGAAGAAAGAGGTGCAAGAAGACGCGCGCGCGCGCGCGCGCGCACGCGAGAGAGGATCGGCAACGCGAGGCGATGTGAAAGGAAGAAACCCTCCTCTCCTCGTCGGCGCGATGAAACACCAGCATCCGCGTGACGCTGATTCCGCGCGACCGCCGACAACAGCAGCAGCAACAGCAGAAGCACTACCCAACGTTGTCGTCGTCGTCGTCGTCGCCATCGCCGTCGTCGTCGCCGCCGCCGCCGTCGCCGTCGTCGCCGCGGCCGTCGCCGTCGTCGCTACCACCGTCGCCGCTTCCGCGTTGCTGCAGATTCTCGCCGATACAGCGTGTCTCAACGCGAGCATGAAGATTCCGCCTCTCTCATGACCCAGGTGAGTGTCGGTCAATTTCCACGGCGAACGCCGAGGAATGCCGAGATGCCGCCGTGGTGGCCGTCGCGGCGCGGACGGACGTCGTCGTCGTCGCCGTCGCTCGTTCGTTTCCCCCGCGAAAAGCAGCTCGCGCGAGCAGCGCGACATGGCGGCCGCCATCTCGCCGGCGCGGCGGCCTGAGAGCGAATTTGCGTAGGCGATTCTCCCTCGTCGAGGGATTGATTTTGCTTATTTAGGAATGCTGGAAGAGAGACGCGCAGTCTGTTTCGCGCGATAAGGCGGACACGGTGTGGCTCGATGCTCGCGTGAAGAGCGTCGTCAGCATCGCCGTGCCTCGACGGTTACGCTCGTCGTCGCCTCTCGCCGCGGTCCGCTTCCGATCGTTAGGTTACTATTGTATGCGTTGATTCGAGTCGAGGCTCTTCGCCGGCCTCATCCGGAGAGCCTTGGGAGTCGCGGGTCGCACTTCCCAGTGTGAAATCGCCGTGTGACGGCTCGAACGGTCTCGCAGTCATTGACGTAGAGGCAGCTCGCATGAATGAATAATGCCGCCATATCGAATCGTTTCGAAGGATGACGCGTTTATGCCGCCGTTACGCTCGGGAGTCGATAAGCCGCGGGTTATTCGCGATTACACGTGCGGCCGCGAGATTCGCCGTCCGCTCGTCGAGATCTTCCACCTTGGCTCGCCCGGCGAAGACCTCGCAGCTCGTCCTTACCTCTGGGAACAATTGCTGATTGTTACTAGTGTTCTCTGCTGAAGTACTCGAGACTCTGAAGGTACGACGGCTCAGAGGCGGAGGAAGTGGTCCAACTGTAGATGAGGTCGACTGGTTTTATAATCAGGCACTGTAGCAAGAGAAACACACACACACACACACACACACACTTCAAGTTTTTATAGTCGAACTTTGAATACAATGTCGTTTGAACGGGTCGCGTAATATTTACCTAGGTTACTCATTTATACGAACGCATTTAGTCTCGCTTTAGCAATTTCGCGATCCGCGTCACTCTCACGATTAATTCCATCGTCTTCTCCATCGAGAAGAGACCTTTCTCTGTCTCTTCTCACCATTGTGGTTACCATTGAGGTAACACTTCTGCGATCTAATCTCCTTATATCTATCGCATCACCGCGTGTATCAGATACGTGAGCTAATAATTGCCTCGCCTCGCTCGCTCAATTAAGACGTAAGCGGACTTAATTAAGATCGGAACGGGGGGAAAAAAGGTGGTAAGGCGCGCGCGGTAAGACCGGGGACGGGGAGGGGGCAGACGATTAGACGTACCATTACAAATCGTTCGGAACCGCGGCGGCGGGGAGGCACACTCTCTATTTATCATATTTCGTATGTAGGGCGGCGCAGATAAATCGATATGCGGCACTTTCATTCATGGCTGCCTCTCTCTCTCGCTCACGGCTGGCATATTGCCGTCGCTCTACGTACCACCCACGCCATCCGAACCACCACACTTGCAACCCACCCGTTACGTAGTACGTAGTCTAACCGCGGTGATACAGTGGTTCTCTCCTCTTGGCCCCACGTCGGCACGAGGGGGGGGGGGGCTGATGAACGTGCAGATTCTCGCCTGCAGCTTCCAGCCTGCCGAGAGTCACCTGCAGCATCGAACACATACTGAACGTTGGGTTTCATAAGGTTTGCATATCCGCGAATCCGAATAATATCGATAACCTATCTTCTCCCTCCCTGCTCTCTCGTTCGATTGGAATTAAAGAATCCGCCTACGCGATGCCTCGCCGTGTCAATCTAACCGCGTCGGCCCTTAGTCCTTGGGCAGGCGCGCGATGTTTCGTGACGTAAGCACTCGCGTAGGATGCATTTCACGTTCTATTTATAAGTCGTTGTCATTAGTAACATACGGACGACTGTCCCCTGCTGCGTGATGTGCAACACGGACGCATAATGGCCGGGCGATAATCCAGTCGCTCGAAACCAATTGACAAGCGGGAGACGCGATGATGGGTATAATAGATGGTTGCGTTCCGTGTAACGTTCTTAGCCGAAGGACCCGAGCGCGGTTCCAAGTCTTCTGAAATGCAAAAAGGTCAAAGATGTACCGCCTCGTCACGCGAATGTATTTCAGGGCTCGCAGATCTCGGCAACGACCGATTGACCGCGGCTCTCGAACGGTTCGACAGACAGAGAGCTCCGCGTCCCTTTTCCTCGGGAAAAGGAAGAGACCCTCGCAACCAGCATCTTTTCGCGCCTGACGACTGCAACCCGTGAATCACCACTGCGCTGTTGCATCCTTCGGAAGCGAGCAACAGCGCGCGTCGATATCACGTCGGCGTACGTCCGCTCTCGTCTCCGTCTGTCTCTGTCCGCCCGCTCGTCCGTCCGCGCATCCATCTCCATCCAGCCATCGCCGTTCGTCCGCTCGTTTGCGGGGAGTGACGACGGTTGACATTAGCCGTCGCGCTGGCACGAGGCATCTGGTGGCATCCTTAAATTAGTTAAACTAGTGCACCGAGGCTAACCCAGTTATGCGAAAGGAGATATCGAATAAATTCACCGCGCAGTCGCGTATCGGCGAATGACGACGACGACGACGACGACGACGACGACGACGACGACGACGACGACGACGACACAACGACGACGACGACGACGACGACGACGACGACGACGACGACGACGACTACAACGACAACGCACACACATTACATTCGCCCCTTTCGCTCGCGACGCTCGCGCGCGACGGAGACAGCGAGTCTCATGCGGGAGGGTGGTAAAAAGGGGGAAAGCAGAAAGAGGGGGCGTGATGCTCTTTGAAGTCGGTCCATCTGCCTCCGTCAGCGTCCGCCAGCAGTATACAATGCGGGGTGGCGGTGACGACGACGACGACGACGGCGGCAACGGCGGCGGCGGCGGCGGTGGCGCGAGCCGAGAGCAGCCCTCGCGCGCCAGGCGGATTTTCCGCTCGGTGACGTTCGCCAAAGGATCTATTTAAGGATCGGTAGTCCGTCGGCCGCGCGATTTTTGATTCCCGACCGGCCGACCTTTTGCGAGCGCCGCCGTGTGATCCTGCCAGCCTGCCAGCCTGCCTGCCTGCCTGCCGGCGCGTCGCTCGTTGAATTCGCCTCGTGAGAGCGGTGTCCGGTGACGAAGAGCGCGTTCTCCATGGAAAGGAGCGTGGTCGATCTCTTGACATTTCTGGATGTCTGCCAGCTCTATCTGCACACCAGGAAGAAGTCACGGAATCTCTGCACGCTCTGGGCGATCATGACGTTCATTCGCACGGAGGACACCGGCGAGTTCTTGCGATGGTGCCGGGCTTACACGGTGCCTCGTTTGCGGTACCGCGATCGCGTGAACATGGAGAACGCGGAGAAGCTGCGGGCCGACAAGCTGATACTCAGGCTGCTGCAGGAGATATTCTACTGCGGCTGCTTGCCGCCCTGCGAGATCGGCCTGTGAGCGGACGCACCGCGCGGCAACCGTGATCGCGAGCGTAGGACACGTGGAAGTTCTTGACGTCGCTCGGGAGTCCTGCTGCTGACGCAACAGGCCACCGCAGTCTGGAGAGACGAACGAAATAAATCAATAAGTCGTGTCACTCGTTGACGTCTCGCGGTGTTCGCCAGGAACGGTGGTGACGGTGGGATACACGCGTACCTGTCTCTGTAATCCCCGAAACTCCTCCACTAGGTCTTCCGCACTGTGTCGGATCGTTCGAGACCCTGAAACTTGCCGAACGATCTCGCGATTCGGCGAGCGACGCTTCCGTCGATCTTTGCGACTTACGGAGACGAAACGCATTTTCTTGGCATTGCAGCATCGTGGGCGCACATGTGGACGAGGGTAGATTACCTTAGCGAGAGGGATGTCTGAGAGCGACGGAGAGCATGCAGCTCGCTCGGTGGCCTTAGAGCAAGCCTACGTTCACGAAGTATACGAGCAATGTGCCGAGAAGACCACGCAGAGTAAACACTGGCCACGAGTATATCAGTTTCTCCAAGAGCTCGAGCCGGGTGCCCTCGTCTGTGACATCGGTCAGTCGAACAGATGTTCCTTCTGCTTGCATGCGATGTGCCACTGCAAAGTACTTCTCTGTTAAAAGTCGCGCGAATGCGCCTGCCGACGCGCAGTTCTCGCGAGGAACTCGTCACGTGGGTTGCATACTCGGCGGAGTTGGCGCTCCGCATACTTCACGCACGCTGTAACGTTCTGTATCTGTATCGTTCAGGTTGCGGCAACGGGAAGTATCTCAGCGTAAATCACAGCATCTTCAAAATAGGGGTGGACCGATGCAAGCGTTTCACGGATATCGCGCGCGAGAAGGAAAACGAGGTACGTATCAATTGGAGGGTGTCTTATCGTTAAATCGATTCGAGGAACTCAAGCCCAACACTCACGGGATTCGATTTGCGATAAGGTCCTGATATGCGATAACTTGGCACTACCGTTCCGGGAAGAGAGCTTCGATGCGGTGCTGTCGATCGCCGTGGTGCACCACTTCGCCACGACGGAAAGGAGGGTACACGCATTGAAAGAGCTGGCGCGGGTCCTCAGAATCGGAGGTCGACTCGTTATATCGGTCTGGGCTATGGAACAAAAGCATAGAAAGGTGAGGGAGAAGAGATCCAATGTACCCTCTCGCAATTGCCTTGTTCGCTTTCAAAGCCTCCTCCGATAGCTGTCCGTGCACGTTCGTTCATTAATTAATTCATGCTTCGCACACGTAAATATATACGTGAATTACTGAATGAAAAACCCGACAACGCGCGACGTGAGACAAGGTGTAATTGAATCGCTGTTTACTTGCAGTTCGAATCGCAGGATGTCTTAGTGCCATGGCCCAAGTCGTATTGCATGAGCGCAGCTTCGGACGGAACGAGGCACTCGAGTGTATCGAACAGTAACGAGAAACGAGATGACGACGCCGCTCAGAAGTATACATCATCCTCGAAAAGGTGCGGCATCTTTTTCCGATGTGGAAAGCGCTAACAGAGCGCGGCTGGCTCTTCAATCCTCGTCGATTGTCATAACATACTCTAGTACTTACGGCCAAGTGAAAGATTTATTGTAATGGGTTTGTTCTCGCGCACAATTACCGCCATTTCCCCCGGACCGTGTGTATCGTCAGTATGTAGGTCAGCGCCGTCATGGTTTCTCTCGTTCCAGAAATAGCCAACGAAAATGTAAGAGCAAGAGTTATTGGATCGATCCGATATTCAGCCTGTCACCATCCACCAGCAGCCTCTCCAGCCCGAACGAGACCTGTTATAGCTGTTTCCGGCGAGCGTTACAGGTAAGAAAGACGAAAGACACAGGGAGAAATCGTCTGTTTCCGTTACACGAACTTTAAAGTCCAAACGGTCGGAAAGAGCCAGCGGGAAGATCTCTATGGGAGTTTCGCAAAGCCTTTTTGCGCCGATTGATGTTCTTATCTTCTCGCTGTTGGTCATCCAGAGTCATTCGATCAAATGTCGAGGGTCATTCAATTAAATTTCTGCGCTCGACAAATGTTGCGTGGTTTTTCACCTCACCGCCGCCGTTTTGTTCCGAGAACAAAGGGCAGCCCCAGAGGAAGAATCGAATTTCCCCGTTTCCATCGCTATATTTCGAGACTGCGTTGGCGGCGATGCTCTTCCACCCTCTATTATTATTATTATTATTATTGTTATTGTTATTGTTATTGTTATTGTTATTGTTATTGTTATTGTTATTATTATTATTATTATTATTATTGACCATTGCTCATCGTCAGCGATATTCATTCCACTCGCCGTTCCTCTCAGAAATTGGCGAGAAGCAGACGCGGAGGCGGCGGTCGCGCATGGTTCCCTGGAAGCTGGCAGAGCGGCACCAAGAGTCGACGGCACTACGATCCCGAGGACGTGACCGACGTGGACGAGCTACCGATCGAACTGCGTCGCGTGGAGACTACCCACACACTGATGACCAATAAGCACACGGACACCTTGAGCATCAAGTCCAAGAGTCTGGGCGACATCCTGGAGATCGAACGGCTGGACCTTATACGTTCCCGATCGAGCATACCGGGCTTCTGCTCCACCTCCGAGCTGATCCTGGACGAACGGTCCGTCTCCTCGTCCTCGAGCGGCTCGAAGCCGCGGCTGGTGAAGCAGAAGTCGTGCGTGGAGGAAACCGGTTTGGAAAATCCTGAAGACACTGCCATTGAAAACCTGATCAAAGACCTTCCAGACTTTCCTTGCCAGCAGATGCGTACTTGCAAGCGCAACGTGCTGAAACAGAGCTCGATGAACGAGGAGCTGATGTCGGCGGAACGGCTGGAAGAGAAGGAGCGGGTGCGCCGAAATATCATGAAACAGGCGTCCCTGAACGAGGAGCTCATCTGCAAGTGGCGCACGTTCGAAGCGTTCAAGGAGACTATCAGTCCGGTCAACGCCAGCCGGCGCTTCCAGCTGCTGAAGAACGGACTTACCAGCAAGATCAAGCGCTCCACCACGAACATCGAGAAGGTATCCAGCATGTCCATTAAGAACGGCTTCGTGCGGATGCTGCAAGGCTGGAAGTCCGGCGAAAACGAGACGACGGAAGCGGCGGCGGCGAAGCCGAAGCCGGCACCGGACAAGGCGCAAGCACCTACCGTGACTGTGGTGAAACGCAGCATCGAGGGTGTCGAGCGCCGTCTCTCGCGAGAGGACGGCTCGGATTCTTCCAAGGACAGTAGTCTGCAGAGCGACACCAGCGTGGACTCGGAAGATAGCTTTGCGTCGGTGATCTTCGTGCCGAAGCAGGACGTCCCGGTGGCCACGTCGTCGGTCAGCGAGGTGCCGCTTTCACCGCGACCGGCAGCATTGCAGCTCGGTACAATGTCAGCACCGCCGTCGCCGCGCGTCAAACAACCTCCGGATAGTCAGTCCTCCAGGTTTAAGCTGATCGGTGTGTCGCCGTTGTTGAAGCAACAACAGCAGCAGCCACAACAGCAACAGCAGCAGCAGCAACAGCAACAACAGCAGCAGCAGCAACCTGTCTCGAGTGCAAGTCGCCTCAGCGACGCGATCAAGCACGTCGCATCGACCGTTACCTGCAACGACAAAGTACCCGTTGGCAATTCGCAGACGTCGACGGGGTCTCGCGGACTCCATCTGATAGCGGAGCCGGCGGGAGCGGAGGAATCGGACACCGTGCCGTTGATACGTGTCTTCAACGATGTCACCAAGGCAATAGGACGCGAGCCGATCAACGAGGACGAGAACCGGAAAGCCCGATTAAACCAGATCAAGGAGTTGCTGATACAGAAACCGGGTTTCGCGACGCGTGTCAGGCCCTCCTTCCCGCTCGTCAGACGCGCCTCTACGGCAGCCTCCGGCCGCTTGGAGACCGTTACGAGGATCCTGCCGAGGTTGTTGTCGCTGGAGCTCTTCAATCCGGAGACCGACGACCTGGACAGCGATTCCAGCGGCGTCTCGTCGCCCGAGTCCGTCGGCTCGGTGATCAGCGTCACGTCGGACGAGAGGTACATCGCGAGGAAGGAGGCCGAGGAGAAGAAGAACGCGCAGACGGGCTCGGAAGAGGCCTCCAAGTCGAACGAGAATTCGGACGCGCTCGTGTCGGAGAAGAAGGACAAAGAAGCAACCGGAAGTACACGCGACGACGAATCGTCGAGCCTAGGAACAGCGACGACGCTCACCGACTCGATGACTCCTCCGAATCCCTCGTACGAGTGCTCGTCAGCGATCCTGGAGGACGAGGCGACGTGCGACACCTCGTCGGTAGCTTCGCGGTTCAGTGGGAGCACAGAGGAGGACGTCGCGTCGTCGGTCGCGGAGGTGGAAGTGATGCGCGACTCTCCCCGAGATATTCTGAAAACCGACGCGATCTGTCCGGCGTCGCCAGTTCTTCCGGAGGCCGGCAGGACCATCTCTTCGCAATCCATGAGGCTCTTGGAAGCCGCCGCCAACGTGGCGAGCTCGTTGGAGGACGCCGTAGGGACGGCGATGCAGCACAACACGCAGATCGAGTCGCAGTTGCTGCAGGTCGCGCAACGGCGCGACAACGACGGCGAGTTCTGGTCGAGGTCGAGCGTGCGGACGCGAGCATACCTGAAGCAAGATCGCAAGGCGGCCTCGGTGGACCTGGCCGGCTACACTGACGAGTCGAGCAGCGAGCTTATGCGAGACATCAGTCGGTACTGCCAAAACTCGTCGTTCGACTTCCTCAACGTCTGTCAGGCCTCGAGGACGACCACGTCGTCGGCGCTCGGCGTCACGGACAATAATCCTACGTGCTGGGAGGAGTGCAACGGCTTGCCCAAGGAGACCACCACGTGGATCGTCAACGAGGCGTACGACAAGAGTGGCCACGACAAGTTCGCCAACGCGGTCCAACAGCCCGAACTGAAGTCGTCGAAACCTGAAAGCGGAGTCGAGGATTGTCCTCAATTCAAGTCCAATTCTCACTGCGACCAACAGCTGGCATTCGAGTCCGAGCTCGATCGTAAATTCAAACACGACTTCGACACCGAGTCCAAGTACGGAGTCAAGCTCGACGCTGACCTCGAGACCGGCTTCAGCTCCAAGTACGACGAGATATTCAGACTGAACTTCGAGTCCGAGGCCAAATCGAAAGCCAAATCCGACCTCGTGTCCAGCCTGAATCCCGAATTCAGCGGCTTCGCGGCCGACGTGGAGAAGTCGGCCGTCGACGCCGTGAACGGGCGCAAGCTCAACCCTGGGAATCCCGTGGGATCCAACTTCCGAGCCGGATCAGAAGCTAAAACCAGCCAACGGCACGAGGATCGAGGTCACGGCGGCAGCGTCTCGCCGCTGTTGCGCAGCAACTCGGACGACGTGCTGGACTTTGTGATGGTGTCGAAGACGGGCGAGTTCCACTACGAGGACGCGGCGGAGAACGAGAACTCGGTCGCGGGCAAGTGGCGTTCCCAGGGCGGGCTGTCGATGGACTCGAGCGAGGTGGGCGACTCGATGGACAACACGACGACGAGCCTGAGCGACGGCAGTCAGGCGGAGTCGACGGCGAGATTGTTCACCGGCAGCACGGTGTCATTGGTATCGAACGTGGAGAACACGTCGCGCTGCGCGACTGAGGCGCGACGGAGGCTGCAGGAGCGCGGCCGCTCGTTGGACGAGATCTCGAGCGAGGCGAAGAGAAACTCCGCCGCGGCGGATTGTCTAGTCACGACAACCGACACCCTGAGCAACGCCTCGTCCCAGGAGTCGTTGCCGTCCGACCGCGGTGGCGGCGCCATCACCTACCACCAATATTACCACGTCTTTCGGGAGGGCGAGCTCGACCAGCTGATCAACAAGTACGTCGAGAACCTGCATATCATCTCGTCGTACTACGACCACGCCAGCTGGTGCGTCGTCGCGGAGAAAGTGCAGGTTTGGACTATATGACTTCGGATATGCGGATCGAGTAGAGGACGAGCCGTCGCGCGCAATCAGGCGACTCAGTTCGCCGTCTTCGCGGTTGTACCGGGTGTCTCGACAGGAGATGTCGGCGAAGGGATCAATTAGGTTCAACTTTGTTGAAGTGAGAAAAAAAAAAGAAAACAAATTTGCATTTGCTTATTGTTACTTTCGAGCCGGGAAACGGAGGCCCGATCTGCCGGGAGGAGGTCGGAGGTAGCCGAGGACGGGTGGTGTATGGATCTAAGCAACTCTAAACTATACACTATGTATAATTGCAGGATTTTGAACTTTCATAGATCACCATTTAGGTTTGGAATTGCGGAGAGGCGTTTGGAGGACACTTACTTTCATGATAAAAGTTTCTGATCCCTCTTTTTGGGACACACCGTATATACTGGTAGATGAGCCAAGTGCGCGAAAAGTGGGTCGCTTCGAGAGGGTACGAAGTTTACGGCTCTCACAAGTCCGCCTGAATATGAGAAATCCAGGGATCTCAGAAATCAGAGGTCCAAGAATCCAAGGATCGAAAGGCTCAAGGATCTAAAGTATAATCCGAGTACGCAGGATCTAAAGTAACTCATGGAAGTCGACTCTTCCTCGACGGTCCGTTCTCGAACTCTGCGACGATCTATAATCGTTATTGAAATATCGCTTTGCGCTCGTTATACGAAGACATTCTCCTTCCTTGCGTTCGTCTCATCGTAAGAAGAGACTTCTTCGCCCATGACGCCACTGAAGTGATGATCCAGAGGTACGACTCGATTTCCGGCACGAAACGAAAGACGAATCGTGCGAACGCGAGCGACGATTTGAACTTAATATATATATATATATATATATATATATATCGTGACATATCCAACAATAAATTAGGGAACAGTTTAGTAGAGTAAATTGCTATTGATAAACCTTTTTCATTCATTCTTATTAATCACGGCAAACAATCCTTGATTTTGCGCGAGCTCGTCCCTTCTACAGCTCTATCTTCACTTCAGTGATACTTAGGGCTGTCCATCTCGCTTAATCGGACTCGCACATCTCTCGGAACAACGATTGCGGGAAGCACGGCCCTTCGAGAGCACGGCGCGCCAAGACGAGAAAACGACGCGGCAGACGGCAAACGGAATACAAAGTTGTTGAGAATGCGCACGTCTGCGCCTCTCTCGACGGGCGATGCGATCCGGGCGTATGTACGTACGTTAAGGACGTAAAACTTCAGAGACAGCAACTGGCTCCAGCTATGGGGCGTGTTTTCTAGCTTCTCGAGGAACCGACAATATCCGAACGCTTGAACGTAGATATACCTCGATAATGCGAACATTCCACTTCCAGAGTGTATACATACACACACACACACACACACACACACACACACACACACACACACACACACACACACGTACGTGTATACCAGACATATTAGGATGTCCCTTATCTGTAACAATCCCTCGTGCGATAATATTCGGACGTCGATGCCTGAATCGCCACATCGATGTTATATTTAATCGGACGCTCTTGCGTCTTCAGAGAAATATCGGCGGTATAAAATTACGACGACAAACGTAGGTAGACAAGCGACGCGAGAAAAAAAGATGCGGAAGAAATATTTTATATTCCTGGAACACTAATATTAATAATACACAGGCGAGTCATGTTGAATCGGCTATGTAGTACATAAAAGTAAGGAAAAATAAAGAAAATGAGACGTTTATATTCGACTATTGGCGCGCGTAAAGGACATCCTAACACACACACACACACACACATACAGGTCCACACGGCATACAAACATGATACATATATATTAGGATATAAGGATTCAAAGATCCCATGATCTGAAGAATGAATGCTTATATCCTTGGATTCTTTGCCCTAAGATTTTCAATTCCTTCAATTCCTTGCGTTGAAAATTCGGATTACCCAGTGCCGTCGTACCTTGAGTGCTCACATCTTTCGAGACTTTCACTTTCTCCGCAACCGTGTTTCTTTTAAAATCCCCGAGAACATACTTAGTCCTTCCGCTGTACCCCTCCACTCCTCCTGAGACATATGATTCCTTTGATCCTGAAAGAAACGCAGGTTATCCTAGACAATGCCGTTAATGCTCTCCGAATCTTCAAATTCGTACAATAAAGAATTCAGTGACTGAGGATCCAAGGATCCAAGCATCCATTTACAATACGTATACTCACACGTCATATAGAAAAAAGAGAACATAAGTGTAATCTAAGCTTCGTTATTTTTATGACCTAAATTAATCGTTCGCGATCGTAGTTGGACAGTAAGTTTTTATCGCCACCCTTTAACCGGTAAATCGAATGCGATTCTTTTTCTCATCAAGAAACGAATATATTCAGCGACTGAATAACAAGAAAGAGAAATAACAAATCGCCATGGCCTCGGCACACGACTTACAAGATGTCTGTAAATCGCAAGAAAAAATTCAGAGACATAAAAAATAACAATATACAGGGTAAGTCAGTTGAAACAGGTTATCTGAATAACTTTGAAAATATGCAAGATAGAAGAAAATGTTAAATATATAAAAGTTGAGTATTTTCAAGTGATGACGCATCAGATAGCAATACTATTATGACCTTGAACGTTATCAAGATTACAAGAAGATCACTTTTAATTTTTTATACGGAAATCCTTATTTTTTATTGTATCTTTTTCTTCTTCTACAAATTAAGTTGAACAAATTTTTGAGTTTAATTTAAACTGATTAATTTGAACAACTTTTGTCCGAAACACTTTCTCATCTGCCTAATATTTTTCGAGATATTTAAGGAAAATTTAGTTATCTTTTCAATATTTGGTTTACAATATCTCGGTAACTATTCATCGAAATAAAAAGTGGTACGAGACTTTTATTTTATTTGGTCTCCAGAATATACTGTTACAATAACGCCCTAACTTTGATTAACTTGATGACTTTTGGAAATTTAAAAATTATCAAGTTAACAAAAGCCAGAACGCTATTGTTACAACATATTCTTGAGACCACGTAGAGTAAAAAGATCTAGTACTACTTTTTCTTCCGGAAAATAGTTAGTGAGATATCGTAAGCCAAATATTGAAAAAGATTATCAAGTTTCCCTTATTAAAATATCTCAAAAAATATGAGGCAAATAAAAAAAATGTTTCAGATAAAAGTTGTTCAAATTAATTGGTAGAAGAAAATGGTATAATAAAAAATAAGGGTTTCCGTTTAAAAAATTCAAGGTAACCCTCCTGGAACCTTGATGACGCTGTCTAAGGTCATGCTAATATCGCTATGTAATGTGTCACTTGAAATCCTACAATTTTTGTTCTTAACATTTTTGTCTATCTTGCATATTTTCAAAATTATTCAGGTAACCTGTTTCAGGCGCCTCACCGTGTATACATCCGGTCATTTCTGTATTAGAATCAAGATCACACTGACACGTTTAAAATGTCAGACGTTATTATATGTTCCGGCAACACGAGAGTTGCACGTTTTACCTAGTATCAGCGCATGATATGCAATGGATGGAAATAAGAAAACCAAATAAATAAATGAAACAAAGGTAGGATTACCGGTTAAAGGACGATTCGGTCGTTCGACAGAGAGGAACAAATTACTGTTACGTTTCCGGTGAATTGTTAAGTTGATAAACATGTTTAATAGTCGACGATGTGATTTCTTTTTCTAGTTTATGAAACTTTCATTTATATTCGATTCGAAGGAGATATGCGAAAAAGCGTGTATGCATGCATGTGTGCTTGATGCGTGATAGGGGGGAGAGAAAGAGAGGGTGAGAAAGCGAAAGAAAGACCAACGCGAGCGATGCGATCACGAAACAGGTGTAAATATGTAAAATAAAGTGTTCCTGACGTAAACGCACAGAAAATCATCAGAAGATAGTTGTCAAGCGGCAATCTCGGATCAGAAATTTCTAATAGATTTCTCCTGCTTCTCCTTGTCCGATCCCACCCTTGCTGAAAAATTTCCACTTAGATAAGCATGAAATTTTTCGGAAATCTCGTTTTAGATCTCATTAGGAATATTTCAGTAGCGACCTTTTCGTTACTCTGAAAAACAGATTGAGCAGAAATGCGCTGTTAATTCTCGGTGGATTATCACCTGAAATTGATCCAACAACCGTAAACAGCAATTTTATCGTAATCGTTATATTTTCACCTGAATCGCAATTAACTGTGAGAAACGGCAGCACTTCCGATAGCTATAAGAAGTTATCCATTAAATTATTGTAACGTATAACATTAGCCGATTTTTCAAGTTCGTCGCACATCAGATAACTTTATTTTGCAACAAAGAGAAAGTAATACCCGGCAACATTCTACATGAAGTACTGGTTAGCACCTCATGCTTTAATGGTCGATAATGGAAGGAAGCGTGATATTCACGTGGAATAGATAAGTACTCACGAGGATAAGATCAATACTGTGCAAGATCGTGTACGTGACAACAGCATTCTACAAATATCTCGAAACGTTAGAATTTCATTATGGATACATTCCGAAATTCAATTCCTGCTGAAAAATTTTCATTGAGAGTTTAATTATTTCGTATAATATCCAGGCAGAACAGAAAATCATAATGACATCAACATGATGAAAGCTAATTTTTTCATCATGATTCGGTCATTTTCTCGTCATTTTGATGTCATTAGGATTTTCTGCTCTGCCTCATTATTTTAATTGACGTATCGTATGAAAAAGCAAATAATAATATTCTAATTGATAATAATATTCTAATTGATAATAATATTCTAAATTCATAAATAATAAATTCTAAAAGCTTTTCTATTTTTCATACGATATCTTAATTTAGATATATCAAATAATTGAGGTCCTAAATAGGAAATTTTTCGGAAATTTTATTTTAGGTTTTAAATTTTAAATGGAAATTTTTCAATAGAGCCGCCACTTATTGAGACTAGGAGTATACGTGAGATGAATAGATTTTTAGTGCAGTGAATATCGGAACGCGTTTTATGTTGACGATAAGAAACTATTTCAATATTTTATGGCAAGTTATTGTTATTATCCATTGATAACTGAAGTAAGAACCAAAGTACTTCGTTGTAAATACGCCGGTGTTAAGGCCACAAGTTGAAGCATAATTTTCCGAAGGAAATTCTATTCAATTGCAAGTCCAAGTTCGGCCGTGACTTCGCGTTAGTTGGTGCAATTACCGCAAAGTGGCTTACTCCAATTTTTCCAAAATGAACATATGACTTCCTGCAGCACGTGCGATCCAATTAAGAGCCAGTTCCAACGAGGTTGCGTCCAAGTTCCCAGAAGAAGAATATATCGACCCGAGAATCACTCAGGAGGGACATTTAAACCTTAGAAGGGACGCCGAGTAAATCATATTTGTCAACAGCAGCGGTGCTACATCGAGGAAACGATATCCTTGGCAAACGATATTTCAACGGATACACCTGTTTACCTTGCACGTTTTCCGTTTTATGACATACGATCGTTACATTTTCCAACAGCGAGCGCCACAAAAACGCGCTAAACCTGATCCGGCGATGATAGAGACGGAAGGAGGCGGGAATACGAACCTGGCATGGGTGCACCAAGAGTACAGCCTTATCTACAATGTGCTCTTTGCTTTCTGTTTCTTTCTCTTTATCTCGTTTTGACTTAAACCTTATGTCTCAAACCAGAAAAAGATACAGAATATAGGAAACAAGAAGTAGGAGCTTATTGCAGATTAGGCTTATAGCTGATGAGAGATAGAAAAGGCTTGCTTTCCGTTGCTTAACTGTACTTTCGGAAAAGGGTCAGATCGAGACTTGTTGAGGAGAAGGAAGGGAGAAGAAATAGGGCCGATTGTTCCATCTTCTTGATAAGATAGCTAATAGTTAAATGATCTGTTTATCTTTGTTTTTCTTTCAATTTAAACTTGAGTCATCTGTTTATCTTTGTTTTTCCTTCGATTTAAACGAAGACAGACATACAGGGTGTCTTAAAAATATCAGAACCCCAAGATAACTTTGCAGGATCAAGTTTTCATGAAAAACTTTAAATACAGAAGTTGTAGAAAATCGAGTAACAGACTTGATGGTGACCTTGAATTTGACCTTAGCCATGAGCTTTAAGGTCATTTGGAGATCAACTTGTGTTTTTTAAATGGGAACTCTTATTTTTTATTACACTGTTTTTTTCCACCAATTTATTTGAGTAACTTTTGTCTAAAACATTTTTTTATTTGCCTAATATTTTTTTAGATATCTGAGGAAAACTTGATAACTTTTTCAATATTTAACTTACGATATCTCACTAACTGTTTGTCGGAAGAAAAAATGATACGAGACTTTCTTGCTTTATTTAGTCTCAAGAATATATTGTTACAATAGTGCTCTGATTTTTGTTAATTTGATGATTTTGAAATTTCCAAATGTCACTAAGTTGACAAAAGTCAGGGCGCTATTGTAACAATATATTCTTGAGACTAAATAAAGGAAGAAAGTCTAGTACCACTTTTTCTTCCGACAAATAGTTAGCAAAGTATCGTAAGTTAAATATTGAAAAAGTTATCAAGTTTTCCTTAAATATCTCAAAAAATATTAGGTAAATAAAAAAATGTTTTAGACAAAAGTTGTTCAAATAAATTAGTAGTAAAAACAGTGTAATAAAAAATAAGGTTTCCCATTTAAAAAACGCAAGTTGATCTCCAAATGACCTTGAAGATCATGGCCAAGGTCAAATTCAAAGTCACCATCAAATCCGTTACTCGATTTTCTACAACTTCTGTATTTAAAGTTTTTCATGAAAACTTGATCCTGCAAAGTTATCCGGGGGTTCCGGTATTTTTAAGACACCCTGTATAATTTAGCTATTAGTTAACTTACCAAGGAGTTGGAACATCCGGCCCCTAGAGTGCAAGATTGTGCAGTTCAGCGACAGAAAACAAACCTCTGGTCTGGTCTCTTTAACCGAATCGACGCGTCGCACTGGAATTTCTCGTTTCTCTTCCCTTCGGCGTTGCATCGCAACTTGCTCTGCTCTCTAAAGGGAGCTCTAAAGAGCGCGAGCCACCAGGGTGCCTATTATGGAACTCGTCGGAATCGATTCCGATCGAATTTATTCCGTTATTTCCTAGATTTCTATTGTCTTTTCTAGGGGAAACGGAATTATTCCGATCGGAATCGATTCCGACGAGTTCCATAATAGGTATCCGGAGCTGCAAACTTACTGTTACACCTAGCCGTGGGAATCCCGAGGTGCGCTCCGTACGCCATCGCTCGCGTCCACATTCTCGAGATCAGTGATGCCCAACAGATCAGGATAATTGCAAAAATCATTCCTTAGACTCCAGCCACTCGCGAGGCGAGGAATTCTCCTGTGAAGCGGACAGATACAGCTTGACGTTAGCCGAGGATGCAGTCGGGGGCTTTCGTCTCGGCGCTTCGATAGATCGCAACATCGATCCGCCCCGGCCTTGGGTTGTCGGCACTGCTCGGTCTCCGCCGCCGAAAGCGCCCGATTCGACCTCGGACAACATCGGAGAGAACCATCGTCGCGGCGCTTCGGCGGGCTTCGCCGTATAGTTGGCGCGGTGGCGCGTGTCGTATGAGCGCAGTCTTACGCGGACCGTCAACCCTTGCGCACGGTAGCGACAAGAGGGTGCGAGCGAGCAACGGTGGCGCCCCGGCCATCTCTTTGATCCTCGTCCTCGCGAGTCGCGTAGAATTCGCGCGCGCGTCTCACACACACACACATCGTTTAACCCAATCCGCCGATCAAGCGCGCGCGTGTCTCTCGCATGTGCAGCGTCACGATTTTTTCCCGGAAGAAAGGATCGTCAGGAGGGAACAGCGTGACTTCTTCCTCCCCTCGCTCTCGGGAACCGCGAGTGTGAGTTCCGCGAGTCGAGTGGCATCCGCCTCCGTGATGAACGGAAACGCCAGGAGCGACGGTGATGCCGACGCGACGTCGTTGGGTGCGGACATCCTCAACCCCTTCGTGCATCGCTTGGAGCTCGACTCGACCTACGAGAAGCTCAAGGTCAGTATTTCTTTCTGTCTCGCTCGCTCTCTCGCTCCCTCTTTCTCTCTCATTCGCTCGCTCGCTCGCTCGCTCGTTCGCACTCGATAGCGGCTCCCGAGCGGGATCGATGCTCGTGCGTTTTAGGGAATGCCGTTGTAGCTGTCGTCGTCGCCGCCGCCGTCGCCACCGCCACCGCCGCGATGGCGAAGCGCGGCGGGGTGCTTCGATCGCGTTGCCGAGAAAGTGTGTGCGAGTGTGATGGACAACAACGCGCGCGCGGTCCGCATAGAGATGCCTGCGGGGATCTCTCACCCGTTGACATTCCCGAGGACGGTCAGTATCGCCGCGGTTGCGCAATAAAAATCGCGACGGCGATCTCGCGGGCGTCTCGAGTGTCGCGAGATGAAAATTTTAGTCGAACGGGAAATGGCCATTTTGAAAAGCGTTGCGATCGATCGTGGGGATCGATTGTGCGATGGAATTGGCAGGTAGGCTGGCCGTTTCCGGCTCCTTTGGGCCGTCCTCGCCCAAGGAGCTCTCGCAGCCGTTATGAAGGAGAGAACGTTTCACTGTGCCGGCGCACGAATGTTGAAACTTGACATGGTAACGGTAACGTGTACAAATAATTTATAACGGCACGATAATCATCCCCGTTAGATAAACCTGTATCATAGATAGACCTGTACATAGCGCGCAGGATGTCGGAGAATAAGAACGCAGGAGTAATTGTGAAAACAAACTCCGAGCCGGCTCTCCGAGGAGATATCGCTTGCGCTCGGTCACGAATAGGCCGGTTTTTCTCGAAGTTCGCCGTAGCGTGCTGGCGACTTTCACGCCGCGCGAGTCGCCGCGACCGCGACGGCGGTCGTGCCAGGTCACGCGCACGCGACGGTTATGATCGCGTTGTTTTTGCGTTTCTTGCCGGCCGAAAAATTTGTGCTCGTCCCCTCTCTCTCTCTCTCTCTCTCTGTGTGTCTCTCTCCCTTTATCGCTCACTCGCTCTTCCTCATTCATGGTCCACGGTCGAGGTGTCGTGACGACGACTATGGCCTGTCGTGCGGCTCGTGTAACTTCCGCCCCACTTTCTTCGACGCATTCTCGCGGGCTTCCATGCGAGCGCGACGTAAATGCAGCGGCGTGTTAGCCGTGAACAAGGTCACGTGAGCGGTCGTAACATACACTTAGGCAGATACACCTACCTTCGGGCGTAACATTACGAGTTGAACGCAGAAGCTGCAAAATCTCTCTCTCTTTCTCTCTCTCTTTCTCTCTCTCTCTCTCTCTCTCTCTCTCTCTCTCTCTCTCGGCTAGGGTTGCCAGATGGCCGGGATTTCCGGGAATTAGGGATGGGCGATACAGTATCGATATTCGAAAATATCGATACTTTTGGATCTAGAAATCGATACTTTGTATCGATATTTTTCTTTTCAATATTACTGTGTATCGATATTTCAAGAGCAATATCGGACTTCCGATACATTTGCGTACATATCCGATACAGTTCAATATGAATCATTAGTAATTCTATTGGGCGAAAACTTTAGCGTACCGAAACTTTTGGAACTAGCGCTACCAACCACAGCCATTCTTAGTTCCGTTTGCGTTTGAATTGTCACAAACCGTTGCAAATTAATGGCGAATTCGATTGACATGCACTCGCTCCGTCCCAGTGGCTAGTGACTTTTTGTTATTAGGCGCACTTGCTCGGAATGTGTGTACTTTTGTGCTAACCTGAGTGCGGGTAATTTAAGAAGCTTTCTGGATTTGCGTACATATCATGTAATTTGTTAAAAGTACTCCGTCTTAAACGAAAATGTCGCTGCAACTAAACAAATAATATTTTTAATCTGCACACATTTAGGCCGGTATTCATAGTCGGATCTTATATTTAAGACCGTCTTAAGTTCATCTTCAGATATTGTATGGATCATTTAATTGACTACATAGTATCTAAACATGAACTTAAGACGAACTTAAATATAAGGCTGCGTTCAGAAAATACAACGGTTATACAACGGTTGAGCAATTCGTCAATATACGTAATTGGATTCCTTCCTTTTTTCCTGTGAAATGACTAGGAATACATCTATTTCTGACGCATTCCAAAAACGGTAACTATGATAGATTTTAGTATAAACAAGTATAAATCAATAAATAAATATTTAGTAGGTACATAGTAAAAAATAAGGATATTAGTGGTATCGATATTTTTTATTCGATATTTTTAGTGTATCGATATTTCTATTTATGATACGTATCGATATGAAATATCGATATTTTCTATTATATCGCCCATTCCTACCGGGAGTGTCCCGGAAATCTTAAGCTTGTCCCGTGTCCAGGAATTTAAGTCTTCTGTCCCGGAAAATGAGAATTTCAACAAAATCATAATCATAATATTCATGTTTTTGACTAGTACCAGAGAGAAATCTGAGAGCGGTCACTACGATTTATGGGGCCGAATTTTTCAACGTGCCATCTAAGAAAATTAATGTCAAGTAAGCCATTCGCGTGGTAAAAAATACAATCGCACTGTTCGTGTCTAAACTTCTCTCTGCTGATACCTAATTCACGCATTTTTTTTCTTTTTTTTTTATTGAAGAAAATAAAGGTTGTAGCCGTAAGTACAAGCTTATCCGGCTAATTCACGCATCTGTTTGTTGCGAGTGCCGCACAGTGGCATCTCTTAGCCGTCTATCTCTCAGATTTAACTAAAATTCCTTAACAACCTATTTTGCAACCGTCGCCAAAAAATGTCCCGGAAATAGCCATTTCGCATCTGGCAACCCTACTCTCAGTCCGCTCTGTGCGGGTGTTTTGAATTTTCAACGGGCGCGCGGCGAGGCAATGGGGAATTTTTGCAATACCGTCTCTCAGATACGGTAAACGTAAATCGTGAACGTTATTCACTCGGAAATAACGTCGCTATGTACGCGACCAATAGCATCCACGATTAACATTTACCGTATCTGAGAGACGGTAAACGCAAATCGTGAAAGTTATTCCCTCAGAAATAACGTCACCATGTACGCGACCAACAGCATCCACGATCAACGTTTACCGCATCTGAGAGACGGTATTGCAAAAACTCTCTAGTTTGCGTTGCATACCCGAGCGTTTGCGATCAGCTGTTGAGAGACACGGCTCATCCGCTCGCTCGGGAAGAAGCTGCCGCCGTCCGAAGAACCTCATCGGCGCTAATCGAGTTACAATTTCGCGGTGCCGGAACGAGGCGGTGTAATACGGCTCGCGAGGCTGCGCGACCGTTTGTGGTATGTCGCTTTTGGAAAGTGTCGAACAGGTAGTGCTCGGTAACGCCGCGGGAATTCGGTCAAGAATGCGCAGAAGTGTCTCTAAGAAATCGCTTGTCCAGCGTTCACCAAATAGTCGGGGATTTTTAAGGCTCGGGATCGCCGGATTTTCTCGCGCGTTTCTGGAACACGTCTGGCGAGGCATACTCGAAAGTAAGAGAAAAAGGGCGTGCAAGTATAAAAACAAGCATAAAAATTGAGAGTAAAGAGAGTATAATTTCTACGAGGATACGCGAACATCCACAAGCGTGGATGTTCACGGACTGTGATCTAGCCGGAAAATCCGACAGGGAGGAGCGAGGAAGAGAAAAGAGAGGAAGCTGTACGCACCGCGTGCTTGGCAGACAATTTCTAAGCGCGGGCAATACTTTATCGCTTTATTTACGGCGAACCGCCGCGCATTTTCGAGGCACTAAAATCGAGGCCTGCACCTCTCTAACCGTTAATGCGACGCAAGTAACACTCCTTCGCGGACCGGTGCTTTCTCTTGTTAAAACATCGACGAGGCCCGCGAGATCGCGTAGAAAGTCGGGCTCCTGTAAGTATTGCGAGTGTGTAAAGTTACGAGACGTGACATTAAACGAAGAATGAAGTAACATTTGAAGCAATCGACCGATTCCTGCTCTACGCTCCTTCTGCGTACTTTTCCTCTCTCTCTCTCTCTCTCTCTCTCTCTCTCTCTCTCTCTCTCTCTCTCTCTCTCTCTCTCCTCTCTCTCTCTCTCTCTCTCTCTCTCTCTCTCTCGCTGCGTGCATTCAGTCAGAATTGGGAAGTAACTCGTTGCTTGTAACGACGCTACAGTTACAGTTATTTTTCTCTTCTTTTTTTCTTATTTTGGTAACTACAACTTAACTTCGTCCCGTCTTTTCCATCTGTAACTTAACTTAATTACACTTGCTTGATAACTAGTAACTAATTTAATAGTTACTTCAATAGTTACTTTATATATCATAAATTTAAGTTTCTGGCAGACCAGCACGATAATGCGACGTGCGATGCTTGATATCCAACAAGCGTACAGTTATTCTGGCTGCATTTGGAAAATGCGCTATTGCGTCATCTATCTTTATCGTTTATTAAAAACAAAGAATAAAATGACGCAATAGCGCTGATAGTCCCCTCTCCGAACGCAATCTGTATTTCTTTCAAAAAATTGTACGTCTATTAGATTTTTCCGTCGCGCGTCGTCAGTCCTTATTTGTTAACATAACCCGCGTTCAGTGTAAAGTACGCTGCGTAGTTTTAATTATATAAAAGATTCAAACAATGGATAAAACATTTCAATATTCGGAGAAGGATTGTAAAATGCCCCAGTATATGCAGAGATATTCAAGTTGCAGCAAAATTTGGAAACGAGAACAACTGGGCATTTCTCTGCAAAATTTGCGGTGGCAAAAACAATTATTCATGCAAGTAGAACTTCAAATGCAAATTTAAGAAAACATATGAGTGTAAGTCTTTATTTATAAAACATCAGTATATTTTTTCGTTGAAAATTTTAATTTTCGATATTAAGATTATTTTTGGTATTATCTTCATCAAATTCATTTTCACTTTTTTATAATTGTTATTATTAATCTTATACTGTTATTTAGTCGTAAAAAATAGATATGAATTGCTTATTTAACTTAATGAATCTAATTTGTAAAAATTATATATACAATACGAGGAACATAACAATCAATAAACTACATTTATATAAAATTGAAGGAATTTACACAATTACGAAATTTAAAATAATAGCACAATTATTGTAAAAAAATAACTGAAAAGTAACGACTCGTTACCTACTAAATAACTATAACTATAATATATTATTTTTGAAGGTCAGTAACTTGTAACTGTAACTATTGGGGACTTGAATAAGTTCTTGCTGCTTCCGGACAGATGGTGTTATCTTAGCCTTTTTACATCGGGCAATACTACAGCCAACTTCATCGTGAAACTCCACCATTAGGCTCGAAGTGACAGTATATGTTATTCCGCCGAAGCGTAAACAACATATTTTCTCATAACGTTAAACATGTCGAATTTCGTGCCAAAAAAAGAATATTTGCGGGGAATTTATTGCATTACTTTTTTCAAAAAAAATCTGAAGCACATAGAATTCTTGTGGAGACTTACGGCGACCATGCTCTGTCGGAAACAACATGCAGAGATTGGTTTAGACGCTTTAAAAATAATGATTTTGATGTTGAAGATAAAGAACGCTCTGGCGCACCGAAAATGTTTGAAGACGAAGAATTGGAAGCATTACTCGATGAAGACCCATGTCAGACGCAAAATGAACTTGCAAGAGTTGTAAGAGTTGATCACACAACAGTTGCCAAACGTTTAAAAGCATTAGGAATAATTCAAAAGCAAGGAAATTGGATGCCGTACGAATCGAAGCCGAGACGTCGAACGGCGTTTTTTCACGTGTGAACAGCTGCTCCAACGGCAGAAAAGGAAAGATTTTTTGCATCGTATCGTGACTGGCGCTGAAAAGTGGATACACTACGATAACCCGAAGCGTAGAAAATCGTGGGGTAAGCCCGGCCATGCATCAACATCGACGGCAAAGCCGAATATCCATGGTTCCAAGCTCATGTTCTGTATTTGGTGGGATCAGCTGGGTGTAGTATATTTTGAGCTCCTCAAACCCAACGAAACCATCACGGGAGATCGCTATCGACTACAATTGATGCGTTTGAGCCGAGCATTGAAGGAAAAACGGCCGCAATACGAGGAGAGACACAACAAAGTAATTTTGCAGCATGACAACGTTCGGCCACATGTTGCAAAACCAGTCAAAACCTACTTGGAAACGCTCAAATGGGAAGTCCTACCCCACCTGCCGTATTCACCGGACATTGCTCCTTCCGATTACCACTTGTTCCGATCGATGACTCACATGGCCTGGCTGAGCAGCACTTCCATTCTTATGAAGATGCCAAAAAATGGGTCGATTCGTGGATAACCTCCAAAGATGAGCCATTGGTTGCGTTCAGAAAACAAAGCGCTCACTGAGCGCTTAGTAACTATTGGTCCTTACTGTTAGATCCTTACATTCAGACCAATAACGTTGACGAATTACTCAACCGTTGTGTAACCGTTATGTTTTCTGAACGCAGCCATTTTTTCGACATGGTATTCGTATGCTGCCAGAAAGATGGGAGAAAGTAGTGGCTAGCGATGGACAATACTCTCAATAACATGTTCTTTACTAATTATTTTAAATAAAGCATTCATTTTCACGAAAAAACAGCGAGAACTTACTTAAGTCCCCAATAGTTAGTTTTTCAATGAAAAAGAACTGTAACTGTAATTAGATACTTTTATAAAGTAACTTTCCCAATTCTGCATTTAGTACAGTTAGTATGTTACATCTCACGTACATCATACGTGCATCGCAGGACACGTAGAGCCTTGCGTCTTCCTGCATCCTGCGTCTGTGGTATTAATTCGTCTTTTTCTACCGCTCGTCTCGCGCGCAATGGTCCTTAACCCTTTGAGGCACGCATTTTTCAGAAAATCCGAATACATTAAAATTTATACACGGGAGTTTCTGGGGTCGCTGATGACGAATTCGTTATCAGATTTTCGAAATTCAAGATGGCGGCTACAAAAATGAAAAATCGCGATAATTTCGGTGACAGTAGGTATTGTGGGGTTTTCAGAGTCGCTGATTACGAATTCGTTATCAGATTTTCGAAATTCAAGATGGCGGCTACAAATATGAAAAATCGTGATAATTTCGGTGACATCGGTGATTCGTAATCAGCGACTTTGGAAGCTAACCAAAGTACAATTTCAGCTAATCATATAAAAATTTTATGATCCGCCATCTTGGCAAATAAGTTTTAGAATTTGGACTTCAGATTCGTAATCAGCGAGCTCAAAAACTAACCAGAATACAATTTTAGCTAATTTTATGTACATTCTATGATCCGCCATCTTGAATCCGTCATCTTGGAAAATTAATTTTGGAATTTGGACCTCAGATTCGTAATCAGCGACCCAAAAAAACCCCCAAATCTTGATTTTGAGCAAAAAATTCACTCATAGTTCGTGGAAAACGATTTTTTTCTGTAAAAATGTGTATTTTTCACACTTTGTTTATTTATAATAAATAGACAACTTATGCAAAACACTTTTCAACCTTTCATATATGTTCCCATATCATATAAAAAGCTAAAAGACGCAAAAAACCCGATAAGAATCTGTCAAGTATGAAATATTTCATGAAAATGTGAGAACAAATAGGTCGGTAAGTATACTTACCACTATGCCTCAAAAGGTTAAATCGCGCGCGCTTGCATTCTCCAAAGGATTTTCCGCGCGAGGCTCCCTCGACATTGTTTCGTCGGATAACACAACGTAATCCAAATCGCGGGTGTTCTTCGCGATCTCGACCCGCCTGAGCGAAAGAAGACTCTCTGCAGCTTTTGTCGAACTTTGCGCCGATTCACGCTCTTGTTTGTGTCTTCATCCAGAGTTCACGTCCCGATCGTGAGATTTGATTCCTCCGCTGCAAAATATTCTCGACGTGCGCGTCTTTTACCTGTTCCTACATGTCGGGCATTTCGCGCGGAGTTACCTGCACGCGTCTTCAGCGAGATGAAACGAGAAGCGCACGACTAACGGAACTGCGAAACGTAACGAACGGTACTTCATATCCCATCTTGCTCGCGCCGCGTTGATCCTTTCTTTCTTCTTTCTACATCTCATCATAGGAGAAGTGGAAGCCGCCGGTGGGCGCCTCTCTTTGCGCAACCTTGACCGCGTGACAGGCGACGTGCACGAGCCAGTTACACATTTCCTTATAAACCGCGCGTCCGATTTTTTTCGTCGACGATTGCACCTTATGCGATGATCGGCGAGAGAATCTTCGGTGGAACTTCGTTCCCCTGATGTGTCGTTCCGAGCTCTATTCGCGATGCATGCACCTACCGGTCGAATGATTCACAGGCGCTTTCTTCATCTCGAGCTTATGGTAAATTATTGTAATAAGACGCCGCGGGGCGGAAGTTTACGTTATTAATTTACAGCGTGCCGCTGAACCGCACGGAAGATTTCCGGGAAGATTGAACGTTCGCGGCGTGTGTTTCAGACGATATTCCTAACAATTGCCCTCCTGCCGTTCAGGCTCGCCGCCATCACGACTTTGATGATACTGGCGTGGCTGCTGGCCTGCCTGGGTCTCCATGGATTATCCGAGGAGGATCTTCGGCGAGCTCCTCTCAAAGGATGGAGGCGGTATGTTCGAGCGAAAACTAGCGGTGCGCGATAATTTTACCGAGGCCGCAGACGGTCCTTTCTCATTGTCTCTCTCTCTCTCTCTCTTTCTTTCTCTCTTTTCCTCATCTCTTGTCCCGCGTCTGTCCTTTTGTGTTATTCGCCTTAACATCAACTCTCCGATGAGGTCGCTTTCAGTCCTTTCCTCCTATTCTACGCTACGGCATTACGTCGCCTCACTTTTACTAGCAAACTGAGCCTGTACAAATCTTCGGAATGTGTGCTGCCCGAGTGTACTTGGAAATTCATAGATCCTGGAGTTGGACCGGGAAGAGGGACCACAGGAGACCGGAGGCTCTCGGAGGTGTTTAATGTCTCACGGAGCTGTAGACATAGAAGTCGAGTTGAATGAACGATTTGGAGGATAACGTGACTAATGAGACTGCGGCTGAGCGTAACCGAAATGATATCATCAAGCGAGTATCATGCATCATGTAAGGTCAACTTTTTGCTCGGTGGAACATAAGGTCGGCTTCTCTGCTTTGACACACAAGGTTGTCGTGTTTGATTATGATACTCAAAGCTATTGTGATATTTAAAGATTATTTCACACATAATGGAACGCCTCGTTCTATGTTCTCTCGCTTACTTGAACAATTCCCTGGGATTGTTGTCGGTCCAAGTGAAAAATTAGTTAATCTTCACTGAATCAGTATATTTCCTTCGATTCAAATGTTGATTCCCGATGTGTAGATTGGTACTTCGTTATTTCAAATTTCGGATTGAAATTATTAAAATTCAGCAAGAGTTATATTTGACACCCAAAAAGAAAAAGGAATTTCAAAACAAGCGGAATCACCTAAATTTTAGAGGATTTTATTCTTATATGTGGCATCAAGAGGATTCCTCTAGAATTAAGAGAAAAATATTATAAACACATTATTCTTAAAGTTAGAGGGATTATATGTTGTGTGTATAATACAAATCTCATTGACTTTAATATAAATTTCTTCTTATACACAGATTATTTAATCTTTTTTTAAGAGGATTATTATTTATTTTTACTGTACTTTATTCTTTCTGGTTACACTAATTAATTTGGAAAAATTATTATAATGTATAGCGAAAAATAATATATAGATGTACTTCTGGCTCCAATTTTACAATAAGTAGACACGAATGAAATAAGATCATCATAACAAACAAATTTCCAATCAGTTTTGTTATGGTCTTTATAGCTACAAAAGTGTTCATCATAACCAATTGTATGAAACATAGTTAAAAAAAAGAATATATTCAATTCCTTACAATAGATTATAAATTGTATTTGACCAAATATAGATAAATTATCTTATATATGTTACAGCAGCACACATACCTTTTTTTAAAAAGCATTCCAAATATTCTGACCCAGCATGAGCATATGATTATTTTTTCGCTCATGTTTGGAGCTAGAGCATGACTGAACAAAAGAAGCCGACATTCAAATTAACGTATCCATCTTCACATAAGAGGGAAATTAATTGATATGAGAGGAAATCCTCTTGAAATAAGAGGAAAACAGTTAAAATAATATCCAATAAATTTTAGATGAATGGTTCACTTTAATCGCTTTATCGAAAGAGGAATCCTTTTCCTGTAAAAGGCTTCGCTTAGAATATGAGACTATGGGAAAAATCACTTTACAAATAGAATACTTATTTTCGGGTGTTTGATTATTTAACGCACGTTTTACGTACAGACAATTGCCAGTGCTTGACCGACAATAACGGCTATGTGAAAACATGAAGAACGGAAAGTACCAACTTTTGTTTTATCTTATATCTGTTGCACGAGCGTATGTTGTTTATAATTTAATCAAGCTGACTGAGGCCTTCAAATAAGAGAGAAAAGTCAATAAAGCAACCTCGCGCCATGGAAGGTCGCGATAAAAGTGGCTCGGCTAGAAGTAACATTTGTGAAGCACCTACGAGTAGTCGTAGCACCCGGTGAGATAGATTTACAAGTTTCTGAATTATTCACGAGGCAGAATCACTTGTTTGGAGTCACACGATTAGTACCGTTATAGGCGGCATCTCGTCTAAATAAAGACACAAATCGATGTGCTTCCGAGTGGGCATCCAAAGTACAAAGAACGTTGAGACGGTTTCACGAAGGATCTAAGGATTTCCAAGTATGCTCCCCGCGGATTCCTCTAGAGCCTAGAGGACCCAAGGCTACTACCCGGGAGGTGGAGGAATATATTTATTAATATACCGATTAATATATTTCCCGCGTAGACGTCCTATCCGAGAAACGGGATCCTTCTTTAATCCTCAGAAGTAGAAAATCGCATCGGACGATGGTGCATGCACACTGCAAGTAAAACCACTTAAAAACAGAGACATGCGCATCGTGATCTGCTGGATGATGCGGGCATTATTTCTCTGCGGCGGTTTCCATCATCTGAAGGTCAAGGGCCGGAAGGCGGAGACTAAGGACGCGCCGGTGCTGGCTCTCGCCCCGCATTCCAGTTTCTTCGATGCACTTCCGGTCGTGTACCTCGGCGGACCGAGCATCGTCGCCAAAGGGGAGAATAGACGCCTCCCTTTCTTCGGAAGTAGGTCGCCCACCATCAAGTTGTCGTCCAACGATGATGACGAGTCAATTTTGGCCGATAAGGAGAGGTCGCCGTGTATTTGTTTTTTTCTCAGTTTTTCTCGGTTTTCGGATGTAGTCGGAAGACTGAATGTGTACAGGGTGTAACAGCAACATACAGGTCAATATGACGGGTTGCTTGCTCCTATTCGGATGATAATGCAGAGGTTTCCGAAAAAGTCACTCGTTGACTTTGTTGATAATGATATTCCCAGTTATGACAAATGCAACTAACTTTGCACCGTGTTCGTTATGACAGTTTATCGACCGTTTACCGACAGGAGTCGAACCTTATTGAATTAAAAAAGATTTTTAAAAAATGAAACTGAGAAATAAATATTACGGAATAAAGCAGAATAAATAAGAGTAATATTTAAAGAGACAAATAATATAACATATTTCCTGGTTCCGCATAATTTCTTAATTGTTTTCTCACGTTGGAAAATTCGATAGAAATTGGAGATTAGGAAGAACGATACAGAAATATTTAAAAGTCTTATATACTATATTTCATCCATATTTCTACAAAAAATAGACTACAAACGCAATATACATATTGGTTGCAATTTAATCAACCGCAACTATCAAGCTGCAAAAAATTTCGAAAAACAGGCCCTATTTTCGATGCCAAGATACAAGACTATAATGTACCGAAAAGATGTCGCTTGATAGTTGCGGTCGATTAAATTGCAACCAATATTTATATTGCGTTTCTAGTCCATTCATACTTTTGCAATCTTTTGTAGAAACATAGATGAAATACAATATGTAAGACTTTTAAATATTTTTATATCGTTCTTTCTAATCTCCAATTTCTATCGAACTTTTCAACGTGAGAAAACAATTAAGAAATTATACAAAACCAGGAAATGTGTTGTATTATTTATCTCTTTAAGTATTACTCTTGTTTATTCTGCTTTATTCCGTAATATTTATTTCTCAGTTTTATCTTTTAAATATCTTTTTAATTCAATGAGGCTCGGCTCCTGTCGGTAAACGGTCGATAAATTCGATATCGGTCACAACAATCACGGTGCAAAGTTAAGGTCATTCTATAATACGTGTCGTAAGTTGTAAGCCGTAAGAATTGGCGAATCACAATCAATTATTATAAAAATAATCTGCCATAATTGGTCAGTTCTTACGGCTTACAACTTACGACACGTATTGTAGAATGACCTTAAGTTGCATTTGTCATAACTAGGAACACTGCAAATATCATTATCAATAAAGTCAACGAGTGACTTTTTCGGCAACCTCTGCATTATCATCCGAATAGGAGCAAGCAACCCGTGCTACTGACCTGTATGTTGCTGTTACACCCTGTACACGACGGCGCCAGCAAGATTGCGAGATGTTAACTTTAGGCGAAAAATTACTTTTTTGCTGATAGTGTAATGAGTATATGCAAATGAATGCTCTTATTCGCGACCTCTCCTTGCGATAAGCAAAAGATCTAACTTTAGCACCGCAAAGCCGTGATGTCTTGTTCGTTTACTTTATTGTATATAATATTGTTATGTACATACACACGTGCGCGCGCGCACATAATTGGTGGATGGGATTTACTCGTTGGCAACTAACATAAAGCAGTTATTCCGTACTTACATTTCGGTAGCGTAGTTTTTCTAAATAATACGTTTCATCTCATTTGACTCCTTGACCAGTAAATTCGATCGCAATTGAATTACTCTAAACTACCAGTCTAGGGGTTAAATACAACACACCGTCCAATAACCACCAACTCTCTGATGCACCGTTCGCGATGTTCATACTACGCGAATATTATGCAACGTGTAGCATCTAAAACAGGCCACCTGAATAACTTAGAAAATATGCAAGATAGAAAAAAATTTTAAATATAGAATTTGTAGAGCTTCAAGTGTTGCAGATAGCAATATTAGTACGACCTTGAACAGCGTCGAAGTTACGGAAAGGTCACCTTGAATTTTTTAAATGGAAACGTCCATTTTTTTATTATATCTTCTTCTTCTACCAATTAATTTGAACAAATGTTTGAACTTAATTCGAACGAATTAATTTGAACAACTTCTGTCTGAAACATTTTTTTACTTGCCTAATATCTTTTAGTGATACGAGACATTTTTACTCTACTTGGTCTCAAGAATAAATTGTTACAATAGCGCCCTAACTTATAATAATTTGATGATTTTGAAATTTAAAAAAATCGATAAGTTAACAAAAGTTAGAGCATTATTGTAACAATATATTCTTAAGATCAAATAAAGCAAAAAAGTCTAGTACTATTTTTCTTTCCGATAAATAATTACCGAGATATTGTAAGCCAAATATTGAAAAAAGTTACCAAATTTTTCTTAAATATCTCAAAAAACATGAGGCAAAAAAACATGTTTCAGACACAAGTTGTTCTCAAATTAATTGGTAGAAAAAAAATGGTATAATAAAAAGTGGGATTTTCCATTAAAAAAATTCAAGGTAACCTTCCCATAATCTTGATGACGCCGTTCAAGGTCACACTGGTATTGCTATGTGATACCAGTGTGACCTTGAACCAATTGAAATTGTAGGGGTCATTGAACCCTACAATTTCTATATTTAACATTTTTTCTCTATCTTGCATATTTTCAAAGTTATTCAGCTGTCCTGTTTTAGATGAATCATCCTTGGACATTTGCCGTTTCTCGCACGTCAAGTATATAATCGGAAGCGTGTGTCAATTGAGATGTAGGTCTTTAGAGAAAAAATGTGATATTCTCACGGCGAAAAACATCTCGCTTGCATCAGAGAAGCCAAGAGGGGAGCGCAAAAGTGCTTGTCGGTGCTTATGCGGTGCAGTTCTAAATTCGCAACTAACTTCTCTCGGCTGTTGTCGAAACTCGAATCGCTTATTGAAACACTTTCACCGTCTTCTTCTTCGTCCTTTTCTTCTCTATCAATTCGATCATGTAGAAAGTGCATTGGACGGACCTGTGTCGAGAGTTCGCCTCTCGCGCGTCCGTTTCGCGATATCATCGGCGTATCGATACTGCTCGCCGCCGATGCCTACCTTAAGAATACCTGAGACGCTGTGATGTTCAGCGTCTCCGACTGCAGGCTCCACTGCATGTGTATGTGTACACTTTCTCGATTGAAACCCGCAGCAAAATAGTGCCGTGGCTATGTTACTTGGGCCGACTTACTTACCAAGCTGGCGGGATGAAAATCGTGGTTCGAGGGAGACAGGCTTCCAGATCGGAAGCGCCGATTCTGGTGCTCGCTCCGCACTCGACTTTCATAGACGGCGGCATTGTTTACGTCACCGGATTTCCCTCGATCATCGTCAGGCGAGAGTCAGGATTAAATCCGTTTATCGGAAGTAGGTGGTACAGTTTTTCTCGCTCCTTTCACTTCTCTCTTATTCTCTTCTCTCGTCATTCGTCGCGCTATACATGCCGGTTTCTCCTTTCTTTCTTTCGAGACATAATTTCTTGTTAAACTCCGATTAGAGTCATGAGTCAGAAAATATCCATATAGCAATATGACATCCTCCAGAAATCCTAAAAACGTCCAGAACGGACATTATCTTGTGGATATCCGAATGTTATCCCGGGATATACTTTGGATCTTTAAGACATCCTGAAGATTTCTACGGGATATGTTATGGATATTTCCTAGGTGTCTAAAGGAAAAGGAGGAAACAGTCTTTTGAATTTGCTGACTCCGAATTATACAAAATCTTGTCTCTTCTGTTTGAATTACAAATATAAAGAAGATATAAGGAAATATAAAAAAAAAGCATTTGACTCGATTCCAGATCGAAATTCGCAGAACACATTAGCAGTCTATTCTTAGAAACGAAACATTTTTTAATCTTTTTAAATTTTAATCTCTCGGAATTCTAAAATCTTTCAACTCTAAAAAAAATCGAGCAATTGATTCAATTTGCTAAATCCAACTTAGAATCGAGTGTCGAATGCTTCCTTCTCCTTATATTTATAATTTAAGCGGGAAAGATAGGAAGCAGACATATACAGGGTGTCCGGGATCTTTCGGAAACGAAAAATTGTGAAGATTAATCAGATCAAACTGAGAAGAAAAGTTATAATGTACTATTTTGAAAAAATCGCAACAGTTATTAAACTATTAATGACCACATCTAGAGGTTTTTTTAATTGATAACTTTAAAATTTGCATATTTTTTGCAAAATAATAAATTTACAGTTATGTAACGGTTATTGTGCCTAGCGATAGATATGAATATATTGAACTTTAAACCTTGAATCTTGAATCTGTCGCTAGGTACAATTGCCGCTTCTAAATGTGATCATTTTCAATCATTAATAACTGTGGTTTTTGCAAAATGGTACTTGACTTTTCTTTTTTGATCTGATTAATCTTCACAATTTTTTGTTTCCAAAAGATTATATCTCGACATAACTCGGAATCAGCAGGCTATATTTCTACTGTTTATCCTTGAGACATCTCTCAGAAGGTAGTGCTGTTTAGAGACTCTTATCAGAGACTAGCGGATATGCGATAGACATTTATGGGAAGTTTATATTTTATTACAGTACTCTATAACATTCTGAAATTGCTTCCAATGTTGCTGTAATTAATGAAGTCAAGTACGCACATAGAATTCTCATTTAAAATATTCACAACGGCACAAGTAAATATCCTGAAAATATCCCAGGGTTATCATGGATGTGTCCAGAATCATCGCGAGGACGTTTTGTGCTATCTGGGTAACAAAAATTAAACCGCGCACAATGGAGAATTTACAGAGATTTTGAGGTGCGTTGCGTGCGCGTACAATTGAATAAAAAAATATCACCCAGCGTTAGCCATTCCGGCGAGCGCAAGAATGGACTTTGTAACGATTAGTGTAAGGTTGTACAACGGAGAAAATAATAACCGTCGCGCTCGGTATCGGTGACGCGCGTATCGTTATCATTAAACTATTTATGCCCGTTTCTTCCAACTTTAGTCTTAACTTATGGTTCAGTAAAACTTCAGTTGAGCATAACTTTCAGTTTAATATTAAATGGTTTCTACGAACACTCCATCTAGAACGTTTAGCTAAACTTATAACTCGTACGATATAAGAGACTTAAAGGGACTGGAGGGTCAGATTACTGAAAAATCGTGCTTGTTTTTGATAATGATTTTGTGACGAACTGAATATATGTGCAAGAATGAAAATTTTACATATATTTATATAACATATGAAGAGTAGGAAAATTTTGTTTTTAAACAAATACTTATATAAATATACGTCCACTTAAATTTTAAACGCGTTTTTCTCGGAATTTTATTGTTCAACTTTTTGCAGTGATTTCTCCGAAACTGAGCTTCGTATCGATTTGAAATTTTGAAAGTAATAATATTTGTTCATGTGGCTCTCAGGTGATGAACCAATGGACAACTCTGTCAAAATATTTCATTCCGAGATATTAATTTTTTTATTGTAAAAGAACTGAAAAATTTGAATTTTTTCCTAATAATAGCTGCCATTTTGTTCATTTTGTTCGATTTTTTTTTCTAGTGGTTCACCGGATAATGATAAGTCTCCTCAAGATTTCTAGCTAAAATTCGCTCTGATTGGACCACCGAGAGCCGAGATATTACTGCAAAAACGATAACGTGAAAATAAAAAGGAGAGTATATATGATATTTCAGCTGTACAGGGTGATCCGAAATTCCCACATTCGAAGTACAGGCCACGATACTTTATGCTAAAATAAACAACTTTTTCCTTTAACAAAATTGCGTCCGACAAGTAGTTTTTGCAGAAGAACGTATTAAAGTTAACGAATAAGTGCTCTTGTCTACGTAACGCTCAGGGCAGGCTCGCGCGCCTCATTCGCGTGTATCTAATTAATGAGTATTCTAGTATTCATAAGTAATATCTTTTAAGACGGCTCTATTGTAATTAGTTTACGACATCTTAAAATTATACTTAAGACAATATTTAAATAATAAGAATCAAATATAAACAATATCGGAATTTCACAATTCGGCGCAATTGTGGCGCAAATCTCAAAATTTATATTTGTTACCTCCGTCGTGTTGTAATGAACAGTATGAGTGAAGGGAAGATGGCAGATAAACAACAACGCAAACTCAAATGTTCCAAATTTCTCCGACGCAGAGAAAATGATTTTAATAAATTTAACGTAACAATATAAAGATGTTCTTGAAAATAAGAAGTCTGACACGATAACCTTAAAAGATAAAGAAAAGTGCTGGAAAATTATAGAAAACTTATTTAAAATAGTAGATCTTCGAAGTACGAATGTCGAAGTGCTGAAGTTTTGAGAAGCTGTTGGGATAATTTAAAAGAAAGACAAGAAAATATTTTGCTGATGAAAAGAAGAGCAGCTGTATAAAACAGCTGTGTAAATATTGTAGTTTTTACATGGCATTTCCTACTATGAATTCCATTATTTTAAATATTGGGAATCGAATCTCTAAATAATTATTAAATTAAAAGAAAAACATATGCAATTTATAGTTACAAACGCAATGCATGTTGCATATATCTAAGATATTAAAGATGTGCATTTTTTACTTGTAAGTTTATTAAATAAATTTGCATATTGCATATTTGCAAACTAGGTTAACAGCTATTTTCTTGTATTAGATAGGCTAGAATTACATTTTTAACTGGACAGTAAAAAGCTTTAAACAGCCCACATCGGCCGCTTAAATTAAACTTAGTTAACATACATTTAAACCTGGACAAATTGTTGAAATCAACACTTTGCTAAACTTTGGTTAACCGAATGTCACTAGGGATTAACTTTTTAAACTGCGTTGGTAGAAACGGGCATTAGACGCAGCAAAGATGATCCGAGACCAAATTAGTTTATCGATAGTTTCCGGCTGCCAGTTGCATCAAGACCCGAGTATCTGTATTGTTTATAACGAGAGTGGGGTTAGCATTTTGCGAGACGTATTAACGGAAACGTCACGAGTCGAATGGCGGCGATGGTACTAAAAAGAAAAAAAGAAAAAAAAACAATCGAGACGAATCCCATTCACCACGTTATGTACGACGAGAGTGACTTCGGAAAGAGCAGGCGCACTCGCGAGAGTTCCGCTAATTAATACTACCGGCGATTGCGATCGCCGGTGAAGCAACGATTGGCAACAACTTGCCGTTTGCAAAATGATCGACCTTAATTCGGCGCGCAAGTACGTCACGATTGATTTCCGGCCACGAGGGAACAATTATCCGCCAAACGACTGTCAATTGCCGAATGAGAACTCGTCTCGCTCGTGCAAAACTCCGTCGCGAGTTTCCCTGCAAATGTATCGTTCCGAAATCACGACGAGCTAGTTAGACTCGAACGAATATGATACGCTGCAGGTCGTGATTATTTCATCGACACATGTGTGCATTTCTTTCTCTCTCTCTCTCTCTCTCTCTTTCTCTCTCTCTCTCTCTCTCTCTCTCTCTCTCTCTCGACCATACACTCGCATTGTGCCTTTCATGTTCGATGTGTGTAGAGCTCATCAATTATACGCAACCGGTGTACGTGTGGAGGGAAGACCCTAATTCCCGGCAGAACACCATCAAGGAAATCATCGAGAGAACCACTTCCAAGGAAGATTGGCCGCAGGTAGGCAGAGCGTATGATGTCATGCATCAGTTTGCAAAAATTGTAGCGTTAATAAAGAGGAGGAAAGAAAGGGAAACCCCGGGAAGGGAAAGAGTAAGAGACAGTTTATACAAGCTGTTCCCCTTTATAATGCTCGGAATAATTCATGGTTTGCGAGGTGCACGCGAGCTTGCAATCAAGGTTGGCGTCGTGCACTTGTTGCAAATCGTTACCCTCCGCCTCGCAGCTCGTGGTGTAACTGACCGATTCTTCCTGCAGGTTATGATATTTCCCGAAGGAACCTGCACAAACCGGTCATGCTTGATCACTTTCAAATCAGGCGCATTCTATCCAGGCGTGCCTGTGCAACCGGTATGCATCAGGTACCCTAACAAGCTGGACACGGTGACGTGGACTTGGGAAGGTCCTGGCGCGTAAGTACGGATATTTATTTCCGCGTCTCTCTGCGTCTTCTTCATTCACTCAGCTTCACACGCAAAAAGAGAGAGAGAGAGAGAGAGAGAGTGCGTCATGTGCGTATGTGTCTCTGTAATCTTCATCCGGTTATATCGAATTGCAGGTTGAAACTATTATGGCTGACGTTGACGCAATTAAACAGCAGCTGCGAGATCGAGTTCCTCCCTGTGTATAATCCGAGCGAGGCGGAGAAAATGGATCCCAAGCTGTACGCGAACAATGTGCGACGCCTCATGGCAGAGTAAGTGCGTTGTCCGGGCGTCTCTTTTCAACAACGTCTTCCTTTCTCCCTTCGTAACGTTATCACGTGATCCCTCGATGCCTTTTGCGCAGAGCTTTGAAGATTCCCGTGTCGGACTACACGTACGATGACTGCCGGATAATTCAAAAGGCTCATCAGCTGCATCTCCCGTATGCGTCCAGTATTGTGAAGACTCACAAGCTTCGGTGCAAGCTAGGGTAAGTAATGGTACACAAACATGCAAGTGTCGTAGAATGTATGTTGTTTCCTGAATCCTCTTTTGATCTGCGTTGCAGCCTGGTGGCATCGAAAACGGAAGAAGAGCTTGTTCAGAAGAAAACGACCAACTTCGGCGACGTGAACCTGCAGGAATTCGCGCAAATTCTAAGACTGGACGAGAAGGACCCGACCACTCAACAATTGTTCCGCATTCACGATAGGGTTTGCACTTATACCGTGAAACTTGCACGATACGGTGTGCATTTCGACAAAGGTGTTGGTTAAATTTCGCTTGGTTCTTTCAGCTCGGCCAAGGAAAGATCGATCTTCAGGAATATATCTTCACTGTGCTGGTCACGGCAAATGCGTCTACGGAATTAGACAAGGTCGAAGTCGCGTTCGACGTGAGTACCGACCGTTTATATATAGCTGCACCGTGTACATAGCATATGAACTTTTATTTTTACGCGATCACATTGTGTCACAGGTTTGCGGCTCGAAGACAACGTCGTGCCTGACCCAATCGGAACTCAGGAAAGCCTTGAGGTTATCGCTACGTATGCAACCGGAAGAGTCCGACAGGATCTTTCAACAGGCTAGGAACGATGAAAACGACGTCACAGTGAGCTTCGGTAAAAATGCCTACCGCTGTTGGTCCTCTCGTCTTTATCTCTTAATCTCTTAGCATTAATGCTGGATAAAATGTTTTCCTCGTTTTTTCGAAACGGTTGATCTCTTGCAGATGACGTTCTGACGCAATTGTCAAACCGTGCGGAGTACACGCATTTGTTCGCTGCGAGCAACGAAAGTTCAAAGAAGGCCATTTGAAAGTGTCTTTTGGCGCCCGATGTTCCACCCAGAGGACATCGTGGCAGACCCTTTCACAATCCCATCTGCTCCATCCCTGTATGAAAAACGCATCCGATGCTTCAAGGATCTAATGCGAAATTATTTTGTCGTTGGCGGAAGTTGCAGTCGCGAGAACCTAGACAACTAGCTTGTCTTTCCTATAATTCTGTAAATTAGAGAAAGTCAAGAACTTAGCGATATAGGAAGTTAACAATTACGAGATTCAAGGGTTCGAAGTCATCCTAGATTTGATAAATTCCAAAATATTTAGTTATACGACGGTTGTAGAAATCAAGCGATATACGAAAATCCAAAGATACGCAGAACCCGAACAGAACTGGAGATTTGAAGGTTTGGTAATTCCTAAAGGACAAAAACGCCGCGATTTCTGAAGACCGATAAAATTCTGTTTAAGAATCTGGAAAAATCTGAAAGCCTAAAAACTCGAGGGAAGGAAGTACCCTAGAGTGCATTGAAAAGAGAATAGCTCGCAAAAATTTTCAAAATATGAGGATTCTATGACGCATGCTTGATCGAGGATCTGCTAAATGTATGTAGAATCCTAAAGGAGAAGAGCAATTTTGCCACAGTTACTTTGCTGTATATGACGAACTTAGTTGAATGAACCAGTCATGAAAGTTCCCGTAGCTCGAGAGGATTTGAGGTCCCCTGGTGACGTAGGGCTTGGATATATATTTAGAGAGCAAAAAAAAGACGAAAACGAGCAGATAATTACATGATTTATTTTTTGGCTCGATAGTTTGATGATGCCGCGAGATTCGGTACACATGTGCAGACATGCAGTCATGCACACACGGAGATACAAATGTACGATAACAGTTGCATGCATACTTGTTGCACACCGCGACTGGCACATATAGAGGCACACGTATATATGTACACACACCCACACAAACAGGGGAGGGATGCAGCAAGATTATGCGAATCGATCGTCTACACCGTCTGCGTATGCGCGCGCAAGTGCGCAATTCATGTATGTACGCATGTATGTATGTATATATATACAAAGAAGAATATGCGGGTGCAGCTAAAGAGAGCATCCTTTGTAATATCCTGTATATGAGCGAAATGGCCAAACTCCAACAGCGCATTGTAGTGGTCATTATAAGTTGAGAGCGGACATATGTATGTTGAGTTATAGAACATTTTACTACGAACGAGTATGTTGAAAAATAACAGTATTTATTGAACCGAGACCTTGTCGACTTTCAGTACATGTTGAAAAAAAAAAAACGCAACACACTTGCGATCAATTTAGCTCGCACAAGTATGAGCGTACCGTCAAATCGGGCCTTGTGATACGCATACCGGCAACGACTGACGATTACGTTCTCGCGGTGATCTCGCGAGTGTAAGTAGACGACTGGCGGTAAGTAACGCAGAGTTACCTACCGCCTTGGTAGGAAGCAAAAGAGCGAGGAATTTGCGCGGCGCGACGTAACGGAGAAGAACGACTGAGAGATGGCGTGGCAAGAGGTATCTGTATGTTCTAATTTCTTGATAAGTCAACTGATAGTCAAATCATATGTTCATCTTTGTTTTTCCTTCAACTTAGACAAAGACATATGATTTAATTATCAGTTAACTTACCAAGCCCTTAGGGCCGGTTGTCCCAATTTCTTGATAACTGTTTCCTTCAAATTAGACAAGGACAGACATATGATTTAACTATCAGTTAACTTACCAAGAAGTTGGAACCCCCGGTTAGCCAAATAAAACGCAAGCAGCAGCATTAGGTCGACACTTTATTAGTATACATTAGGCTCGAGTACTGAAAGGGTGAGAGATTATTACAATCGCGTGACTTCGGAACTATTGATAGCCCGTAGTTTCCCATCGGAATGACTAGACCGTCGATGCCTGATCTGCGCGTGTGCCGGCGGTATGTAACCGGCCGGCTCGTCGGCTCGCTTGTGCTTGTCCAGCTGCTGCACGACAGGCGCGAACCGCGAGCCGGGCCCACCGTCCAGGCACTCGCAGCTCAGACTGGCCGCGTCCAAGTCGCCCTGGTATGGCGCCGGTATCAGAAGGCTCTCCGTCGACTTGGTGGGCTGGAAGCCGTGTCGGCTGACCGTGCTCGCCGCCGAATACGCGGTGCTGCTGCCGGTGCTTGTCTTCCTCTGCACGGTGCCGACGGGTGTCTTCGCCCGACCGTGGGATCCTTTGCCAGGCCGTTCTGCGCTGTGGGTCTTGATGGTCGCGGTGTCCAGGTAACCGTAACCGAAACCGTACCCCCCGAAGGCCTTTGTCGTCAGATTGTCCCATGACTTCGGCTTGGCGTATTGAAGACACGGCGGTGGTCGCTGGTGCACGCTGGGGTCCCAGTACAGGGTGTCGGTGCTGAGACTGGTGGAGCATGAAGCGACGCTGTCGCCCGTCGTCGAGACGTCGCTGCTGGTGATGGAGTGAAGACTGTGACCGGACGTGCGAGGACAGTTGTGGGTGTTGGGCTGTTGCTGCTGCGGCTGGGGTCCTTGAACATGATGATGCTGAAGATTGGCCTGTTGTTGTTGTTGTTGCTGCTGCTGTTGCTGCTGCTGCTGCTGCTGCTGTTGTTGCTGCTGCTGCTGCTGTTGCTGTTGATGGAAAGTCTGCTCGTTACGGGCGCGTCGTTGCTTCTCGCGGCGTCGACGACTAGGTACGCAATTCGGATCGCAGCAAGGACTGGCGAGGTCATAGGCGTCCAGGCTGCCGCTGTCGGACTGCTCGCGTCGACGATTCGCACTGGAGATGCAAGCGACGCAGAGACTGTTCTGGGGAGCCGCATGCAACGACGATCCGTCGCCGGTAACGGACGACTGCTGTTGTTGCTGTTGCTGTTGGCAGGATTTGTGAGACTTGTTCTTGGCGGGTGTGCCGGTCATGCCGTTCGCCTGGTGATAACTGTGGCGCGATGACGTTGTCACGGCAGATTCGCTGGACATCTTGGACAGGAAGTGATGATGGTCGCTGCGGGAACGAGGCGGCCCGACTGTCACGAGGCAAGCAGCGCTGCGAGGGATCAGACAGGGTCGTCCGTCCGCGAACTGGAAGACAACAGTTGGCCCTTTAGGTGTTGCGATCAATGCGACGCGATCCGGTGCCTTCGTTACTCGATCGGAAAAGATTGTATACAATTTTAGATGAAGTTAAATGAAGTTAACTGCTGTTAAATGAAGAAAAGGATAAATTGTTTCGTTCAATCGTATGTCTATGTCGCGGATTGCCGCGAACATAAGCAGCTACTTGAATTGTACTCGTGTAACAGCATTTTCTTTTTAGTGTGGACACATATAATCATACGTATGCTTATACACAGGTAACATCAACATATAGATCAGTACGACGAGTTGGTTGCCCCTATTCGGACGATAATGCAGAAGTTGCCGAAAAAGTCACTCGTTGACTTTGTTGATAATGATGATATGGATGGAGTATATAGTATATGAGACTTTTAAAAATTTCTATACCGTTCTTTCTAATCTCCAATTTCTATCGAACTTTTTAACTCATCATACCGGGAGCACTGCAAATGTCATTATCAACAAAGTCAACGAGTGACGTGTTTAGCAACTTCTGCACTATCGTCCGAACAGGGGCAAGCAACCCGTCGTACTGACCTATATGTTAATGTTACACCCTGTACAGTATAAAGACAAAATTCACACATAATCATGTATGTATGCATGGTGAGGCACCTAAAATGATTTTGAGATTTCCAGAAATGATCAAGCTAACGAAAGTTAGGTGCACTATTGTGACAGCATATTCTTAAGAAAAATAGAATAAAAAAGAGAGTAAAAAATTTCTAGTACCACTTTTTCCCCCGACAAATAGTTACCGAGATATCGTAAGCCAAATATTGAAAAGACTTTCTTTAAATACCTTAAAAAATATTTGACAAATAAAAAAATATTTCAGACAAAAGTTGTTCAAATTAATTAATAGAAAAAGATAATAAAACAAAATATGGCAGTTTCTACTTGAAAAACTCAAGGTGACCTTTCCATAATCTCGATGACACCGTTCAAGATCATATTGATATTTTTGTATGATGCATCACTTGAAACCCTACAACTTCTGTATTTAACATTTTTTTCTATCTTGCATATTTTCGAAGTTATTCAGGTGGCCTTAGGTGTTTTAGGTACCTCAGCCTGTATACCCTCACCCCACTGTATACCCAGTAGACAATCTATTAACAATCTATCGATAAATGGCTGATTCGATCGAGGATTTGTCGACAGAGTCTATTGACAGAACCTGACAGCAGATTGGCGGCAGAAAGCAAGCAAGATCTGCAATATGTTCCATTCAAATACATTGGGACGACAAATCCCGCTCGGTTTCTGTCATTAGATCTTGTTATATTTCTGCTAGCAAGCTTCTGCCAGAGCCTGCAGCCTTGCTTATCTGTCTCTTGCTACACTATTTTTCACCGAGTACTGCCGATACATAAATAGTAGCTACCACGTTATAGAGCAGAAGGTGCTCGGTGGAGGTCGCAGGTCGGCAGCATTGAATCGTAGAGGAGTTGAAGCTGGAGGAAGGCGATGGCTGATTGGGATTAGTGCCGACGATGCTATTAGGCGTTCTCTTGCGCGCTGGCAGTGAATGGGTTTTCCAGCGGCCCATCAGGATGGACCGTTCTCGTTCGCACAGTCTCTCCAGCTCGCCCAGGCGAGACTGGAGGGCACGTTGCAGCTCGATGTAACGCATGTGTAACTCCACCTGCGAATTGCGACGTCTCGTCAGACGGTTCGTTGCGTTTGATCTCAGAGAATCAAGTTTCAAGGTCACGAGAGCCTCGCAATCGCCGTGAAACAAAATATGGATAATACAGGATGTCCGGGATCCTCTGGAAACGAAAAATTGTGAAGATTAATCAGGTCAAACTGAGAGGAAAAGTCAAGCACCATTTTGCAAAGTCGCAATAGTTGCCAAGTTATTAATGATTGAAAATCTAGAGGCCACATCTAGAGGCTCTTTTAATTGATAACTTGGAAATTTATTGCAATACATGATAAAGGACTTTTTGTTCAGAATGACCCAATCTACAATTATATTACGGCTATTGTCTATCTAGCGATAGATATGAGTCGAACTTTGAATCTGTCACTAGGCGCAATCGCCGTCATATAATTGTAGATTAGATCATTCCGAATAGAAAAGTCTCTTACCATTTTGCAAATGAGCACGCAAACACTTTCAATCTTCCGTATCAATTGAAAGAGCCTCTAGACGGGGTCACTTTTAATCTTTAATAACTCAATGACTGTTGCGACTTTTTTGCAAAATTGACTTTTCTTCTCAGTTCGATCTGATTAATCTTCACGATTTTTCATCTCCAAAGGATCCCGGACACCCTGTATATACGAAACGTAGGTGAGTAAAGTGAGAAATATACAGAAATAATTAATTCAGAACAGCGACGAGAGAGAAAGAGAGTCGGGCGGGCGCGCTCTTGCTCTTACTTTTCTCACGCAGTCTTCGAAGGACACGACCATTCGCATTCTCGTATCGCAGTTCTGGATGAAGGTCACCAGAGTCTTGTGATCGGCCCTGTCCATCTCGTGGCCGTTTATCGAGAGTATCACGTCACCCTCCCGCATGCCGGCTTTGAACGCCGGCCCGTCGTACTCCACGTAGTCCACATAAGTCACCATCTCTATCTCCTGCTCCCTCTTGTAATGTATCCCGTAACTCTGTCGGGGTCAGTATCGATCAAATTATTATTGTCCGGCACATTCTGGTCGGGATTGTATATTTCTCATGAAGCCGGATCGATTAATCTGATGGAACTTTCAGGTTTACGAGCTTGCAATTCGCGACGGGCGGATAAGAGCGAGCGGCGGGACAAGTACGCTCTTGCGGATGCCTAAAGCAGGATCACGTTTGCCATTACACGCGCGACGCGCTTAACATGGAAGCGTCACCTGCAACGTGAAACCGTACGTGCCGTTCTTCTTCTCCACGATGATCGTCCGGCGACGTCTGTCCTCGTCCGCGCGCACAGCCCTGTCGGATTTCGTCCTCTCGAGGACAGCCTGGGCAGAAAAAGAGGCGCTCACCGTTCGAATCGCGACAGCGATTCACTCGCAGATAGCACAGATAACAATCTTACAACGATTACATAATGAAGCGGGAGATAAGCTACGCCGCGAAGTAGAGCGGCAAAAACGCTGCAGTGCACAAAGGACTTCGCCGACGACCGAGCGATATTCCCGCGAGCTCGCGCTCCTCGCGAGTCGCGAGAACGGTGGCTGACGCGTGTGAGAGTTTGCAGATAATCGTGATGAAAAAGGAAGCCAAGGAACCGTCAGAGGTGAACGTTCGATCGGTCGACGACGCGTCGGTGTGAACGACAACTCGATTTCCCGCTGCTTCCCGGCGCACCGCGCCGGCTCCCGACCGGGCGACGGCGAAGCGAGGGCGCACAGCGAGCGAAGAAGCGCGAGACACGCAGAGGAGGTAATTACACATTCGACGACGCCGCTCCATTCCTCCTCGTCGCTGTTGTCGACGCCGGCCCGCCGCTGCGTCCCGGCGCTGCTCGTGTTCTGCGGCGAGCTGTTCATGCCCGCGCCGCCGACGTCTATGTGCACCCGGCTCGTCGTCGTCGTCGTCGTCGTCGTCGTCGTCGTTGTCGTCGTCGTCGTCGTCGTCGTCGTCGTCGTCGTCGTCGTCGTCGTCGTCACCGCCGCCGCCGCGTCGCCGGGCTGCCATCAACACTCGCCGACGGTGGAGGCGTCGTCTCCCTCGCGAGGTCAGCGGCGAGAGAGGGGTTAACGCGCGTCCCGACGCCGCACGACGCAGCACGTCTCTATCGCGAAGGCGTCCACGGCCATCCAGTCTCTCCGGCCTGTTGTCTCTCATCGCGCAGACGCGACAATATCGGCCTAGCACCCCGTGCTGGGCGAGGGGGTTGGCGGGCGCGTGGGAAGCGACGGCGGTGTCGTCGACCGGGGCCTCCCTTCCCCGGCGGGTGGCATCCCCCTGGCTCCGCCGCGGCGCCCCTTGGAGCGCGGCGGCGGACGGGAATAAACGGACGGATCTAAATACGCGCGCGAGCGCGCAGGAGCGCGTGGATGTCGGAGGAGGACGGCTGATCCAGACGAGACTGATGGATGAGTCCAGCCGGCGCTTCACCCGACCGACGCTCGTGGTCATTTCAGCGACGATGAGACCTGTTGATTTCCAGGAAAGGACATCCAGGAGAGGACCGGATTGAATTCTCTTACTTATGGACGCTTGACGTTGCTGCGGCCGCAGCTGCAAGTCCGCTCTTCCTTCACGACGCAACCGCACTTCCTCACAGCTTCCTTCCTGCCGACGGTGTCCTGTGCGACAGTACAACACGGTGGGCACTTGACCTTGGGGTCCTCTCGCCGGTCCTTTCGCCGGTGTTCACCCACCACGGCGGGGCAACACGTCCTGGCCGCTTCTCCGCTGCCGTCGCTGGTCTTCCTCGCAGGACACACGCACTTGACTTGACTCTGCCTGTCCGCGACGGAGGTGATCCGCCTGCATTGGAACACGGGGCCGTCGTCGACGCCTTTGAAGAGATACGGCTTCTCGTCGTCGGGGATTTGAAACTGCGTGACGATCTTCCTGCCGAAGCACGAGGCGCGGATGAAGACTGTGACTTCGCCCACGCATTGCCCCGTCGCCGTGGTGATCTTGAAGGTGTCCTTGATCGTCCGGCTACTGTCGCCGGTCTTGAAGACCTGCTGGCTCAGTAGCGAGTTGATGAGGCCGCAGGCTTGGATCTGGTGGCTGCCTGTTAATCGCGAAAGACACCATCGTTTTTACACAGCTCTGTCAGATGAGGAGTTGAGAGACAAGCAATGGCGAGATAAATTGCGGCTTTAGGAGTGGACGAGAGGACCGATTAACATCACGTCTGGCAAAACCCCTGGTGGGAACTCCTTGTGGACGCTCATCTTCACGGGAAAACTGCACAGTGGCTTCTGCAGGATGACGTTCGGCAGCGCAAACAGGCAAGACTTCCCCTTCTTGAAGACCTGCTGCCCTCCGTCGTTGCAGGCGCAAGCTCTCGTCGGCGATTCTTGGTAGATATTCATCGGCGGCAGATCCAGTATCTACGATGATCATTTTTAGCGCGATACCAACGCGAGTTTCGACGAACGACTCGACTTAGCACAGGGATTTACTTGAAAAGAGACGCATGTCTTGGCGGGCAGTATCTCCTTGTGGATCGCCCGGATGGCGGGAACGTTGACGTTGTTAACCAGGAATTCCATCAGGAACAGCTGTTCCCCGCTCATTATTTTTACTCACTCGGTTTTATTTATCGTGTTCAATCGATCCAAGTGTCGAGGTCGAGGTTAATATCTTGCAGTTTATTATTTCCCCAATCGAATTTTAGATTTTATGAATCGAATTTTATTCTATTCCCACGTAGCTCGCGATTCAGTGTCGGTAATTCATTGTCTGGACGACTTTGGGAATTTGGGAGTTTGATATTGGAGGATATTACTTATCACTGTAATCAATTTAGGTTGTCATCGCTAATCGCCAAGAAGGTTTTTGAGGTTGACAATGACATTCGACTGTGAAACAGTGTTGGTAATTTTTTAATCATATATTGGGTTATTCGGGAAGTAATTTCGACTTTTTGCATGAAAATGAAAGACGAGATTTTTAACAGAGAGAACAATTTTATTCTATTAAGTATCGACCATTTTGTTCTAACACCTTTGAGCCATCATTGAAATAATAACATGATTCTACGCTCGTACAATCTCTGGTCCTTATTGGCAAGAAATTGAAGTGGTTTTTGACACCTCCATTTGAATCGAAGTTTTTACCATCCAAAAAATTTTACAGTAACCAAAACAAGTTACAATCGGATAGTGCCAGATCGGGTGAATATGGCGGATATGCGGCAGCAAATCCCATCCAAGCGCTGACAGCTTCTGGCGAGTCATTAAACTTGTGTGAGGTCTGGCGTTGTCATGATGAAACACAACACCTTCCTGTTCGCCAATTCTGATCTTTTCTGCTTGATGGAAAATCATTCAATTTGCCCAATTGATGACAATACACATTCGAATCAATCGTTTGGTTGTTTAGTAGCAGCTCAAAAAAAATCGTCCCTTTCCAATTCCATCAAATAGAGCATCACCTTCTTTTGATGGATATCAACTTTCGATGTGCTTTGAGCTGGTTCTGGCACGTCTGCTCTGTGATCTTTTGCGTTTAATATTGTTGTATACAATTCATTTTTCATCTCCAGTTATGAGTCGCTTCAGAAATGAATCGTTTTCCTCACGTTTCAGTAGCAAATCGCAGATGACGTAACGCGACGAATCAAATATCTTTCTTTGAAAACGTATGGAATCCAAATATCGAACCTTAAAAGCGAAACCAAGTTGCTTCAAATGCTCATGCACGGTCGAATTCAATAAATTCAATCTCTCGGCAATTTCTCGTGTTGTTAAATGACGATTCGCGTCCACCAATGGCTTTGCTTGGTCCTCATCAGTCTCAACTTGGCCTTTTAGAACATGGTGCATGTTTAAAATTCACAGAACGAAATTTCGAAAACCGATTCTGACACTGGCGTTCAATTAACACATCCTCTCCATACACGATACACAATGTTTCTCCTACTTGCGCTGCATTTTTGCCTTCAATAACAAAACAGCAAAATGTGACGAGAATGCTCACGTTGATTTTCCATTTTTGATGCGACGCCAAACAAAAAAAAAACTTGACAGATTCCAAAACAACTTTTTTTCAAATAAAGCTTGAAATGCGCGTCGTAAAAGTAGTGTATAATGATTTTCTGGTTTAGAATGAGGTTAACTGCTTAAAAAGCCAACCAACACCATCTATTTGAGAAAACCAGAATTTCTGAACAATCCAATAGAAGGACTCGTTTCTATGTATGTATGCGTGTGGTTAATCTGGAGTAAATTGTTCACGTCGTTTGAAGCAGCGAATGAGATTTATTGTGCCGACAATGTAATATCTCGCAGTACAGAGAATTTAATAATCATAACCATACAAACGCAAGAGACGTGTGTGTTTGTTAAGGACAGTTGAACCAGAATGCAAAATTGGCAAATTGGCTTTCGATCCGTTAATTCGAATCCGTCGGGACTCTGGTTGCCGAACTCGACTACGATTTGTTTCCATCATTTTTTACTCTTCTTCTTCGGCTTCTTCTTCCGTTCTTTCACTTCAACTTCTTCTTTAACATCTGTCTGCATCTCTCGGGTCTCGTATCTAATTGGCGGCCTTCTTTCAGGCCCTTTCGGAGTCTTCATCTCCAGCTGTATGTCGGATTTCTCACCGATGCCGACGAGGCCCTTCTTGCCGATCCGTAGGATGAAGACGTCGTGATCAGGATCGTCAGACTCGCCCGGTTTCGCGGCAGCGCTTTCATCAGCAACCGTCACGGTAGGCTTCTCGCCGTCGCCGTTATCGAACAAACCGGATACTTTGAGAACGACCGGCTTGCCACAAGGCTGGGACGAGTTCTGGCCGGATTGCAGGAGGTTCTTTGACGTCTGAAGAGATGAATGTAACATTTAGACTCTTTGATTCATTTCTCTCTTTAATAATCGCGTACCGTGTACTCGGACTTCTTTTCTACCGCGGCGTCCACTCGCACGTCTCTTACTCTCTTGTTTCTCTCTTCGATAGCTCCCATCCTTCCGCACGGTACGCACGGATACGTCTCTGGTAGGCACACGGGACACGTTACGGTATTCTGCAGATTCTTGCTGGAGTCTCGGAAGAGGTCCTCGGCACGAGGGTCGACTTTGCGAAATTTATATGCCAAAGTTTCATCGACCTCTTCAGCGCCGAAGACGAATGACTCAGAATCCTGCGGCGCGTTAAAATCCGTAACGATCGTCTGGCCGAAGCCGGACATTCTCACGAAAATATCCAGTCTTCCCGTCAGATCTGTGCTGTGAATCAGCGGCACTTGACCGTCGAACGTCTTGGACGTGGCGATGCCTCGCCGCCAGCACTGCAGCGTCTCCAGCCGCAGAGCGGCGTACTGGGCGGACAGATCCAGCTCGCCGGTACCCACCAGGATGTCCGGTTTGATGTCATCGGGCATCCGTTTCTTCACGATGATCTTGAGGATCATTTGAACGCTGCGATCGGTCACCGCGTCAAAATCGACGGCGAAGAGCACCGATTTCCCGGCATTAAACACCTCGACGTCGTTGGCGACGCCCGCCTGCGGCTGGAAGAGGGCGTCCACCGGGGTAAGCTGCAGATCATCCTCGTCCACGAAGTCGAGGAATTCGAAGCGGACGCTCGTAGGTACGAAGAACATCTGATTCAACTTCGCCAGGCGGCTGCCCGACGCCTCTTTCAAGTACAACTCCAACAGGAACAGATAGTACTCCTTGCAGCCCTCCGCGAGGTCCTCCTCGCGACTTCTACCGTACGCCGGCCTGGTGCGATCACCAGTCGACATGGTCGGTTGCTACCGGGAATTTCTCCGGGCGGTCTTGCTCGAGGTTAGTTATTGTTACTGTTGAGCATTTCTCAGACAATGTTTCACGATGAGATCGATTGTTGCATAACGATTGATCGATCGACCGCAGCTTCACTCGAGCTGTACGAGCGACGAGAATAATGTTTTCGAGTCGACCGTTAATCAATTGGTAGAAAAAAGTCGGATGACGCAGTGGAAATGTACGTTTGTTGCAGAGACATTTCCGACATTGAGGGATTTTAGCGTAATAAATGCGTCGATAGGTTATCGGAGCGGATGACAGCTGTATTTGACTGCGACCCGAGAGACGCGCGCGCGTCACTCGCGTCTATCAAAGTTCAAGTCTATCCTCGCGAGTTAGACGATCGATAAGATGAGCGAAAACGTGTATTGATTTGCGACACATGCGCCGTTCTGTTCAATAATTTAAGTTCGCGCAAGCGGAACTGCCTACAGAACGGTGTGCGCGCGGGCATAAAAAGAAGACAATGCCTTTTTCAGTCGTGCTAGGCAGATGTGATGTATAAAGCACGGATGCTGTGGAATTTTAATTACTTCTTGATTCTTGATTTTTGGATTTTAGGCTCTTCTGATGTCTGCAAATCGGGAGAAAACTCGGTCGTAAGAACGCGTAAAGACCTGTGTAGGAGATTTTTGTTCGATTATTATTATTATTATTATTATTCTTTTTTTCTAAGTTTAGGTTAGGTTTGACTTATGCCTTAGCTCATCCAACCTCAGTTAACTCTTGGTTATATCTTAGTATAATTATTTTATATAAGTACGACTCTGTGGATATTTTAATTACTGCGATTCTTGACTTTTAGAATAGGCTCTTCTGATGTCTGCAAATCGGAAGAAAACTCGGTCGTAAGAACGCGTAAAGACCTGTGTAGGAGATTTTTGTTCGATTATTATTATTATTATTATTATTCTTTTTTTCTAAGTTTAGGTTAGGTTTGACTTATGCCTTAGCTCATCCAACCTCAGTTAACTCTTGGTTATATCTTAGTATAATTATTTTATATAAGTACGACTCTGTGGATATTTTAATTACTGCGATTCTTGACTTTTAGAATAGGCTCTTCTGATGTCTGCAAATCGGAAGAAAACTCGGTCGTAAGAACGCGTAAAGACCTGTGTAGGAGATTTTTGTTCGATTATTATTATTATTATTATTATTCTTTTTTTCTAAGTTTAGGTTAGGTTTGACTTATGCCTTAGCTCATCCAACCTCAGTTAACTCTTGGTTATATCTTAGTATAATTATTTTATATAAGTACGACTCTGTGGATATTTTAATTACTGCGATTCTTGACTTTTAGAATAGGCTCTTCTGATGTCTGCAAATCGGAAGAAAACTCGGTCGTAAGAACGCAAAAACCTGTGTAGGAGATTTTTGCTCGATTCTTATTATTATTATTATTGTTATTCTTCTTTTCTGGGTTTAGATTAGACTTGACTTGTGCTTTTTCAACTTTTTTGTTTAGCTTATCCAACTTCGGTTAACTCTTGGTTACATCTTGGTCGAGTTTCAACGCAGCCAAACGCTCAGACAAATGTTTTCGCTCCGCTTTCTCGTCTGCTCCTCATTCTCTTGTACCAACTGAAATTCTCCTCTGCGACTCTGCCGACTGCCTCTGAGATGCATTTCTCAATGCGTCGCTCTTCTCCTTAATTTACAAGCGACAAGACGAATCTTCGCGGCGGAAATAACAATCTACGTCGCTTCTCTAACGCGACCGTGAAAACGGCGACGCGCGTGTGCACGCTCTCTTTTTTTCACGACGACTAATATATATATATATACACATATGTAACGTTCCGGATATTTAATTCCAGATAGCTCGCGTTCTCACGCGGAACTCTAATTAATGGGTCATTTGGCAGTCTCGTGCGCGTTGGCGATTACGCGCACGCCCGCGCCACGAGGTCGGCTTTTAGGTGACCGTCGGTCTACGATCCCGCCTGGCCGATTACTTATGCGATCAGTGTTCGATTGGACGAAATTGCGGTCTCGCCATCGCGCTAAATGAGGACCAATTAATACTCTAGACAGCTATTAAGTCCGGCAGAAGCGTCCAGTTAGCCAAGATGTCTATCTTCCGACCTCAAAGACGTAATGAGGACTTTTATCGGCTGGTCACGAGTCCTCTAACTGGTTTTCGAGCAACCATCTGGTGAATTAACATTCCCCGAAGTGAAATTTCTCATTGATGACGTCCGACAGAACGGCCGACAGAACGTAAACATATATCTGATTAGGAGTGTGATTCAGTTTTGAGAGTTTTGCGAGAAATGGCACTATGTCAGTTTTACCGAAGACATTCCAATCATAGCTACCGTTTCTCAACGCTTTAATGTTAATCCATAATATTTAGTCATTTACTAGCAACAGACGCAGTGAAAATCGTGTCAATACCATTTTAAAAATGGAGCTTCCTAAAGAGCATTTTTTTCGACGTGCTTTGCTTTTGTTTTTTAATCAGAAGAAAACGGCGGCTGAAGGTCATAGAATTCTGATAGAAACTTGTGGTTTGTGGATGTTGCTCTATCAATTGAGACATGTGGATATTGTGGTTTAGACGATTCGAAAATGGTGATTTCAATGTTAACGACAAGATCGTTCGGGACAAGCAAAAAAGCTTGAAAATGCATATTCGTAAGCATTATTGGACAAAAATCCAGCACAATCCGCTTCAGGACTTGTCAGAGCATTAAATTGATCGTGTAACAGTTATTAAACGTTTACGGTATGATACGAGAAAGATTCACAAAAGAGAAAAATGGGTTCCATATGAATTATCGGAAGATGCCATTGCGAACCGCTTTTGAACATTTGCATTTCGTTGATCGCCAGGCAGAAAATGAAAGAGTTTTTGTCCATCGAATTGTTCCTGGGGACGAAGAATGGATCTATTTCGATAATCCCAAACGAAAGAAATCATGGGTTGATCCAGGCCAGCCAGAAACATCCACTTCGAGGCGCGATATATTCACGATTCAAAGGTATTGCTGTGTGTATTTGCTGGGATCAAGAAAGTGTCGTGTACTATGAACTGTCGAATCCGAATGAAACTGTCACCGCTGATCGTTATCGATAACAATTATACAAATTGAAGCGAGCATTCATCATCAAAAATGCGATCACCAATCGCGAGTAAACGACGCAAAGTGATCATTCTTCACGACAATGCTCGACCTCATGTTGCATTATCAGTGAAGTGATCAAACGCTGTTACAGTTGGAATGGGAAGTCTTATCGCACCACGCCTATTCTCCAGACATTGCTCCATCCGATTATCATTTGCTCCGGTCGATGCAAAATGCTCTAAAGGATACATACTTTCATAACTTCAAACAAGTACGAAACTTTGTTGAAAGTTGGATCAACTGCAAAGAAGAATCTTTCTATCATCGCGGAAACCACCTCTTGCCAGAAAGATGGGGAAATGTTGTAGAAAACGAAGGGAAATATCTCGATTAAGATATTCGTTCATTATCTTACTTAAATAAATCAGTTTTTGAGAAAAAAATAAAATATTCAAAATACGACTTTAAATATATTATATTACTTTCATAAATTATATTATAAATTAGATATTAAGGATACAAGATACCAGGTAGCAATCAGTATGACATCTTAATGACGTTCAAAAACGTCGTAATGACGTATTTAAATGTCATTTTGCTACTTTAACGACAAATGTGTTTAATATTACAAACAAAGTTCGTTTCGACAAAGCGATGCCGGACGACATAAATGAGGATCGAGTTTTGACGAATGTAAACGATCCCCCAATTAATGAGAGCGTAATATTTATTTTAATTTACTGGATATTAAAAATTAGATATTAAGGATAAGATCGTTCGCCATTGCGAGTCGGATTTAACAACACGACAAATGTGATATTACTAGAGATGTGCGAATCAAGAATTTTTATGTCAATTGAATCGAATCGAATCTCATGTTTTAAATTCGAATTCGAATCGAATCGAATCATTAAGCAATTTAATGACATGACTATTAAACATGCAAATAACGATGGAAGATTTTAATATAAAAGGGAATACTGCTATCGTAATATCATCTTAAACTAAAATATATATTTAAATATTTAAAGTAATTTATAATTAAGTTATTAATTATAAGTTAAGTTAATTACAAGTTAAGGCTTCAAACATACACAGGCCCAGATGGCCCGTTTTGCAGCTGATGCACGCAAACGATAATGTATTTTCGATTCATATTCGAATTATTCGTATTCGAATCATAGGGATCCAGATTCGAATGCGAATCGAGTTCGCACATCTCTAAATATTGCAAATTCGTATCGGCAAAGCGATGCCGAGCAACGTAAATGAGAGTTTTCGCGAGTATAAACGACTCTCCAATTAATGAGAGCGCAATGTTTCAGGCTCCGATGTTGGCCGGCTGTACGGAAGCACCGTACCGATTCGAAAGCGAAATTCTTTCCACGTTCTCGCCGACCGCCAACGCCATACACTCGTACACCTGGATCGATTACGCTGCAAGATGCGCTAGCCGGAATTACCGCGTGCTCGCGCGCGCGTTCGCGCAGAGCACGCGATAATGAATAACGTAAGGCGCGCGCGCGCGCGTGTGACATGCGCGAAAGGCCGGCTGGTGATATCGGCACGCCGAGTTTCATCATGTGTCGCGCACTACCGCGTCCACGTGCTGCGGCCCAGACTTTATTGTTAGACGCTTGTCTTCACGCGCGGCCGCCATTTCTGGCTCGTCACCGACGAGTCATACGATACGCATTTAGGTGAGGGACGACATGTGCATGCGCATGCAAAGCTCGCCACCAAGTTGGTGTATTTGAAATTGCGAGTTATCCAGGTTGCCGCCTGCCGCTCGGCGCGCTTCGCATCGCAGGGGATTCGCGAAATTGGCGCGTCGGTGGTCGCCGTCGAATCTCGTAGATGCTCGCGGACACGTGTAAAGTCACCGAGACCTCGTCCTCGTGGACCTTCGGATTCTCCGCGGCCGTCATCGTCGTCAGCAGATCGCATTGATTTCCCTCGCTGGCGGCTTCTTCGAAAGCCCGAGAACATATTTCGAGGAGTGATCGACGGGAATCGGTGGCGTCCGCGAGCGACGACCTCCGCTATAAAGCCGCACAGAAGACACACACACACCGCGGGCGGCGGTGGCATCGGCGGCGGCGGCGGCGGCGGCGACGGTGACGGCGACGGTGACGGCGACGGCGACGGCGTGGCGGAAAGCTACGAAGTTTCCGTTGAAACTCTCGAGGCGCTAGTCAGCGACGGTCTTTCGTGCGGTACGCGCGCTCACGTGGACACGAGGGAACGGCGTGCTCCGAGGCTGCCCGCCGCCGATCGTCGCGACGGGGGGAGACCTGAACTCTCAGGAATGAGGTAACACGCATACACACCGACGGCGACGGGATATTCGTTTTTCGGCGTGGAGGCTACGCAGAGGCTACAACTCGCGAGCGAGAGAGGACAACTCGCCAGGTGAGCGGCTCTCTATTCCCCTGATCGATCCTTAGTTCCCCGTCATCTGTTCCCGCGGCGCGTCTCGCCGACGCGCTCGCCGCTGGCCTGCGCTTCCTACCTACCTATCTACCTACCTACGCAGCGGTGTATTTCGGGATCTTCATTCACGCGTGCGAAAGCCATACCGCCGTCGTGCGCGGTTACTACGAGAAAATGGGACATTCTTGGAGACGCTCCAAAGTCGACCGAGCTACCCACCGGTCACGCTGTCGCGGAAGGAAGATGCACGACTGCGTTGTTCGGCTGATGGAGCGCCGCGCGCTCACCGGGGAGGATAGTGCCAGGGCGAGTGCCAGGGCGAGTGAGAATCTGGAAATGACGGAAGTGCGAACGGAAGTTCCCGTGGAAATTGACTCCTTCGGGTGGTCACTTGGTTTTTCTTCCGCGTCTACACCTGGGGCTCTCCGGCCGTCGCGCGAAGCGTGAAGGACACTCGTCCTCGGTGGATCAACCCCCTCGCAATATTATGCATGTATTAGGCTGTGTGATGTTATCGCGTGTGCCGTTATTATTTATTGTTACATCGCCGCGCATACGACCGTTGCGGTGTGCAGTTAACGTTATCGTCATCGCGTTATAATAATGTTACGTTGCCGATAAGCCGATGGGAGCTATCGGAGCCGCTTTATCTCTGATCCGCTCGGATCCGGCCGGACACGAATGCACCGCGTGCGACGCGATCACACACGGCGACGGACTCGGACGAGCCTCGGCCGACCGTCGCACAGTGGGGCCAAATGACATTGTTTGGTTGAAAATTCTCTAGAGACCTGAGAATTTCCAACCGATCATCGACACCAATGAATGAGGTTGATAACCTGAATAAATTCCAAAGAGATCTATCTAGGCGAAATTTTGGAAAAAAATTATCGGTTTAGGGCTCACGGGTTTAGGGTTTGTCTGAAAAAGTTTATCGTTTAAAGTACAGTGTCTTGGGTTCGAGCCTATGGATACTAAATGCGAGACCCCAGAACTTATAATCACCTTTCTTGGACTATTTCGGGCTCTTAATATATACGGCTTCGTGCATCCACGAGCTAAAAATTGATCTCGGATTGATAGATTCCTAGGTTGATGGGCTTAAAGTCTCCAAATCCCTCGGTTTTGTGCTTAACTGGTCTATATTTGATGTTTTTGTATGTTGGGCATATGAGTTTTGGGTTAATGGGTTTCTGGTTCAAGATCGATAAATCTGTTGATTGGTTTCATAGTTTCAATTCGCTGAATACGCTGTTAGATGGAAATAAGGGGTCGAATAATAGGTATTTCACAAGTTTCTCGCGTTCAACGATAATTTTTCCTCTTTTGGGGCTAGTAATTCGAGAGAAAAAATTCTTTTTTTAATTTTGGCAAGACAGATCTCTTCGGAATTTATTCAGGATCAACCCCTCATCCATCGGTGTCGATGATCGGTTGGAAATTCAGGTCTCTAAAGAATTTTGAACCAAAGAATGTCATCTGGCTCCACTGTGCATCGTCGTGAATCTAAAGCACGTGGAGCAGACGCGACTTGTATGGCAATGGCACCTTTATCGCGCGTCAGCGCGCCACCGTCGTATGATGTAACTGCTCGCTGATATTTCGGACGCGCGTCGCGAAGGACGTGCACTTGGCCGCGGTGTGGCGGAGAAAAGCCGTGAGAGAGGGGTGAGACGAGAGAGTTCGTTTGTTCGCCCGTCCGTCGACACAAGTGTGCGATGCACTCCACGCGACGCGCAGGGCTCGAACTGGAGGATTAGCCGCGGCGGACCCTCCCCGCAGGTTGCAGGTAGCAACCGGTTTCGGCCGTAGCGTTTCTGAAAACTCGCAGCGATTCCCGGAAAAAATTGTACGGGGAATCGATCGAGATGTGTACGCTTTTTTCGGCCACGACTCGAGCGATACACGTGTCAAGATGACACGTTAACCATTAGAGGACCGGCATTTTTCCTTTAAAATTTGCAATTTTTTTCGTGGAAAGTTTATATATATGTAACCATCATGTCGCGTAGAGTTTTCAAGTTTGTTAGTGGCTCCTATAGGAGCCACTCCGATCCGGAACGGAACGGCCAAAATAAAAAATTTTCAAAATTTGGATCTTGGCATTTTTAAGGGTTTTTTTTTATATCACTGATCATCATTTTGATATCAGATTATCGAAATTTTACAAAGAAAGGCAGTTATTTACGTAAAATATGTCTATTACTATAAGTATATATTACTATAAGTAATCTCATATGGTAATAAAACTTTTCTCCTTTAGCGTAACCCAGAGCTAACGACGTGGACGTAGAAAGTTATGTAGCTTCTTTGTTTTTTATATTTTTTGTTATTTAAAAACTTTTTTAATTTTTTTATTTTTTTATAATTTTTTAATTTTTAGTTTTAAAAAATAATGAAAATTGTTTTATTTTTAAAACTATTTTTCTGTATTCTTTTATTTATTTGTTACTTTTAGAGTGATTGTTATCACGCACTGTGCGCAATCGAAACTCTAATAGTGTTGTGCGCTGATTTTACATAATTCTGAAAGAAAGTGGGTCTATTATAAATAAAAACGTACTGAGATGCAAATTACTATGCAGTTAAAATGTATACTTGTTAATAAATGGTTATTTACAAGTAAGGTAAAAATCACACGGACACATATGTTAATATATTTTTAGAGCACATAAACATCGACATAAATGCATAAATAACTATAATATAACCTTTAAGAAAACACTGAATGCCGATTTATATGTGGCTTCTGTAGGAGCCATCCCGGTCCTCTAAAGGTTAATGCGTTTGGGCGTGTAACATCACTCCTTCAACACTTCGCGCCTTCCGCGCCCGAATATATAGCGGAACAATCGTTGACGGACGTCGCAATTTGAGAATCGACGCCGCCTCTCGAGACCGCGTCACGAGACGCGTAGATTCCTCGCCGCGCATAATTATCGCAGTCTCGGTTCTCGATGTGACGAAGACAACATTCCTCGAATGTTGAATTATATCTAGCCGCTCGCCTAAAAATATCTCTGGCTATTCTTAGCCATCCCATCCGGCCGCAGCTTTTCTTCTTAGATCTTATATGTCTCCTAGAAACGCTTCGCTCTGCTTCCTCAAGCTGATCCAAGTGATTTGCCGTCTGGAATGCCGAGCTGGAAATTTCACCTCACAGGCCGCAAAGAAAAGAGAGAAATGAGACAAAAGAATGAGAGACTCTGGATCTCCGAATTTGAATCAGCGATAAGAAACGATTTCAGGCACGTGTCGTTGCCACTGATGCGGTCGTCTCGACAGATATCTCGGATCCTTAAGCCTCCTATTACACAGGTATCCATCTTGAATTTCGCACGCGAGTCTTGTTAAAAGATATGCCTTACTTGTGCAAAACAAATACACCGTTACATATTAAACTCCGCGCCAGGCAAGGAGCGTCTCTGTGTTATTCGACCTTTCGAGACGACGGGAAGGAATAGCCGAGAGACTCGGCAGTTACCGCGACGTCGTCCTCGCTTCCACGCGCCGATAACTAGCCCGGAACGGTGAGAAATTGCATTGACAGAAAGAATTTCAGCGAAATCGGCGGCGCGCCCTCAGCAGCGCAGCGCGATTATCCCCTGTCCGTCTGCTTTATTCTCGCGGCTCTCTTTTCGCAATCCGTCAGCGATCCGTTTATCGTCATCGGTCCGTGTAATGAAATCGAAAGTGTTGTTCTCTCTCTCTCTCTCTCTCTCTCTCTCTCTCTCTCTCTCTCTCTCTCTCTCTCCCCCTCTCTCCCTCACTCCCTCACTCCCCCTCCTCTCTGTCTCTCTCGCTCGCCGTGCATGCAATTGCGATACAAGGTGGCGGCGCATGATAAAGAGAGAGTAGTGGCGATGGTTACCACATCGACTGGCGTTTACTTAACGATACCGTTCGTGTTTCGACGAACCGTCGCGGTTTCGCTGAGCCATCAATCAGTTTCTTGTGCGAGAACCACCGGTCCGTCGCCGTGTACTTTGCGTTCTCTGTTATCGCACGTAAGTCGGCCATCTTTCTCTCTTTCTCCCTACGTTAACGTTTGCGCGCGCGAAAATTGACGTTTGCAAATAATTTTATCCGTTCACGTTCCCGTCTTTGGAAATTCACAGAGCGGCACTATGTGTTGTTTCCTTCCTCTCCCCTCCCCCTGCCCCCCTGCCTCTCCGGCCACGAATCACTCGCTTGAGAATGCTCGACATTAGGGATGAGCGATGTTCGAAAATACATCGATATTTAAAATATCGATTAATTAGAAAAAAATTGAAATGACATCAATTATTCTGTAAAAGTCGATTTACCGATTAATCGGCTAAATTTGCGAAGTAAACATTTAAATTGGTTAACATCAGATTAAACACCGCTAGAGATGCGTTCGGAAACATCACTCGGATGCTCTCCTTGCTTACATGTTGGATGCGTTCTTAAATTCGCAGCAGATTCGTAGCCGGCGTTATTCAATCCTTATTTTTCACTGAATGTTAAACAAGGGTAGAATGACATCCGTGTAGCATTCTCAGTATTATTAGAAGTCTTTCTAAAGAATCTTGCTCACTGAATGCGACTAACGACGTGCTATGAGCGATATCTAATAAGAGTTCTGTTTTAAGAAGAAAGAGCTTTCATTTCTTCTTTAAAACAGAACTCTCATTAGATATCGCTTATTGTTCGTCGCTAATCGCGACGGTGTGCGAGGCCTTTAATTCGGTATTTCATTTTATATATTTTCCATGTGATAAGAGAATTAATTTTGGGAAGATAAGTGCTCTTATTGGACCATACGGCAACGTTCCGAAACTTCAATATCAATGAAACCCTGTTGTTTATGACTATACAGTAGATGTAGTAAATTTCAAACCTTAAGAAGTTAACCAATCCCAACCTACTTTCACAAGAATAATTGACTGCGGTTGGCCAATCTCTTAAAACTTGAAGCTCACTATACCTATTATAGATCCGAACTTAACGTTCATAAATTTCGTTTACTTTAAAGACGACAAAAATCCTCTGTTTAAAAAAAAAATAAAAATCGGTTGCCGATGTTGAGGGAAACTCATCGACTGATTGAGTAAAAATAAATTCATCTGAAAACATCGATTAATTGAAAAAATTAATTGAAAAAAAAAAACAAACTATCGGTTCTTTCGATTAATCGATGAAAATCGTCCACCCCTACTTGAGAGTGCTCGATATCACGCACACGTCCGTCGGTTTTAAATCCGATCGAATTTAAAGAAACCGGTCTCACGCGTTTCGGAAATCGCGCACGTGTCGTTCCGCGAGCGCGCGACCTTGACTTTTTTTCTCGTCTTATTTTGCATAACGCCCGTCATATCTCTCGGTGGCCGAAGGACGAGTGCGGTGCGTTTCTAAGGATGAGGAATTATCTGTTTTACCGCGAGTACCGCGCGACACCGGAATTGCCGCTATCGTCTTAAGAGCGCGCAAAATTAACCGCAATTAACGGCCGAGTTAAGCATCGACGACGCCATAACGACCGACCGCGCGCGCGGTCGAAGTACGACCGGCACGTTAATTGGACAAGTCCATTAAGCCATTAGATTATGGCGACATCGTTATCCGATTTGCGCTCGCTCCCGCGCTCGGTTTCATCAGGTCGTCATAGTCGTCGCCACCATTGTCGTTGTCACGTCAATATCGATTGTCACATGGAGGTATGGTGGAATTATTGCCGCTGATTATTTCGCAAATGCACCGCAGGTCGCTCGCGCTTCACTCGCCGGCCGAAGCTTTCCACCGTCGGTCAGCAGCTCCCGCTCGAGCAGGAGTCGTCCCTCTCCCGCGGGAAAAACCCGTCGCTCCTTATTCGTGGCGCCCGCTACGACGCCTCGTAAAAGTGTCACGCCGAGCCCGTGTCCGGAGAAATTATCTCTTAAAAATAGTTACCGCGTTTTATCGTCGTCCACACGTCACTCTTATCGCGGAGAGTCAAGTCGCTGTTGTCATTCACTTCAATCGTTACTCCTGTTATCCCCGATTACTCGGGAAGTACCGGCGGGTTCCGCAGCTTTTTTTTTTCTATCTGCGAGATAGCGAGAGGCTTTTGCGCGCATAGGAGAGAACGATTATACATCGCGCTACGCTAAGAAAGCGGGATTGCGTCATCGTCACGTGGCACGGAAGAACAGGAAAAAATAATGTCTTCTGTAGTGCGTTATCGGGTCGAACTGTCATCGAGAAGGAATAATGTGCAATGTGGCGATAGCCAAATGTAAGTAAGGGCACATTCACACCTGGGCGGAAATGCAGAATGGCAGCATCCAATCAGAAGTCGCGCGCTGATAATCTGTCTCTCTCTTGCGAGAAAGAGGCAGAGACTTTTGACTTCTGACTGGATGCTGTCTTTCTGCCTTCTGCTTTTTCCCCCAGGTGTGAATTCTCCCTTATACTTAAGATCATCTTAAGTTTATCTACTGTACGGACCATTTCATTGGCTATAAAGTATTTGAAAATAAACCTAAGACGGTCTTAAATATAAGAATTGACTATGAATATTTAAATATATCTTTCTTACAAGAGAGAGAGACCGACTATCGGCGCGACTTCTGATCAAATGCTACCTTTCTACTTTTTTTCCCCAGGTGTAAATCCTCCCTTATGTTTGAGATCATCTTAAGTTTGTCTTCAGGTACTGTATGAACCATTTCATTGACTGCGAAGTATTTGAAAATAAACTCAACTCGACGGCCTTAAATATAAGAATAAATATAAGAATTGACTATGAATAGTTAAATATATCTTTCTTATAAGAGAGAGAGAGAGAGAGAGAGAGAGAGAGAGAGAGACAGATTATCACTTCTGCGACTTCTGGTCGGATGCTATCTTTCTACTTTTCGCTTTTCTGTCGAGGTGTGAGTCCGCCCTAACGTCATCCCTGCTTCATGATCGCATTGCGCTGCTGGTGTTACCACCTCGCCCGACACGGGGAAGCGACTTAGCAACTCACAAGCGATAATGAAAACGCGCTCGTACGTCACAGGTGACACGTGCGCATTAAACATCCGATAATCACGCGCGCGTGCCGAGGAGCAGGGAGGGCCAGCATGTCTGACGCTTTTCGAAATAGCGTCCGAATAAACAAACCTTCTGCATCGATCACTATAGTCCGTTCATCCACCAGTCGCGTGCGCGCGGAGGAAGAGTCAACGTCTCCGCTTCTCTGGCCGGTGTGGACTTTTAAAATAGAGCCATTCGGGGCAGCTACGTCACCGGCACATCTAATGAGCCGTTCATCCCCGTCACTATTTTTACCCGCGCCGGTACAGTCCTGCTCGACATTATTTGTCGGCTATAGCCGGAGGCGGCTGTCGCGGCTATTATCGGTGATAGTCGCGCGGATTATCGTCGTGAATTCAAATTATACACACACACACACACACGCATGTACGCACGCGGTGGAACAGGCGTTTCTCGAAAGCGGAGATGTAATCACACGCCGCGATTAATTCACTCGCAACAACGTCGCAATAACACTTTGCACTTGACGCGTCGTTTTTTGCCACATTCCTTTGGCCGTAGACTGTCGGTCGTCGGACGTGACGGTCTCCCTGCCACATATTTTGGCGTTCATGTTCCAAGCGACGAAATGGCGAGCACGCGTCGCTCGAACGTTCCGCTCTGCGATCGCGATACTTTCGAACAATGCGCGAGCGATTCGACCCGCGGGGGAAATCTGACCTCTGAAAGAGCGCCCTGATTCTCGGAAGCCAACGATGCTGTGTGAACTCTGCTGGTTTCACGTAACCGCGGCCGTTGTAACCGTGATATCCCTTATACGGACTCCTCCGAGGAGTCTCGGAGAAATGTAAAAAGTATCGCGTGCCAAGACGCGTACCTAGAAATGTTCGAATGAAGAACTTTTATATCGAATCGAATCGAATCTCATTTTTTTAATTCGAATCGAATCGAATCTATGAAATTTCATTCAATTCAAAAAATTCGAGTCGAATTGAATGAAATCGAATCGAATCATTAAAAAATCTAACATGACCATTAAACATGCAAATAATGATGGAAGATTTTAATATGAAAGGGAATATCGATATTGTAATATCATCTTAAAGTAAAATATATATTTAAATATTTAAAGTAATTTATAATTAAGTTATTAATTATAAGTTAAGTTAATTACAAGTTAAGGCTTCAAACATACACAGGCCCAGATGGCCCGTTTCGTAGCTGATGCGCGCAAACGCTAATGTATTTGATTCGTATTCGAATCTTCGCGATTCGAAATTTTCGAATTATTCGGATTCGAATTCGAATAGTTCGCACAGCTCTACGCATACCTTATTCTGAATTCTTCTTATTGCTCTCATTTCACGACGTTTATTTGAATTCTTCAATTTTGGAAATATTTCAATGTTTAACGTAGTGTTTTAACGTAGAATTTCAACGATAACGTATATATATATCTACATGCACTAAATGTATATGTATACTCTACGCTGAAAATTTAAATATTCATACCTGAGGAACAAAATAATGAAAACGCCTAGGGTTA